TTTTTTTCATTTTTTTTCTTTGCCCCAATATTGCTCTTCACCACCATCCTTCTCCTCTTCCCACATGCTCATCATCACAAGACTACTCTTAGCTTGCGCCCTCCCCCCATTTAACTCTCACTTTCTCGTTATTATACCTTCTTTTTTCGGGCAGGGCTCGGTCGGCTTGGACCGTGAATGAATGACCAAATAAATATCTGCGCAGGGCTGGGCTAGGGGGAGCCCTTTTTTTTTTTTTATTTTTTATTTTATTTTCGGCGGGAACTCGTTTTATCCTTTTCGTTCAACCAACATCTGGGCTGTGGGGGGCTTTGTGGCATTTGGCCTCTCTTTTCTTACCTTCTTCGTCCTCCTTACACTATACCCTTCCATGTCTCCCTTTCTACTTATCTACTCTCCTATACCTACCTTACCTTACTTTACCTTACCTATCCACTTACGTATTCATCCATCCACCCATAAAGCTATACATATGTTTGTTTTTGCTACGCTTCTTGTTTGTTTGTTTGTCGGCTGATGGATCCGACTTTGTTCTCGTCAAGCGGGGTCTCTACAAGATGGGGCGGGGGCGGAAGTCGGCTTGTTGCTTTGGGTTGTTCTGAGCCTTTTTGCTTGCATCGACGACGATGACGGCGGGGCCCGTTGCCTCGTTGCTTTGCTGCTGCTTCCTGTGGCTGTGCGCAGGGATTTAGTGTTGTTGTCGTTGCTACTCACCGTGGCTGTCGCTGTCGCTATCGTTGTCATTATTGCAGGCGCTTGCTGTTGTTTTTACCCTTCTGTATATGAAACGAAGTAATACCATCGGCGAGCCGGTGGGTCTTTGAGATCTGTCTGTCTAGGTGTATGTCTATCCGTTCGTTCGGTCGTGAGTCTGTCTATGCATCATTGAGCGCCGTGACGCGCTTCTTGCCAAGTATGTATGTATGTACCGTACCAGCCCCTCGATTTACTCTAGTTGCGTCCACGCGCGCTCAAGATCTGTTTGACGCGTTCTTGCGTTGCCCTCTCCACGCCAATACTCTCCAAATACCCCTCCACGCCCCCAAACTCGGCATCCAACCACTCCTTCACGGCATGCACCAGCCCCGGCGCCACGTCCGCCCACTCGTCGCCAAGGCCAATCTCGGCAATCTCCTGCACGCGGGCATCCCGCTCGGGCTCCAGCGCGGGGCCGCTGGCCATGTAGTCCGTCTGCACGGCCTCCTCGTCGGCGCCAAGCAAGAACAGGGTGAGCATGACGATCAAGCCGGTGCGGTCCTTGCCCTGGGTGCAGTGCACGAGGACGGGGTAAGCGTCGGGGCGGGCGAGGACGGCGTTGAAGGCGGTAGCGATCTCGGCGCCGCAGACGCGCAGCGAGTCGAGCAGCAGGCCGACGACGCCGCGGGGCTCCATGGCGTCGCGGGCGACGAGGCGGATGGCGGCGGTGCGGTAGCCGGTGGCCATGAGGAGGGCGACGCGCAGGTAGACGGGCCAGGAGAGGCGCGAGACCATGAGGGCGGAGAAGGCGGGCCCGTTGAAGTTGATGGCGTGGTAGCTGAGGCGGGGGATGGGCGACGGCGCGGGCAGCCCCTGCGCCCGGTGCTTGGCGGCTTGCTGGTCGTGCTCGGTGGGCGTGCGCAGGTCGATGATGCTGCGCAGGGTGGAGGCGAGGACGAGGCGGTCGGCGGGGGTGGCTTCGTCTGTGGCGCCGCGCGCGTTAGTGGCCGTCTGTGCTTGCTTGGATATACGGGAGGTGCATACCGGGCCGCGCGCTGCGGTACAGCTTGCCGGGCTTTATGACCGACGACGACGACTGGGGCAGTAATGACGAGACATCGCGGAAGTTGAGCAGCTTCTCAAGGGCCATGGCGCGCGCGGGTATAGAGATGAGCGAGTGTGATGGAGGTGAAGAGGGTTGTGTCAGAGTGAGACAGGACAGGACAGGTCAGGTCACGGAGCGCTAGTGGGAGCGGTGAGCGGCGTCAGCATTGTTGGCCATGGCGGTGCACCGACTGATGTCTGGTGTGAGTGATGCGATGGATGTGCGGACGGACCCTGCGGGAGGAGGCTGCCGCGGATCGACGTCAGGGCCGATAGACGGTGCTATGGATGATGTCATGTCTTTGCGCGCTGCCCTGGCTTTAATATACTATTACCATTTCCCCTACTACGGTAGTTTCCCCCCCTGCGACAATCCTCTCTCGGTCCTCCTACCTACTCGTACTCTAAAGACCCCGGTGCACATCACCCCCACCGAGTTGTCCCCACCCACATCGAACGGCTCGACTCGCGATAGCCGTTATCCAACCAATATGGCCTCCGCCACAGCCAATGCTACAGCGAGGCCCGTTTCGGATGTCAGCAACCCCCCATGTCCGGACCCCTCGGCGCACGTCAAAGACACAGCGACAAGGCTGCAAGACCAGGCCTCGACCGCTGCCCTTTACGTCACCCGCCCTGGCCCTCCCCAGATTAACCCCCTTGGCCCAGACGGAAAGCTCTCTTCTGCCAGTATGTGCCCACCTTCTTCGCTCGTTTACCCCGCCCCACATTACTGACGTTCCGCTTCCGTAAGGTGCCGCGACATCGCTCAAATACGCAAAACCCCAAGACCTTCCCAGCTATCCTTCGCTCGGCTTGACTCCTGCCAATTCTGCCAGCTCAGCTGCGCTTCTCGCCGCGGGAAACAAGACTAAAATCGAATGGTGGAAGCCCGAAGCCTCGGACAACGCAGCAAGAGCGGCCTTTTTAGCCAAGGACTACAAGATGCAGCCCATGTGGCAGCCCGAGCTGAGCTCCGCCGGCTCCAAAGCCGCGCTCCTCGCCCACAGAGACGGTGGTAAGCTGAACCTGTGGACGCCCGAAGCCTCGCCGGAGGGCAACTCCGCCGCGCATCTTGCCATGCGCAACAAAAAGCCCAGCCCGCAGACGGACTACGGCTACACTCCAACAGGCAAGAAGAACGCCCTCACTGCGGCGACCGGCGCCATGTCTGCGGGTCGGAATAGGTCAGGCTCTACCCTTTTGCCACTGCCCGCGTATCCGGATGCGGCGAACTCTGCGCACAATTCGCTCAATGCCGCCACGGTTGCACACAGACCGTCAGTGAAGCAACGGAAGCCCGCTGAGTCTGCGAACCGCGTCAGCTCGGATGCTATGGAGTCGGCGCGCATTACCCATGCTGGAAATAACGTTCCGAAAGAAATGTACGGCTCCACGCCGCCCGTGTCCATCGAGACGGACGAAAAGAAGCGCCAGGACGCGCTCCGGGCGTCGGCCATTGTGATGGCGAAGAAGATGTACGAAATGCAGCAGCGCCATATAGATGAAGCGGCCGGAAACAGTACTGCCGAGATTGGAGCTCGTGCATCCAGTGCCCGGTCGCAATCCGTATCAAGCTCTGTGGACCTTAGGACGCAGGCGATGCAATACATCAACTTGCAAGAGCAGGCTCAGAAGCTAGCAGCAGAGCGCCTTGCAAAAATTAACCCCGACGAGTCGGCCGCCTTTCGAAGTTACTACGGCTATGGAAACGAGCCAAGCCGCAAGAGACTCTCAGTCCGGCGAGGCAGGCGTCGAGCCTCTAGTGAAGGCGAAGTGGGTAGCGACTCGGATGACGAGATGCGGTCTCGGCGCATCCGGAACCAGATGTCTCACTTCAACAGCCAGCTGAAAGACGTGGACGCGATGAAGAGACAGAGAGACCGGGACAACCTCCTCGCAGCAGCAGAGCGCAAAGTGCATGCCCAAATGCACGACATGGACGAACGCGTCTTCATGGAGACGGGGAAAGTCACACCTGCAATGATGGAAGAGTGGGAGGCCAAGGCTCGCGTCAAAGCCGCACAGGAGAGTGAGACGCGCATGCAGAACCATGGCAAGGTCCACGTGGGCGGTGGCAGGTTTCTTGATCAGGCTGAGATTGATGCCATTGCTGCTGGAAAAGTCCAGCCGACGCTGGACCAGATCAACGAAACTGCCGAATTGCACCGCGCTCGCGACGAAGAGAAGCGTCTCGACGAAGCGGAACGCAAGCGTCTTGCGAACGTTGAAAAGGAAAGAGAGACATCGTTCAAGGCAGAGGTGAAGCGTACAAGGGGTATGTCTGACACAAGAAAGGCAATTTGAGCACGCACATTTACTGACACAACATAGAGGACGAGAAGATCGCAGCGAAGCTTCGCAAGTCCGAAGAAAAAGCCGCGGCCAAAGACAAGAAAGAGGCGGAAAAGGCGCGCCGTGAAGAGGAGAAGCGGTTGCGCAGGGAAGACAAGCGCAGGTCCGTTCAGCACGACGAACAACGCCTCTCAGTCGACGAAGGGCCCCTCGCGCACGTCGAGGCGCATCCAAAGCCGCCCACTCCCGAGCGGGCAATCCACGCCAGGGACACGGGACTGGAGCGCCCGGCTCCACCGACGACGGTGCCCAGCTACCACCCGCACGTCGAAGCCATTGGCGGGGTCGACTCGTCTGAAGAAGAAGACGGAGAGGATGATCGTGGCGTACACCAGCACCAGCATCATCAGCGCGGCGCCTCAACGACCACAGACCGCCCCTCTGCCTACGAAGTCACTGGCGCCCTGCCACCTGCTCAACAGCACACCGACGACGCTACCCCCGCAACCGCCACCTCGCCCACCAGCCCCACATCCAAAGACCGCGGCTTCAAGTCCCTCTTCTCGCGTCTGAAGCGTCGCTCCCGCGGCAGCGCACCAGGCACCATAGCCACAACAGCAGCGACAGCAGACGCGCCCGCCTCTTCGCCCACCACCACCGCCGCCGTCGCTGTCCCTGCCACCACGACCACGCCCACGGCAGCCCACGCGACGCCGATGACGCCTGCGTCGGCAGGTGCGGCGCCCCGGGCCCGCGAGCGCAGCGTCAGCATCAGTAGCCTGAGCAGCAGCTTGCCGGACGAGCACGACAGCGACAGCGACTACGATGTCGACCACCACCACCATGGCCACCATCACGACGCCACTGCCGCTACCGCTACCGACGCACGCGGGAGGACTAGAGCCACTAGGTCGCCGCCGAGCGTGAGCAGTGCGGAGGAAGAGGAGGAAGACGAGCATTTCGAAGAAGCGCGGGACGGGTTCGACGAGGCGGGGCTGGCGCCGCCGATGCAGGGGAGGTTTGGTGGAGGGGGGAGTGGGAGTGCGAGGGGCAGTACTAGTGGGAGCGTGAGCCCGGTTAGGGAGACGAGGTTTCGTGAGGGGTTTTAGTGTGGATTGGTTGAGGGGGAGTGGGGATGGGGTGGGGGTTTTCTTGGTTTGTTTGGTTGGTTGATTGATTGATTGATACCTATACTCTGTTTTGTCTGGTTGGTTGGTTGGCTGGTTTGTGCGCTGCGGGGTGTGTTGTTGTTGTTGTTGTTGTTGTTGTTGTTGTTGTTGTTGTTGGTGTGGTTACTGTACCTATCCTATGTCGTGTCCTGTCATGTTGCGTTTGATTCGACCTGTTCTTCTCTGATAGTCTCCTTTTTCTCCTTTTTCTTTTTTCGGATGGATAAACGAATACAGCGACTGGACGAATGATGATTGAGCAACGAGGACGCGCCAGTACCGTATGTAGGTTAGGTAGCACTCAATAGCAGGAGCAAGTAGCCCTCATATTACCATTCTCATCATTCTCATCTACCTACCTAGCTAGCTAGCTAGATAGATAGATGGATAGATAGATAGATAGATAGATAGATGGATGGATGGATGGATAGATGGATGGATGGATAGATGGATGGATGGATAGATGGATAGATGGATAGATGGATAGATAGATAGTCGACTCTGCATGCGTGCATGTAGCCGACAGCAGTAAACTAAACGCCAGCACTCAGCCAGTCAACATGACAAGATGATTTCTCTTCCCCATCTCTCCCTCTCTCTAAGTTTCCTTTCCCTTCCCATTCCCTTCCCTGCCCTCCCTATCTTTCTAAACCAAACACGCTGTGTGCTGTATGCGTGAGCGCGCTGGAGGTGCATAGGTAGGTAGATGTCCATCCATCTTGCTTGCTTGCTGCCGTTGCCTGCGGGGGCACAAGTCGGCCTTGGGCGCGCGCGCGCGCGCGTGTGTGTGTGGGTGTGTGGTGCACCCGTGTGTTGGTGCCGTCCCTCGGAGTGCCGCTGTGGGCGCTGCAATTATAGCGGGTGGGTGTCTGGCCGTTTGCTTTTGTTTGAGTGGGCGCGCTCCTGCTCCTGCTGCCGGTGCTGCCGCGTAGGGCGCGTCTTTCAGTCCTTGCGCCCTCAAAAGGCGGTTCGCCCTTGTTCTTTCTCCTTCAGCTGCGCCATGCCGCGACTCGGCTTTGTGCTGTAGCTCGCTTCCTGCCTGCCTCCCCGCCCTTTTCCCTTCTCGGACACATCCGGTAGAAGGCGGGATAGACGTGGTTAGCGCTCACGTCGCGAGGAGCTCGCGCAGAAAGCGCCGCATGAGAAAGCCTGACAGGGCGCCCAGGACGGACTGACACGCGGTGGGCGCAACGTTTGATTCCAACCATCTGGCTCTGGAGCTCCGCTCACGCGAACAAGCGGCGCGCGACCTTGTCCCCGCGGTTGAGGCCCATGTTCGTGTCCTGGCCCGGCAGCTCGCCGCCGCGCTTCTTCAGGTCCTCGGCCATCTTGCGCTCCTGCTCGGCGCGCGTCTTCTTCGGGTTGGGCAGGTCCTCCTTGGGCGTGGGGCGCGGATACGCCGTCCACCAGGGGTTCTCGAGGACCTGGCGGGCATTGAGGCGGCGTCGGGGGTCCAGGCGTAGCATGCCGCGCAGGAGGGCGATGCCGTCGGGGCCGATGAGGCCGAAGAACTGCTCCCAGTAGGCTTGGGGCTGGGGAGGCAGGACCCTTGCCGGGGCGACGTAGCCGTCGAGTTTGGAGACGCCGGGCCAGACGTCGTCGGTGGGCGAGCCGAAGGTCTGCGCGATGAGGTCGATTTGCGCGAGGTCCGTCTCTCCTGGCAGCCAGAAGCGGCGCTGCGTCAGCTCGCCGAAGACGATGCCGAGCGACCAGATGTCGACGGCGCCGCCGTAGTGCCGGGCCTGGTACAGCAGCTCCGGAGGGCGGTACCAGCGCGTGATGACGTTGGCTGTCATGTGCGTGTAGGGGTCGGCGAAGGAGCGGGCGAGACCGAAATCAGCCAGCTTGACCTCGCCGTCGGCCGCGATCAACAAGTTGTTGAGCTTGATATCGCGGTGCAGGACAAAGTTGGCGTGGCACCACCACATGCCGCGGCAGGCCATGCCCATCCACGCCTTGATGTCGGCGGCGCCGTAGTGCACCGAGTCGGCGGCCTTCATCAGGTCCTCGAGATCGCCCAGGGGCAGCAGCTCTAACACCAGGTTGAGGTTTTGGGCCTTGCTGCTGAAGACGGCGTGCAGCTTGATGATGTTGGGATGCGCCAGCTCTTGCAGGTGTTTGATTTCACGGATGGCGTCCATGGCGATGCCGTCGCGGTACTCGGCATTGACCTTGATCTTCTTGATGGCGACAGACTCGCCCGGGCGGCCAGCCACGGTCGCCTTGAAGACGACGGCGTAGGTACCCTCACCCAGTCTGTCCGTCTTGATGTAGCGCGAGCGGATCTCGTCATTGAGTGCCTCGGACAAGTCGCGCGCGTCGGCGGGGGGTTCGGCGGGAGAGACAGCCATGTTGGCGTCGACGCGTCGGGGCAAAGTTGGTGTGCGCGGTGTCTATGTGGTCGCGGTGGAGAGTTGGAGGCAGAGACAGAAAGGAGGAGTTGTCATGGCCGGCCCGGACCCCGGTCGAAAAGTCCGCGGCGAACAACACCAGAGAACACCGCGACATCAACTTGCCCGCCCCACGCGCCCAGGTAATACACAATACACAGCGCCTCAATCGAACCTTTATTCCCCAGCTGACCCCTGTGCCAGGCCCCACCACGCCCACGCCCACGTCCACGTCCAACCGCTCATCATGAACGGCCTCCGCCGCCCAGCAGCGCAGGCCATGCGCCCGTTGCCCCAGCTCTGCATCCGCCAACTGCACAACCGCATCCCGCAGCGGCCAATCCCCGAGCCGACGCCCTTTGTGCCCGACGTGCCGACCTTCCTGACGCTGATCGGCCGCAAGCTCTCGGCGCACGCCTCCAAGATCCCCGACTGGGCCGCGCTGTTCACCCTCTCGTCGGAACAGCTGCGCGAGCTGGGCGTCGAGCCCCCGCGCAGCCGCCGCTACCTGCTGCACTGGCGCGAAAAGTTCCGCAACGGCGAGTTCGGCGTCGCCGGTGACGCAAAGTATGTTCACGACGGCGCCGCCCTCGTCCATGTCGTCGAGCATCAGGGCCGCCCTGCTGCCGGCGCAGCGCCCGCCCTCGCGACCGCCACTTCCTCCCCTGGCGCCCGCAAGCTCGCCGTCAATGTCTCCTCTCCCACCCCCACCGCCGACCAGCTCAAGTCGGGAAAGCCTCTGCGCGGCATCAGCGTGCACGGCGCCCACACGATTGTAGGCCCGCACGTCGAGGCCGTCAAGGGCGGCAAGGGCGTCCTCGGGCGGATAGTGGCCAAGGAAGGGCTGTGGGAGGAGCGGAGGGGGCACAAGGTTGACGGTGGTGAGCGGAGGAAGGCCGAGGTGCGCGCTAAGAGGCGCGCTGAGGCTAACAGGACATAGACGGAACGGAGGGGAAAATGGGAGGATTGAGGAGACGGGACGCTCTATTTGAATTTCGAGAAATAGGAAGAGAGACGTGTCTGTCGAGTGTATTCTATTTGTATGTCAATGGCCGCGTGGGCGGCGGCGGCGCCGCAGGCCTTGCACAATCGAAAACCGTCGGCGACGAAGCATGCATTCTCCGCCGGAGCACCCGGCAATGTTCAAAGTTTACTATTTTGTCCTCCTCGAGCGTCCACGGGCGCTACATGGTTTTTAGAACTACGTAGTATATACATCCAACAAACTGCACCCACAGACAGCCCGAGCACCACCACCACCACCACCACCACCGTCACAAAGCCATGACCACCGAACCCACTCTGATAAAAAAGCCGTCTTCTCTTCCCTCAAACGACCCCGCGCCGCCAACCCCTCCATGTATCTCACCACCACCCCACATACGGAAACAGACCACATGTACCCATATCCACCTTACTTACCCACCCACCCACTTCACCCCCACATCCCTCTCCTCGAAGCCGCCCCGAAGCCAAACACACACACACCACCATATCACCCCTTCTCACTCCCCGCGGCCCCGCCCACCCAACCAACAGCACAAACGCACGCCCCTACGCTACCACGTACACACGAACCAAGCCAAGCACGACGAACCCCGTGACCCATCCCATGATCCCATCCCATCCACCATCAAGCACGCACGCATGTACATATGTGGATGTGTGTGTGTGTGTGTGTGTGGGTGGGTGGTGGGTTTTACAAAAAGCAGTACTCCGACGTACTACCCAGGTAGACAAAGTGACAGGAGCAAGCAAGCAGCCGCGAGCCAATGAGCCAGCCGCGGAGCGAGCGGGATGGATGGATGGAGGTAGTCTGAGTGGACGTCCAAGCATCGGAATTGTCGGAGCAGGCCCCGACGCGCCGATCCGCCTATACTATTGTACCTACCTACCTACCTAGCTAACGCACGGGCATGGAATGGGAGCGGCCAGCGCCAGCAAGTGGTAGCGAGCGACCCAGCGCGGATCCGATCACTGGCCAGGAAGCTTTAGCTGCGCGGGCGCGGCTCGTCCACCTACATACGTACATACAGCTAGCTGCTTTTGAACACACACCCAGCACACGCGCATCTGCAGAGTCAAGAGTCAAGACGCACCCGCAAGCAATCAATCCGTCAAATCCGGCAGCGTGCAGCCCCGCCGCCTACCTAGCTGGGCTACACCAGGCCCAAAAAGAGGAAGCGGCGAGCCACCGCCCCCCTCCCCACCCGGCCCCCACGTCGTGCCCTTTCCCGCTTGGGCGCTTGGCTTGCGTGCGCTTGCTCTCTGCAATATTGTATAATATTGCAAGTCCGCTCCCTTTGCTCCAGTGCTCTGCCACTCCGCGCGCTAGCTCAAAGCCACTTATCTTGCCCTGGCTGCCGCATGCGGTCCATGCCGTGGGGGCTAGCGGCCTGGCAGGCACGGCTGGTCCCGCCAAGGGCCCTGATGGGCATGCCATGAAACGTACGGTACGAACCCTCTGCTAATCCATGCCGTGCCGTGCGCCAAGAGGGCCGCCACCGCCGCCGCTCATGCCCTGTGCTGAGGGAGCGGAAGAGCGGGAGAGCGCGCACGCACCAGCCCATCCGCGCTGCCGCACCTGCCTGTGGGCGTGCCCAGCGCGAATTATTCAGTGCCTCTGCGAGGCGAGGCGGGGCGTGGGCTTTGAGTCAGGTAGTTTCCGTGTGCGCGTCGGACGATCTGCGCATGGCACCGTGCGCACAGAGGAAGACAGTGAGAGAGAATGAGAGTGGGAAACGAGAGATTAAGACGAAAAGAAAAAAGAAAAATTAGAAAAATATACATAAAAATAAATGTGATGACACCTCAGGTTATGCTCTGGGTAGCACGCCTGTGACGGCGCGCGTCGGCTGAAGCCGGCTACCGACTGCCGGCTCGCAGATCCACTACATCCCTGGCTTCTGATACGTGGTGGACGGCGCCAGAACGAGCGCGGCGTGATTCGCTGCCTCTACGCTCTGCTGCAAACTTGGACAGTGACCAGGGATGCGTGAACGACGTCCTTTGCTCCACAGCGGCCCCCATTCCGTCCCCAATGCGACTGCTCTTTGGGGGGCCGGTTGTCGACGAGAGGCTGCTAGCGCTCACTGAGCTGAGTGCGAGCGTTAATGAGCGGAGTAAGGACAAGGGTTGTGCATAGATGGCGCGGTCGACTGCCTGGTCTGCTATGTAGGGATCACAAGTGAGCTGATAGTCTGGTAAAAGTGAGATGCGCGTTGGAATGACAGGATGGATAGCGGAGCCGTTCATGTAACGCCCTTGTAGATGGGCCGCACGTCGGGCGATTGTTCCAGATATGCCCAAGGCTGAGGGGCGCTGCGGATTGGCATTTGCGGTTTGCGTGGCCTCTATTCTTGGATGAGGCTTTTGCCGAGTTATTAAATCGTCCTGCACTTAACCAGCTGACTTGTAATTGGTTTGAGCAAGGCAAAGCCCTATTAGGGAAAGGAAATGCCTTGAGATGAAATTGAAAAAGGCAAAGAAGTTTGTAGGTGCTGTTGGATGACAAGAGCGCCACAAGGCACAGGAACAGTGCTCAGGACTAGCGGGTAGGGACTCCCCGGTTGGTTGGATGTTCAGAGACAGCCAATTGCACGCAAGCAATAAATGAAGCTGAGAAGGTGATCATACCGGGGAAGCACCTTATGCTAAAAGGGACTCGTGGGGTCCACTGCCCAAGCTTTGGCGCCCGCTTGGAGTCAAGACCAACCAGTGCGGCTGTGCGCCATCTTGCATTGCGGAAAAATGGATACGTACCGGCTCTTACCCACCACGAGTAAATTAGGAAAGTGGTTGCTTAACCTGCAACCTCCTTACGTGGCAAGCTGAATCAATGCGCAAAAAGGATGGCGTGGCACGTTCAGATCGAAAAGCCAGTAGAATGGAGGTTTGGCTGGCTAGATGCGACGGATTCTCTAGTAAAATACGTGTGCTGAACTAGCCTCCGCATTTTCCAGTACTTGTACCCACATGGAGACGGGCAGTCCCGAAGGTAAAAGATCGTGGAGGCATGGTGGGACCGATGATGTCGGTGCAAGTGCCACTACCTAGCGTAGGTAGTAGGGTCAACTGCGCCGTGGGATCACCATCCTAGTCGTTCAAAATTATCAGTGTCTGCGAGTGCCCCTGAATCAAGCTGAATCCAGCCGACGTTGCTCAAAAAGGGCACAACACATGGAGCCTTTTGCTGGAATAGGCACGTTAGTGAGTGTGGCTGCCGAGAGGACCTGACAGGCTGGGATCGCCCCATAGGCTCATCCTTCCCGGAGGGTCCGGTGCGGGTGGAAGGGCCAAGGCGTTGTTTAGCTTCTTCGTGCGGTTCCGCGTCCTGCTGTACGACGTTGATCAGGATTCGCGGGAGGGCGGGTGCTGCTGCAGGAAGAAGATCTCGATCTGCCATCGGGGTGCTGCGCGGCCTCAGCCTTCCCGCAGCCGCAGCCGGAGCCGGATCCTAGCGCTGACCGTGGCAGCTTCGTGGCCCACAGGCGGATGCTACACATCGCAGAGGATAATTTTGGGTTGACGGGAGGCGGCAGGCGGCTCTACTCCTAGGGGGAGACGAATGGGAAGGCGTTCCGGGGGACGGGAGAAAGGTGATTGCCCATGGAAGCGACAACGACGGACTGCGCAGGGCGACGAAAGGAGCATGAGACAGCGAGCAGGCAATCGGCATCGACGATCTTGCATGGCCGCGTGTACAAGCTACCCCACGGTCGAGGGATTTTTGGCCAAGCGTCAGTCAGGGTCCCGTGCGGAGGGAAAGGTCGGGAAGGCAAACCGCAAACGGCACGGGACGGAGACGCTTCCTGTAGAGTAAGACGATTCTTGTAGTTGTTCTAGGCAGCGTGGCGGTGCGCTGACGTCAAGGAGCGACTCGTGGCGGTGGACGGGAGTGGTGGGAACGGGGGATCGGATCTGTCTGGCCAGTGCGGTCTGTCGTCATGGATCGGGGCTGGGGGAGGAGAGCGTTTGGCGTGACAAAGAAAGTCTAGGCGCAGCACGTGAGCTGTGGAGCGGCATCCTTGCAACTTGTCCCGCCGGCCGGCCTAGACAAGCTCCCAGCTGCTGTCGTGCGAACCAAATGATCGTCCGCATGCGCCCTGCCCTGCCTCTAGCTGTGCGCAACGCCGCCTGCCCGCCGCCGCCGCCGCCGTCGCCGAGGCGTGTGCTTTGCGTGCTTGCTTTGGGACGGCCTGGTGCTGATTCACTCTCTCCCTCCGGCTCCACAGAAGGCACCTGCAGATCCGAAGGGTCTTGCTTGGGCCAGACCCTCGTAGCCAAGCCTGAGCTTGAGCACACCTGCTCCCTCTAAACTTCTTAGCTGAGCCTGCCCCATTCCTAAACCCTCCTCCCTTGTATGCCGCTGTTCGCGAGCCCTGTCCCCCCTCCATCAGCCTGACCCCCGGCTCCGATCCTCGCTGTACTACCCACCTCCCGCGTGCCGATTTCCATGCCCCGGGTCCGCTCCCATTCCTACCTCGAACCCACTAGCTCTCGTCCCTTCCGCCCCGTCACGCTGACCCAGCTCCACCGTCTTTTGCCAACCTGGGGGGTCTGAGGATGAGGGATGGTGTCCCAAGGACGCCCGAGGAGCCGCTGGATGTCATTGCCCGGGACTCGCTATGCTTCGCGTGCCCGGAGCCCGACGTCGTCCTGCACGCCGGCCAGCCAGGCTTCCTCGAGGGCCTCTTGCGCCTCTACTCCGTCGCCGAGAGCAATGCGACAGAACGCCTGATCCGTCTCAAGGAACGCCTGCGCCAGACCAAGACCGAGGACTTCTTCGAGGTGCTCACCGAAGGCCTGGCCCAGCTCACCGGTGCTCAGTATGCCTTCATCTCCAAGCGAATCCTCGTCGACGACGCAAACGTGGCGGTAGAAATGCCTCCCATTGGTGAACCTGGATCCTGCTTGATGGGCGCGGCGTTTTACGTCAGTGATGGGCTGGACATCAAGGCAAATCTCAAAAACTTCAAGTACCACGCCTATTCATGCCCTTGCGCCTACATGAAGCATGACAAGGTCTTCATCATCCCGGAGCGTCTGAACGAATTCATTACCGACAATCCCAACCAACTCGCAATCCCCGGCGAAGCTTACCTCGGTGTTCCTCTCTGGGCAGAGGGGAAGTGTTTTGCCCATTTTGGCGTCATGTGGTCACCCGACGGTGCTACAAAACGTACCCTTGGATGGGGTTATCTGGAGATGATGCTCCACTCTTTGGAGGATCTGATCTTAGAACGCATTCTAGAGGGGACCAAGTTTGCGAAGCCGCCGTCACCAAAAGCAAGGCCTCAAAAAGTCGTTCCACATGAGGCCATCACGGTCGTACAATCCCTAAAGCCGTATGCCCGGAGCCTCTCTCACGAGTTGCGGACCCCCATGCAAGGTGTAGTGGGGATGTTGGACGTCATGTATGCAACGGTGCAAGAAGCGACAGAAGGCCAGAAAGATCCTAGATTTCGGAAGATTTTTGAATCACTAAAGGAAAATATTGAGGTTATTCAAGGCAAGTTCTACAGGAGCTGGGACCTGACGTCGCTAACTTATCGACAGATAGCTCGCGAAGAGCGGTCGAGGCGGCAGACAATGTCGTCCACGCTTACGATATGAACATGGGCGTGCCTGAATCGCCGGAGTACACCAGCGACGAAGACAGGTTTGATTATGAAGGTCAGAGGCCAGAGATCGTAGTGGCAAACGAAAATATGGGCTTGGGGCTGAAACGTACCAAGAGGAGGAGAAAGAGTGGTGCGTGGGATAGCGGTAAACCCTCGAAACACCATGCAAGTGATGCTGATTGGTCGTCGAGACCTAAAGCCAGCGACCTGGTATCGACCGCTAGCACGGACAGTTTCACATCCCCACCCGCCGTACAACCAGCGGGAGGCTCTCCTCCAGCCACACCTAATTTTCAGACGGAAAGCACAGTCGTACCTGGTCTCCGGCATGCCAGCATTCGCGACGTTATTCAATATGTCATCAATGACTCTCTGAAGCTGGGCGGAAGACCAGAATCAGCTATTGCACAACATACTGATGGTGGCGAGATCATCGAAGTCAGGATGAGAAATTCTAGTGGTCAAGAGAAGATGAAACAAATTGAGTGGTCGGTGGATTCCGATATCCCCGACACCATGTTCAGTGTGTAATGTCTTGCCTGCTCGTGAAACGTAAGCTGACATGCGACAGTCGACGAAAGAGACCTGGCTAAAATGATTTCCTGTGTCTTTTTAAATGCGCTAAAGTTCACCGAAGAGGGTAGGATTGGACTGACGGCACAACTCAACGAGAGTCCAACCAAACGCTACATTGTCATAAGGATAGTTGATTCCGGATCTGGCATTCCAGAAGCCTTCATACCCAACCTTTTCAAGGCATTCTCGAGGGAAGACGACTCATTAACACGGCAAAGCGAGGGTCTGGGCCTGGGTCTCCTCGTCGCCAGAGGTTTGGCACGCAAACTCGGCGGCGATCTGTTCTGCTCCCGCTCAGATACAACGGGGCCTAATAGAGGAACGGAGTTTGAGATTCGGGTACCAATCATCCCTGGTGATACTGTCAGTCGTCCCAACACACCCTTTCCATCAAGATCACCTTCCAATCCGCCGAGGAAGTTCAGAGAGAGCAAAGAAAGAAACATGGCGTCCTTGGAGAGGGCGTTGGAGAATACAAGGATACCTAGTCCGCCATCGACCGGCTCTGACGTGCCGGAAGTGGGTAATGCCCACATTCCTCAACTCGCAAATTCAGCTTTACCACGGCATGGCATCACGTGCGAGTTTAGGCGATCATCCGCGACAAAGCGCCAACCGCCGCTGCACGCCCGCCGTGCGTCGGTAAAGAAGATAACGTTTGATCGTGATCTTGCAACACACCATCCACTCAACTTTCTAGTGGCGGAAGACAACAAGATCAACCGGAAGCTCCTGGTCAACATGCTCCAGAAACTCGGGTACAAGAACATTCGCGAAGCCTACGATGGTGCAGACGCAGTGCGACAAATGGTCGACGCGCGGGACGCTAGCGACCAAGTGGATGTCGTACTGATGGACCTGTGGATGCCGCTCATGGACGGCTACGAAGCCGCAGAGCGCATCCTGAGCATGAGCATGGACGCTAGCCACGACAGCAGGAAGCGGCCGACCATCCTTGCCGTGACAGCCGATGTCACTGACGCGGCCTTGGAGCGAGCGGCACGAGTAGGGATGAAGGGATTCATGACGAAGCCGTTTAAGCTGCTCGACCTGGAGAAGCTGATTGTGGAGTACTGCGCCAGCGAAAACGAGGCATAGGATCGACAGGAGTTGACGGGGATTTTTCACGGAGTTTGCGGCATGGGGGCGACCATGATGAGGCGCACTGGGTTAAAAGTATGCTAATACGAGATTTGATTCCCCTGTTTATACGGCCAGCATAGCGGGCTGGGAGGAAGGGTTTCTGGCGTTGTTGTTTGGGTGGGAAGCATGGCGATTGGCGGGTGGGACCGGATGAGACGGCGAGGTTGCGGCTCAGGATAGCCGAAGCACAACCACAGGACTTGAGGTAGCCATGATAGCTGACGTCGGGGATGGGCCTCGATCGCCGCCTGGGGCTGAAACGGCATCTGACGCCAAGGCCGAGACGGCGATTGCTAATCCGCATCCGACCAGCCGTCGCCGACAAAGCCGTAGCATTAGAGGACACCTTTGATGAAATGCGTGGGGCTCTGCAAACCACCTGTCCTCTCTTTCTCTTTTCGCCCGTCGCCCTACGCTCCCTACTTTAGCTTGTTTCCTGAGCCCTGAGCTGAGCTATATTTGACCCGCCCCGCTGAAGCGGCCCAGACCCAGAACCCCCGTCGCCTTCCACATCATTCCTCAGAAGCTTGGAGCCTCAAAAGCACTGTCCTCGCCCCGACCACTGGGCTACGCCGCAACACCTCTCGAGTCGCCAGCATGGAATGTGCCTATGTGCGCTCGCCGCGCGACGTCCTGGCCCATTTCCAGGTCGAAGAAGCCACCGGCCTGTCCAACGACCGCGTAACCACCTCTCGCGAAAAGTACGGCAAGAATGGTACGCCGCACCCTCGTCGCCTCCGACGCGAGCCTCGGTTCTGACCTCCAACCACAGCTCTACCTGAAGACCCTCCCACGCCCCTGTGGGAGCTTGTGCTCGAACAATTCAAGGACCAGCTGGTCCTGATCCTGCTCGGTTCGGCCGCCGTCTCGTTCGTTCTGGCTCTGTTTGAAGAAGGCGATGATTGGACTGCCTTCGTGGATCCTGTCGTGGTACGTGATACCTCTTTCCCGACGCCTCAAAGAGCGCGTTCGCTAAATGTTCTTTTTGACAGATTCTTACCATCCTTATCCTCAACTCCATCGTCGGTGTCTCTCAGGAGAGCAGCGCCGAGAAGGCCATCGCCGCCCTCCAGGAATATTCTGCCAACGAGGCCAAAGTCGTCCGGGACGGTGAGATCAAGCGCATCAAGGCCGACGAACTTGTCCCCGGCGATGTCATCTCCGTTTCGGTTGGCGACCGCATCCCCGCGGACTGCAGGCTCCTTTCTATACAAAGCAACAGCTTCAGCGTCGACCAGTCCATTCTGACTGGTGAGAGCGAAAGCGTGGGAAAGCGCGCGGATGCGATCAAGGACACCGATGCTGTCAAGCAAGACCAGGTCAACATGCTTTTCTCGGGCACAACCGTCGTTACCGGACATGCTACCGCAATTGTGGTCTTGACTGGCGGCAACACGGCAATTGGTGATATCCACGAGAGCATCACGGCGCAGATCTCGGCGCCGACTCCCTTGAAGGAGAAGCTCAACGATTTTGGTGACATGCTCGCCAAGGTCATTACGGGTATTTGTATCTTGGTCTGGGTCATCAACATCAGGAACTTTAACGAACCGGCGCATGGCGGTTGGACCAAGGGTGCCATTTACTACCTCAAGGTAAGAAGATATTCCCTAGAGATGGATATGTTGATACTAATTGAACGCAGATCGCCGTGTCGCTTGGTGTCGCCGCTATTCCCGAAGGTCTCGCTGTTGTAATTACTACTTGTTTGGCTTTGGGCACGCGCAAGATGGCCGCTAAGAACGCAGTCGTCCGCAGCCTGCCCTCTGTTGAGACACTGGGCAGTTGCAGCGTCATCTGCTCCGACAAAACAGGTACTCTTACAACCAACCAGATGAGCGTCAACAAGGTTGTCTTTGTTGGCGAAGATGGTGCGAGTTTGGATGAATTTGATGTTGAAGGCACGAGCTTTGCCCCTGAAGGTGTCATGTCTTACCAGGGCAAGCCTCTCGAGTCTCCGGCTAGCAACTCTACAGTCTTGGCTCAATTGACTGAAGTTGCGGCGCTTTGCAACGAGGCCAAGCTCTCCTTCGACGAAAAGAATGGCACGTGCAACAACGTTGGAGAACCGACCGAGGGTGCACTCCGTGTCCTTGTCGAGAAGATCGGAACACCGCACGCGGACCTCAACGCGACCAGGAGCAGCATTCCCATTCACCAACGGCTCCACTGGGCTAGCAAGCATTATGAGGATCAGGCGCGCACTCTGGCTACCTATGAGTTCTCGAGGGACCGCAAGAGCATGTCCGTCCTTGTTGACAACGGAGACTCTCAACGCCTCCTTGTCAAGGGTGCCCCCGAATCGATTTTGGACAGGTGTACTCACGTTTTGGTCGGACAACAGGGCAAGAAGGTCCAACTTAACGACAGCCTGTCCAGCATCATCTCCAAGCAAATTGTTAGCTATGGTAACCGCGGTCTTCGTGTCATCGCTCTCGCGTCCGTCGATGACGTCGCCTCGAACCCGCTTCTCAGATCCGCTACAACCACCAAGGAGTACATGCAGCTCGAACAGAACATGACTTTGATCGGTCTCACCTGTATGCTCGATCCCCCTCGCCCCGAAGTTGCTGCCTCGATTAGGAAGTGCGTTCGGGCTGGTATTCGGGTTGTTGTCATCACTGGCGACAACCAAAACACGGCCGAAACCATTTGTCGCCAAATTGGCGTTTTTGGCGAAAATGAGGACCTCACTGGCAAGAGCTACACTGGCAGGCAGTTTGACGATCTAAGTGAGTCCGAGAAGCTGCATGCCGCAAAGAACGCCTCGCTCTTTTCGCGCACGGAGCCCTCGCACAAGTCCAAGCTTGTCGATCTTCTTCAATCTGCTGGCGAGGTTGTTGCCATGACTGGTGACGGCGTGAATGACGCTCCGGCATTGAAGAAAGCAGATATTGGTGTTGCCATGGGTTCTGGCACTGATGTGGCCAAGCTTGCGGCCGACATGGTTCTGGCCGATGATGACTTCGCCACCATTGAGGCTGCTGTCGAGGAGGGCCGCTCCATCTACAGCAACACTCAGCAGTTCATCCGCTACCTGATTTCCTCCAACATCGGCGAAGTCGTTTCCATCTTCCTCACCGCAGCGGCAGGCATGCCCGAGGCGCTGATCCCCGTCCAACTTCTGTGGGTGAATCTCGTCACCGACGGTCTTCCTGCCACCGCTCTTTCCTTCAACCCGCCTGACCACGACGTCATGAAGCGGCCTCCGCGTAAGCGGGACGAGGCGCTGGTCGGTGGTTGGCTGTTCTTCCGTTATATGGTAATTGGCACATACGTTGGTATCGCTACTGTCGGCGGCTACGCCTGGTGGTTCATGTTCAACTCGGAGGGCCCGCAAATCACTTTCTACCAACTGAGCCACTTCCACCGGTGCTCGACCGGGTTCCCGGAGATTGGCTGCCAGATGTTCTCGAATGACATGGCCAAGTCGGCAAGCACCGTGAGCTTGTCCATTCTGGTCGTCATCGAGATGCTCAACGCTATGAACGCACTGTCGAGCAGCGAATCTCTGCTCACGCTACCGCTGTGGGAGAATATGATCTTGGTGTACGCCATCACACTCAGCATGGCACTGCACTTTGCCCTGCTGTACATTCCGTTCTTGCAGTCTCTGTTCAGCATCGTGCCGCTCGACTTGAATGAGTGGAAGGCGGTGCTGCTGATCAGTCTGCCTATCATGTGAGTGTCCCCCTTTTTCCTCCCTTTGTTCGACCTAAAGCGCTAATATTCTAAACAGATTCATCGACGAGGGCCTCAAGTTCGTTGAGCGGGCTTTCTTCATGCCTAAGCCTAACCAGCACGTTAAGCCGAAGAAGGATTAAGTAATGGCACGGAGAGAAAGACAAAAAGACAGGTAGATGGGAAGGGAAACCCGTAAAGGGCGGTGTACTCATTGAGCGAGTTAGTGGGTGGGTGTAGAGATTGGGCGCTTGCGGCCCTTGCGAGAAAGAGTCCAGACTCATCACTACCGCATTAGATCGGCGCTCAGCTCACGCTGTAGATAAACTTCGACCCGCACCCGCGCTTGCTGTTTAGAGGTTGGGTTGTGGAGCTCTTTTTGGAATCGCATTTGGGTTTTTTGTCTTACTTTGTACTGATATGTGCTTCTTGGTGCGGAGTGGCGGTCATGGTGTTGAGTGGGTATCTGCAAGCGCAAAGAAGTGTTGTTATCTGTAGAAGGGGGATGGATAGGTCTACACTGAAAGGTGATGTACTAAGAAGTGCTGTCAAATTTGCTCAGATGGCAGTAGCCCGCGCTTGATTCTCCGCCTTAAAAGCTGGTCGTTAGGTATGTGAAGCTCAACGATCAATTCAACTGGGACTTATTTGCGCCTGCATAAATCAAAGCAACTTCGTGATGATGAAAACGCACGAAGTGGAGTCAGTCATTACCCTCTATTTTCAAGTACAGGTGCTGAAATCTGAGAAAAGGAAAGACAGAAAGACACCAATCTGCGCCACTCAATGAATGGCAGCAACATTTAACCATCCTGACGGTCATCATTACCTTCTTTCTGTAATGTCCTATAACACCGACTGGTAGAGGTAAGGAGCATTCGGGTGTAATGACGAGAAGTCATCTCTAAACTTTTGATATGCTATGCCGATCACTTGTTCCGATCACTTGTTCAGTTTGAAGGGTCATGTCAGGATGACATTAAATTCCCGTCATAAGAATTGCTCCGTAACAGATTCTCTTGTCTGTCTCGTCTTTCCAATGTTGCACGTTGAACTGTAACATAAGACTATAGTAAAAGTTAGTTAGGTAGGCATATGTCAGCAGTCTTCTAGCACCAACAGGCTTGCCCAATGAAGCGCTAACCATTGTTAGTGAAGTCCACTACAAAGCTTTCACACAAAATAGCTAGTATATATATCACCTCCGCCAAACTGAAATCAAAAGTCGGTGTTGATAGTCTAGTGGTTAAGCCACTAGTATTATTACTGAACGTTCTTTGCAGCGTTCGATTCCCGTATTAGGCCTTGGTATTTGATATAACTCTAGTCCCTTGTTAACACTAGAAAGGTTTACCTGTGAGTGCTGAATGGGGATCCTGGCTTTTTTGTTTTGGGTATATTTTTCGTGGCCTTCCCCCCCCCCCCCCCCCCCCCCCCCCCCCCAGCACCCCCCCCTCTCTCTCTCTCTCCCTTTTTGCTATTAACCACCTCACTTTCGGGCTGATCCGACAACTCTCACGACTATGTGAGACTTCGAAAGCATATAACTAAGTACAAACCATTAACCCTCTTGACAACGACTAATCCAATAAGAAGCCAGCCGTGCTACGTCTATGCTCCCACTCGGCGGGGCATAACGCAATTTATAACGTAGCTTCACTTTTGCAAACTTGAGGCTTAATCCGAGCTGTCTTACTCGCATCGAAGCAAGATATGTCCATCCAAAACATTCCTCGCGCTCTGCTCCTGCTCTATTTTCTCTTTAAAAACGGCTGAGCTTTATCTTCGAGAAATTAGTCTTTTTCTCGGAAGCGACAGTGAAGAAGTCTCCAACCGCGGAAGTCTACTTTACTTACTGACTATTTACCTCTCATAACGTCGAGTCTCACCACCACGCCCCATAGACAGCGCAACTCTGCAGTGCGCGCTACTGCTTTTCATCAGTGCTTGTTTCCCCACAGTACCAGAATATTTGCAGTAATCCGCATTCAATCTCTCTTGTAACCAAGTTCAAACTTTCATTAGAAAGACCCTTCACCTCATTAAAGCACCAACCTCACGTCGTCGTGGTCGTCTAAAAGCATAGCGTGCACGTCCCCAGCACATCTCCCACTTCTGCCTTCAAAATTTTATAGTGATAACCTGAACCCGCCAACTCACATTTCATCAATCAGCTCATACCAAATGCGCACAACAACACCATCAGGTTGTGTAGTGTAATGGCTAGCACTCGAGATTCTGATCATCAGAACATTCTCGCAATCCCGGTTCGATCCCGGGCACGACCTTTTGCATTTCCGTGGCAATCGCTTTTTTCTTTTATTTGAATCATTTAATTTTTATTTTCCGACCATTTTTGCGCGGGCGCCCACTGTGTAGTTGTGTGCAGATCTGCTGCAACCAGGTACCAGTGCGCTGGGTATAGGCACATGCACCAGTGGGTTAAGTCAATCTTTTGCCACGGGCGGTTGGCTGCTGATGCGACAGATTGACGGTTAGTTGCATGTATGATGGATGATAGGCGGGAGCAGGGGAGCGGCGGGAGAGCCCGTTGACTCCTGCGCGCCACTCGAGTAGGCACCTGCGCGCAGTGCAGTGTAGTATCTTCATGCATCCAATACTTATATGCAGGACGCATTGGATTTCTTCACGGCATGAAGCGTGAACGGCCCGTGTTACCTTCGTACTCACGCATTGCATCCAATGCTGAGCACATACAGCAAATAAGCAGACACCACAGCACGCCACCTTACTCCCAGCAGCGCGCTGCACGCCGTGCAACACATCTGTATTGTTTGCGCCTGCTGACCCATATTCATACATGCGTCTGGCCGACTGCAGCAACAGCAGCAGCAGCAGCAGCAGACGCATCTACCCATGTTCGCAGGCAAAGGCGCGGAAAGCTTGGAGTTCATGGCTGAGCGGAACGCAGAAGCGTCCGCAATCTCTCGGCGATTGAGCTGTTTTCTCAACCAGTGCTTCTAGGATACCCTAGAGTACGGCGTGGGTAACCTAGGTTGAGGCTGGATGGGATGTCTCATGCCGGCGCAATTGCAGAGACGTCCGAACGGGGCGGATAGCAGTAGAATTAGCCGGTCCGTGAGACCGGAAATGCCCACGACGCCATTGTAAGGTCTGATGCGGTACTGGAGTTGTGGCTGGAGTTGCGGCGAAAGGCTGTGGATTACCCGATGTGCATCCGACGCCGCAAACCTACGCCATAGGTAAGATCCACCTATCGCGGCAACGGGAAAGCGCAACACAATCCTTAACGCCCCCTTGTCTCTGCCCACGTCCCTACAGCAGAAACCGGCAAGCGACCCTACCTTGACTAACAGTGCAACGTCCCGTGTCCCCACGTCGCGCGCGCCATGGACTTAGACAAGGATAACGCCAACCCCACAATCCTCAATCCCTCAGACCTGCCGTCGCGCCGCAGGGAGAGCGCTGTCAAGAAGCATGAAGCTACCGGTGTCGGCCTGTTCGATGACCTGATCCCCGCCTACACTTACCTAAACGATCCCTTCTATCACTCTTCGTCCGAGTCGGACGACGGCTCCGTCGAAGACATTGACGAGCAGGAAATCTACGGTGAGCGCGCCTCGCCACCTGCTTGACATCGCCAGTTGCTAACCGGCCCAGACCTGATTTCCTCCATCTCTGATCCGGAGCACCCTCTCTCTCTAGGCTCGCTCGCCGTTGTCAATCTGCCAGACATCCACATTCTTCCTCCCTCGTCTCCCCGTTCTCCGATCAGCACCGTCCTGGTGGAGATCACGCCGACCATCACGCACTGTTCGCTCGCTACGGTCATTGGCCTGGGTGTGCGCGTGCGCCTTGAGCAGGCGTTGCCTCCGCGGTTCCGTCTTGATGTCCGGATCAAGAAGGGAACCCATAGCACGGATGAGGCTGTGAACAAGCAGCTCGGAGACAAGGAAAGGGTTGCTGCCGCCTTGGAGAACACCACTTTGATGGGCGTTATTAGGAAAATGCTGTCTACCTGCGAGTAAACAAGTTACGGGTTATGCTAAACGCTATAATGATTTATATAAAAGGGAAGGGATTACGATTTGGACGTGCCGCATCAGCAATAACCGTATTCATCTACAGCAATACTTCTGGCTGCCCTTGAAAGCGAGCCTGCAGAAGCTGAGACCGGACATGAAATCCATGAAAGGGAACCGGGACGACATTGAAGCTGAGCTGAAGAGGGTCCGAAAGCCGGCCATTCAGAAGTTGGCTCGAGCATAATGCACAGGTGGAAGAATGAGTAACAAGCGAAAGGCTGTCAGACAGTATCAAATGAAGAACCAATAAAAAGCTGGCGGCGTTGAGATGGTGATGGTTGATGGTTGTTGATGATCAGTTGGGTTATTGGTCGGTTGCGCCGCAAGGCACGTGCATCCGCTTCGGACCCGCAATCCCGCCCCGCTTAGTACTTCCAGTACATCCATCCATCGCGAACGCGACCAACTCTGCTCCCACACCACCACCGCAGCCATGCCAACGCGGGCAACCGCAACGCACGACAATCTGCGGCGCCTGCCGCCCCGTACGTACCGCTCACATCCCCGCCCGCGCATCCACCATCCCATTCCATTCCATCCATCTATCGACTAACCAGCAGCACCCACAGACGCGAAAGTGCAGAAGCGGCCGCTCATGCGCCCCCCGATAAACTCACCGTACACGAGCCGCGAATCGCCCAAAGTCGTCTACCTCAGCACGCGCACGCCCTTCATCGCCGCCGCCAAGCGCGTGCGCGACCTCCTCACACACGCCGAAAAACGCGCCACGCAGAGCGCCCTCTCGCAGAAGCGCCAGCAGCACCAGCGCGGCGATCCCGTCATGGCTGCCGCCCTGGCCACGATGGAGCGCACGGACGAGCCCGAAGAGGTCGTTGTCAAGGCGACGGGCAGGAGCATCGAGAAGGCTATGGGGCTCGCGCTATTCTTTCAGCAGCAGGACGATTGTCGCGTCCAGATTCGCACGGGCACGGCTGATGCGATTGACGATATTGTGGAGGGGCCGCGTCCGGTGAACGAGCTGGAAGTTAGTGAGGCTAAGGAAGGGGGTGTTGCGAAGAGTGATGATGATGACGAGGAGCTCCCCGAAACCCGAATCAGACATACGAGCGTGCTCGAGGTGGCTGTGACCTTGTGCTGAGACAACTAGGAAGGAATCGTTGGCTCTTCCTTGAATGGGACACCGCGCGATAAGCAATGGGCGCACGAAATGGAGCGACTGTATGGCAGACCAAATGGCCGGTCTGGTGCACTGCAAAGTGTACTAAAAAAGGTCGTGGAAGCATGCTGATTCTATCTATTTGGTCTTCACCGAAGAAAGCAACTGTCTATAAAGCAATGGTTCCTTGCTATAGTCGGACGGCCGCCCACCTGGGGCATAACCCGCGCGCCGTCAGCAACGGACGCTTTGTTGGTAGGACATTCCGTGGGGTTCTCATTTAGCCCGTCGTGCCCGCTTACCATCAGTTTAGTCATCGCCAGAGCTCAACGGCGTCTGCGATGTCTTTCTCATATGCGGATACATGTATAAGGTCCGCGTCCTTTAAAGTTAGTAGTCCTGCCTTTGAAAGCAAGTGTTCGTAGCAAATGTAGCGCGCTGTCTTTCGCTGACGGACAGTAACGCTCGATGGTCTAACATTATAAAGATGGCAATGTTGAAGTGTAGACGGTCGTGATTGGAGCCTATTCGTCGCCGATACGAGGCGGGCTCTTGGAGTGGTCTTTGTTGTCATCGTATGGACTTTTACTGCGCCTGTATTAGAGCCACGATGAAGGCCGGGTTAGTCACCTTGTTTTCGTAGTAGTTGTCAGAGGCGCATGCAGGAAGACTTACGATCTTCTCTGTCCCTCGCGCCTGAACCCGTCGATGATCTTCACCATCTCCTTCCTGCCTTGAGAAGCCTCGACCACTTTCCCCTGCAATCCCATGCTGATCTTCTCTCTGCTGTCCGCCTTCAAGAGACGGCTGAGGAGCAGATAGCGCATGAGCAGACAGACGTAGACGCCACAATCACTGCCGTTGTCTTGCTGAGGGCTGTCTTCCATGCAGACAAACTTGAAGCTCTTGTTCAATAACGTCGCCAACTTCTGCGTCACTATGCGGGCTTCTCTATCGTTACTGTCGCTCATGGAATCGTAGTGGAATGCTACGCCGTCGACGGTGCTGACCAGCAGAAGAGACCAATGCGAACCGCCCTCGGCTTCCGACACATTGCGACAATCGTTGACCGGCAGGAATATGTGCGTCGTCTTGGCCAAATTGGGAAGCGCTTCCTTCACCGTCATAGGGTCGGGTGTCTGCATCAGCAAGTACGACATGGATGGACGGATCAGATTGATGTGCGCTTTCGGGAAATCGATAAGCTTCTCATGTTCGAGGTACCTGCGGTGTGGCGGTGTCAGCTGCGGGTGTTGACAGAATGCTGTGCCTTCGGCTGTTTGCATACTCTTCCCAAAATGCAATGACCTAAAATGACTGCGGTTAGCGGGATCTCGCAGCCTCTTTGCATGTGGTACCAACGTTGTCCGTCAACCAGTCATTCCGTATGCAGTCGTAATCCTCCTTCGTCACTTTGGCCATTGTCAGTCGTTGGGCGCATTATGCTGTGACTGCGGGGTGCACTCACGGCGTACATCGTGGTCTGCTCGTTCGTCAGTATAATGGCTGTGATGCGTCGAGAGCAGAACTCACAGCTCAGATAGGCATCCTCCGGCGCAAGCTGTTGGACAGGATGGTCAGTCAAGAACTCTCTCCATTAGCGTGCCAAACGAAAGGACCAAAAAACTGCGGCAGAGATCGGCAGGGGCTTGTTGCGCCCGATCGCGGCACAATACTGCGTGTTGCGACTGAAGTTGCCGCGTGCTGGGATGGCTTGGAAAGTTTGGGGTGACTGGGATTCCAAGACGAGGGGTAGGGAAGCCTACATTTTCGCCAAAATGTTTGCTCACGCGGCCGCCGAAGGGATGGAATCCTGACATGGTGCTCGGGATAGGCGGGGAATAGCGAGGTATTCCAGGAGGAGGATGGCTGAAAACAGAGATATGCAAAGACGGTGGTGATGTACCACTAGTAAAAAGTGACGGGTGACACTGACAGTGACTTTGATCGGCACGAGGGGAGGGCGCACCCGATGACGTCCGCTTTGTGGAGGAGCGCCTTGACCAAGTGCGGCGGCGGCGACGACCGCGACGGCGGGGCGCACCTTTTTTGATCCCGGCAATCATGGCGGCTTCTCGCAGCCACGCCACCACGCTACGAGTACACATCTGTGCATCCATGCGCGCGAGCCCGTCAAATGCCCGTGATGCCATTGAGATCACGTTGATCATTCTCCACACGGATACCTTGTTTGTCTTTGCCGTTCAAATCTCGACTACTTCAGCCATGCCATCGCAGCTTCATTTCGCCTTCGTCAGGCTTGACGTAGCCTCGTGGCTTATGCACCATCGCCGACTCTTCACCGAGTTTTGCTCCAGATTCTAAATCAACCGCCTCACGCTTCGGAAGTTGGAGCAAGTAGCTAGGTAGAAAATAGGAGAATCGTATTCTATCAGTCTACGTCATGCGTCATGAACTAATGGAGTCTCGGACATCCGACCACCATCCAGTCAATCGTACGGCCCACTAAGCCGCCACCGGGTGCTCCGCCGAGAATTCTTTCGCATCTTGGTACAGATCGATCAGGCAACCAGCCGACCAGGCCTGCGTGGGTGACTATAAAGCGCATTAGCAATTGCTGCAAAGATGGCAATGTCTCAGGAGATTTCAAACATACCGAATCGCCGCAGAAAGATCCCGCTTGGTTCGTAAGCTCGGTCAAACCAGCCCAAGGACTCGATTTGATGGCCTCCATGCAGCCATGCAGACGGCGCGTAACCTGCTGGTAACTCTCCACCCGCTCCTCAGGAGTCTTGCGCCTCGTCAAGTCAAAACGAAGCAGAGCACGGAGGAAGAATCCAGTCGGCCACAACCATTCGGGTCCCTGGTGGTAGTTGCGGCCCTTAGACGTGTGGAAGTCGGTAGAATCCTCGGCGTTGTTGTAGTTGGGGCGGTAATTGAGATCAGACGGGTCAAGCGTAGCCATACCCGTTGGTCCCCGGAGGGCTGTGTCAGCCAAGTACAGAGCGTTCAGGGCCTTCTCGGGGTCGAACAGATCGGGGGCGACCGTCATGGCAATGGTGAAGTTAGGCCGGAGTTGGTAGTCCTCATACTCCTTGCCTGAGCGGTAGAGGTCCTTGTAGATGCCGCGACGGTTGACGATGGCAGAGTTGACATCGTAGTTCTTGTCTTCCTCGGCATTTTGGGGAACGTAGTAGACCCGTTCGAAGTTGTCCTTGATCTTCGCTGCCCACTCGGCAAAGGTAAGGTGTTGGCCTCCTTCAATGTCCACTCCGTCGTATTTGTATTTGCCGGCCTTGTTGAGCTCGTCTACCCACTTGAGGGTGCTGTACAGCATGCCGGTAATTTCGATAGCGGCACCATCGCGAGGAGTGCCTGGTACGCCCTTGCTGCCAGCCTTTTCGCTCTCGCCCATCTTATCCATCCAGGTACCACAGTTGAACTGGTTGCCACCGAAGATCAAGCCGTTGTTCCAGTCCGGATGGATATCAATTTGGAAGCCTTCCCACTTCATCTGGCTGTCAAGGTTGGGGCCTGCGTTGTACTCGCGGAAGGACATTCCCGAAGCGTGCCTCTGCAGGCACTCTTGGATCACGTCTTCGATCGTGGATGACTTGGAAAATGACCGGGAGTCGTCGTGAGGGAACCACTCGTCATCGTAAGGAAGGAAGCGGCGCTTTGTGCTCTCTGCGAGAAGTCCCAAGCCCTCAGGCACAATCTTCGTGTAGTCCTGGATGTTCTGGAGGAAGAACCAAACCGAATCGCGGGAGTTGTACCGAGGCAACTTTCCGCTGCCGAGGAGGTTGGGGATCATACCATGCTTGACAACGCTGGCGAATGCCAAAATGTGTTCCTTTGCATCCTTGTAGCGACCGGTACCCAGGTACAAGCCTCGGAGCGAGATGAAAATATCGCGACCCCAGCATCTAGCCCAATCGTTGGAAAAGTGCGGCAGACCAGCGGCCATACTTGGAACGCTCTTCACTGGCCACAAGGAGGCATTGCTCATGTAGCCAGTCATCTGGATGCTCACAAGAGCCAAGCTCTTAAGGAATTTCTGACCGCCGCGGACGTTCTCGTTCAGCAGCTGAATCGCTTGATCAACCGCCGCGTTGTAGGCAGTTTGGATGACCATGGCAAAATAGCGTGGAAGCAGGAAGTTCGGAATTTGGCGAATGGCATCGAATCGTTCCTTCAGCCAGGCTGCAGGTCCACGGAGATTCTCATAACCAGAATCATTGGCCATACGCTCGAGGCGGCCGACGCAATAGTCAAGTGCCCACTGACCATCCCTCAGATGGTTGCAGATGGGATGTCCTAGGTTGTTATCGTGTACGACGTCCCGCAGAACACTCCACCAGCCCTGAAGACCTGCGTAGACAAGCGAGCCATGACCGGGGATGGCATAAACTCCGTCTTTGCCCTGGCTCGAATCGCGTTCTTCGGGATCACAACGGTACAGAACCATGTTGAGATCAACAAGGTTGCAGTCTTTGAACGCCTCGCGGGCTCCAGTCGTGACGAATTTATCGAGGCCATCGGAACGTTCGCAGCTTGGGATCCAGGTCTCAAACAGCGCGATACTGCCGGGTGGGAATATATCAGGAACGGTGATCGTGGTGTTGTCCCCCGAAGCCTCCACCTTCATGCCCTGGATGTCCTTCGTGCGGCTAGGAAGACCCTTCAGCTTTTTCTTGTCTTTCTCAGTTCGCGCCTTCACCTCTGCGCTGTCCTCAACATCAAGCATCCAGCTACCCATAAGCTTGGCTTGGGTACCGGGGAGATGGACCGGAGGGAATCCGCCATTGCCGTCACCATATCCTGGGAAGGCCGTGTGAGCTATGAGGAAGTATCCTTTCCTTGTATGAGGGTGGACGCGGTGAACTGTGATGTACTCGTTGTCGTGGTGGATAAATGTCTCGTCGTAGTTCTCTTGGCCCATGAGCGTATGAATCTGGTTGAGAAGCTTTTTGATTCCACCGATGCCACCCTCAGAAGCTTGGACCTTGAGCTCACTTCCGCTGGAGTAAGGAGACTCGTAGAGCCTCGTCTCATGAACCAGCTCAATGAGCTTCGGGTAGATCTCATCGTAGCCCATCACACTACCGGTTGCGCAGGCGCACATGGCAACGAGTGCAGCATTCGGCAAGGTGTCCCGGGCATCGCGCTTCTGGGCGGGTACCTCGTTGTCGTGTGTGCAGTCCATGAACAGGGCGTGAACGGGACTTTTCCTGATTACCCGGACAACTTCGTGTGGCTGATCAGCGGAGATATCCGCGTTCATAACTTCGTCCAACTCGAAGCTGCCGATGGGGATTCCAGCATGACGGTGAACCAGTCGACTCAGCTCTTGAGTACTCCAGGCTTGCATGGCCTCTCGGATCAGGAAACTGATGCCTAGGCGCTTGCAGAAAACAAAGTCCATTTCTTCAGAACCAGTGAAAAGTTCAGCACCAATGACGAGATTAGGGCGAATTTTGCGCGCCTCGTCCAGCATGTATTCGGCGAGATGGATAGGGGTGGAGTGGCAGTTGTCGATACGGAACCCGGCAAAATACTTCGCCATCAGGCGAGTGTACTTGGCCATAAAGTCCCATAGGAAAGGGTTGTCTTGCGGCCCACTGCCATACCGAAGCTTGACACAGTCACCCCAGACGATGACCTCACGCCGGAGGTAAGCCCGAGACTGAGAGCCGGCATTGTCCTTCATAGCATCGGCAGCCCAAATCCAACCATTGTTAGCGAGAGCGAGGGATCGCTTGCTGTGCTGCTTGGTTGTGGCATTGTCCGGCAATCTGGTGAAGTAGCTCTCGATCAAGGGCACGTCCTTGGTGATAGGCCCAAGCTTAGGGCCATGATCGTCCAGGCGAACATACTTAATGCGGTTGTAGAGCTGATCCATGATGACGGCGACCTCGGCATCGTATTCCCGGTAGAACTGAAGGTTGAGTTCTTGCACGAACTTGTATATGGTACCGTAGGCGGCGCGCTCGTCACCTGTGTCATTGGTCCGGCTATCGTAGCGACCAAAAAGCGCACTCAGGAGAGCTGCAGCAGTCATGGGGTCCACCCTGCGTCGGAATCTCTCACCAAGTCTGTCGTTTCCAAGGAGTGCGTATTTGAGGAGCCAATCCGCCTTTTGCTTCAAAGGCCAGCCTTGGACCTCCTGCAGACCGCTAACACCGCGCTTGCCGAAGCCATCATCAGGGAACGTGACTTCTCCTTCCTTCCACGCCTTGACAATGTCCGTGGCGTCGCGTTCACAGTCAAGGACGTAGTATTCCCAAAGACGGATACCAGCAATGACCTTGGTCTTGACGGCATCCATGATTTTGGTCAATTCGTCAGTGTTGTGCAATGTCGTCGGCAGGCCCAGTTCTTGGAGGTCATTGCTGAGCTTGAGCAGAGCATCGTCGAGAGCCAAGGCAGACTCGAGCCAGGGTGCCGTCTCCAAGTTGTAACCAGCCTCGGGGTGCTCTTCGAGCCACTTGCTGTTGTTGGCAGTGTGGTTCCAGACAACATCTGTCAACGAGAACAAGTTGAATTCTTTCTCCATCTTGTGAACCAAGTCAGCAATGTCCTGCTCGCCGCGGGGGAACAGAGCCTGGTCGAATTGGTGCTGGTCGTAGAGACTGTACGGAGAATTGGAGTCTCCTCGCATCATTAGTGGTGTGAAGTGGACCATGTTGTATCCACGTTGGCTGATTCCACGAAGGTGGTTGTCCCAGTTTTTGGGGTATTCGCCCATAAACTTTGAGATGACCGAGAATATGGACAGAGAATCGAGCGGGATCCTGGTGTCCTGAAGCTTCAAATTCGGTTCGACATCAATATAGTATGTCGGCGTCCTGGCAGGCTGGGATGCCGCGGAATCCGAAGTCGAGAAGTTTGGCAGAGGTGTAAAGGTGCAGTAGTATGCAAAGGCGCCAGCGTAATGGATGGGACAGTCAATTTCAATGGTGCCATTGAAGTCAGGACGGAGCCTGTTGGATGAATGTCAGCGCCGCTCAGTTCAAAATCTCAGAAACAGAAACAGACTTGTATTCTCTGAAGTTGTCCCGCTGAAATGTCTCGCCCTTGGCGGGGATGTTCACCCAGAGGCTGCCCTCTCGGCAGATGGAGCTGGTGCCCTCAATGGCAAACCTCACGATGTACGCCGGGTCGGTGGGAGCCGGCAGGTAGATGTAGGTGCCAGGGACATCGGGTGCACCGCCATCGGTAAGAGGCAGCAGGTAAACGGTCTGAGGAGGGGCCATGGTGGCTGTCACAGACAGACGCGGGTGTGGATGGTGGAGCTGAGGCTGAAGCTGAGGTTCGCTGAAGCGATGAATGCGATTCTCCGGTCTATGTGATTAGGTAGGTACAGGCAGATTAATGGAGACAGACAACGAAGCAGCGGAACAGCAAAGGATGCTTGCGAATGGGATGCAGGGGAGCAATTGGAGGAGAGAAGAGGATTGGGGTTGGGGCGAGGTATTTATATGGACGGGGAGTCGGGCGAGGGCTGGCGAGCAGGCGCGAGGACAGGCGGGCAGGCAGGTGGATTTTGTGTATACAGAAGGCGCTCGCTGTGGGCACCGGGCAGAGAGGAAGCGACGCGATAGTGTATATCTCTGCTGTATTTTTTGATCGGCAGGTACCGCTAACCGTGGAGCCCCGGCTTGCCTGGGCAATGGGGGACGGAGCCCCAACTTTACGGTGCTACGTCATTGGCGCGTCCCACGGTCAGTTGTCAACGAGGGGAAGCGGGACAGGGCTATACCCGCTTTGGCACCCCGTAAACAACACACACGCCTGACAACACGCGCATTCCCTGCCCCCGCATTTGAGTCTGTCAGCCATGTCCGTCGTCGCGCGCCCGCAGCTGTACAAAGGTTGATTAATGATTGCGGTTCAATTTTGCACTCGCGCTTTCCGTCATTGGTTCGCCCCAAGGATGAGACCGTGTCATGTCTGCAGGCGCGGACCGCCCGCCCAACGGTCGAGACTCTCAGACATCGCAAGCGCCCCCGTCCTCAATGCCAGCAGAGAGCCAGCCAGTCTCCAACGTGGTGCCGCCACGGCCAATCGCAGATCTCTGATGCGTCCTTTCTCCCACCCCTCCGTGCCCTCGTGCTGCCCTCTGCCGAAACGCCGTCCCTCGCCCCAGCGCGTGCGGCGTCTTCCAATGGCAGCCGGGAAGCCGTGGCGGCGGCGCTTTGCGCAGGTACCCTCAGGTACTCCCCCCTCTGCCCTCGCGACTCACTAGTCTAGTGCCGCGGAATGCATCGGGCCAGGGCGTCAGGCTTGAGTGCGCGTCGCACACGACGAAGGTCTGTCTTTAAAGCAGCCCCGGAGCCCGGGCATCCCCACTTCCATTGCACTTCAAACTTGAGCCTGTCTTCACTGCCTCAGGATCGCCCTGGCCGTGCGCAAGCCTCGCTACTGTTCGGAACCCCTTACACGCGCGTCCCTCGGTGTTTGTCGGCAGCCGTTTCGATGGTCTTAGTCAGTGTGTTGGCTTGCCGTCATGTTTCGTCGCCAGATGCCGCGGTTGAAGGCTGGCAGCGAAATAATATATGGCGTGATCTATTCTCAGCGCCGGTACCTGTTTGATCGCCCCGGGCGAAAAGACGGGCGTGCCTGTGCGAAATGTCGTCCATATCCCGTGCGCCTAGGGCCGGAGCCCATCGTGTGCTGTGCTGCCGGCCGCTTCCGCTGCGCAACGTCTTCTGCTGCTGTTGAGAGAGTAGTGCGCTGTGGAGAGGCAAGTGGCCGGCCCCTTGTAATTGCCCGCGTAATCGATGTCTTGCAGGCTCCAGAGGCCTGTTCGTGCTGCGCAGAAGGCGTCGATATACACGCACGCACAGCGCAGATTGCGGTAACAGGGGCTCGCGGGTCTCAGAGCTCCCTCACCGCATGTGCGAATCTATATTTACTTTGGCCTTGCGATCGCGAGCTCGTACGGATACGGCAACTTAATCTTCTTCAGCAGACGCGCGAGCTAACAGGCGCCGGTCGACTCGCCAAGAGTGCTTTTGTCGGCGGTGTTGGGTCCCTCCCGAGTTCGCTGCAGGGCGGTACCCTGAAGCTAATTCGAACCCATCTCCCCCCGTCGAGACCTCCCGCACTACGCTTTTGAACGCCTACGCAATCTAGCACCCGCCCGGGATCGCTGCGCTCGCCCTCACTATTAGCAGCTTGAATCTCGCACGCTCCCTTTGCCCTGCGCGTCGCTCTTCCACCCGCGCTCCCGCCATCCGGTCGGCGGCTCCTACTCCCTATCCCCTCGTTACCGCCAGCCACCAGGCAGCTCCACAAGCCGGGGTCGTATGCGTTTTCGCTGATCCACTGACGCGCCTCTTCTGTCTGCTTCGACGCTGCCGCCGTCCGAATTGGTCCCCTCCCACAGAACAAACTCCGCGCTCGCGTCCCCGTTGCCAGCGACGCCCCGTGTCCGCGAAGACTCCTGCGGCCAGAACGTGCTGGTACTGCACGGGAGCAATAAGTGGCCATAAACGCATCTTGCCATCTGCAGCGCGAAGGGATAGCGTGCCACCTTGCAGACGGCAGTCCGAGACGAGCCGTCGCTGCTGTGGATTGTAAGTTTCTTTGTCCCTGTTGGCCTGAAACCAGACATGATCGGTCGGTCTCTGCTATACCTATGGCCGATCGCCGCCAGGCTTCCTTGTATGAATGATCTTGTCCCCAACTCTTGTGCTTCATTCGCGGTGGCATTGTGATACCGCACTTGTATCTGCACCCAGGCCTTAGATGGTGTAACGGCCCAGCTGATTGATCAGTCGCAGCTCACGCATAAGCTTCCTCCGCGCACGCCGGCCTGCCTTTCTCGAATCGCTGCGGCCAACAGGCACCTAGCGGCGCCACGAAGCCATAACACTAGAGGGCGTACGTCGTACAAGGGTGCTCTGGGTGGTCTAGCACAGGTTCCTGCTTAGCTCAGGGCCCAGTTGTTTTTTGGGCGATCTGGGCTCGACAGGTATGTATAGCGACGTCTGAAATCTCGCTCTGAATTCCCTCCTTTTCGGGCTGAAGCTGATCGCCATGCTGAACGACAGACTCGAGGTAAGCTGCCTCCGCTTGTACGCCCGCCGCCAGGCAGTTCGCGGCGACTGCACCCTTGGCCACCGCACGACGCCCAACCGACCGCCGCACTTGTCGCACTCCCTACCGATCGAGAGCTTGCAGCTAACCGGTGCGACAGCCGTTGGACTGGGCCCAACCGCGGAAAACGCTGCGAAAGATGCCGAAGTCGCCGTCCTTGTCCTTGAAGATTGAAAGCAACAAAGGCGCGAATAGACGGACAGATTTAGAAAGCCCCGGGAGCCCTCGATCACCGCCGCAAGCCGCCGGATCGAGCCACAATGATATGAGCGACAGAGGGAAGGACATGGACACAAATAACAACAGACCGAGCCCATTTCCGATACCGCCGAGATCGCCCAACCCAGCTCCTGTCAAACAAGAAAGATCAAACTCACTTTTCTCAAACTACAAAGCGTCCAAGTCAGGCACGCATTTCCCTGTTAGCGAAAGTTCGATAAGACAGGTGTCGGAGAGTTCGTCGGTGCCGACAAGTTCGGCGCAGGTGTATCAGTACAGACAATCGCCAGGATCGTCGCCGAACCTTAGCAAGTCCCTGGAAAACGTTAGCATATCGAGCGGTAAGTGTCTCGGAGTTGCCGGTGATCTGCCGGCTGCTTTTGTGAAAGTGAAACCGCTGACGGTCTTTGCTTTCTCCCCCAGGCATAACCTCGAACGACCCCGAGCGCTTTGAGCCGCGCAACGGCTCAGCCAACAGCACCGCAAAGCGGTCCAACACAAAGAATCGCTTCGGCATCTTGCGCTCGCGGTCTATGCGAACGGAAGATATGCTCCAGCCTCCCACCAAATCCTCCACTCCCCCCCGTCTCCCCTCAGACACCGAGCCCAAACACGGCAAAAAACACTCTGACTCGAACGGTTCGAAAACCGCCCCACTTGACAAGGACAGATCGCTTCGCGACAAGAAGTCCAACGCGTCCCGCAATCGGTCGGCAGATCGCTACGGAGATTCCGAGGAGCCCGAGCGTCCCGGAACCCGTCGTGAAAAGAAAGACCCTTTCTCATTCTCCTCCTCTTTTAAGGAAAACCCAGGCGCCGCATTCCTGAACAACATGCGCGGCAACTCGACCAAGGTCGCCGACGGCATCGGCAAAGCCGGCAAGAGCTTCTTCGGAAAGCTCACACGTAGCGGAAGCTCTCATGAGCGCGAGCCGGCCACCGCGGTCGAGGAGAACTATCAGTGCAAGGTCATAAATCTTCCTTTGGTCGAGCAGACGCGCGTCACCAGAATCTCAAAGAGGCTCGCGGCGTCCAAGGATAAGACCGAGTTTTGGATGCCAGCGCTGCCGTGGCGCTGCATCGAGTAAGTCTACACCCCCAAATCCTTTTGCCCTACAATCTAACTGTGAGCTTTGCGCAGTTACCTGAATATGAACGGCTGCGAAGAAGAGGGACTCTACAGAGTTCCCGGAAGCGGCAAAGACGTCAAGTATTGGCAGATGCGTTTTGACAAAGGCATGTCGCCCCTTACTACGTCGCGGGATACATTGATCTAACACCGAAGTATAGAGTACGATATCAACCTCTTTGATGAGCCTAACCTTTACGACATCAACATCGTAGGTTCCATGTTCAAGGCCTGGCTTCGCGATCTTCCGGACGAGATATTCCCCAAGGCGACCCAGCATCGTATCCAGGAACAATGCCGCGATGCCAAATCCACGCCGCAGCTACTTAAGGACGAACTTTCGAAGCTCCCGCCCTTCAACTATTATCTGCTGTTCGCCATCACGTGCCATATCAGTCTCCTTCATTCTTGTTCAGAGAAGAACAAGATGGACTACCGCAACCTCTGCATCTGCTTTCAGCCATGCATGAAGATCGAGGGATTCTGCTTCCAGTTCCTCATACTGGACTGGCGCAATTGTTGGCAAGGATGCTGGACGGAGAAGGAGTATTTGGAGAGGGAAATGCAGGTACTCGAGCCGTCGTCCAACCCTCCGCCGCCATCGTCTCACGGTACCCTCGCCAGCAATAGTCAGATGGGTGACGAGCGCGCTGTCTCGTCTGGCAGCAGCAAACCCTCCACGCTGAACAGCTCCACGCCCGAGAGAACCCGCCCTCCCGCAGATGGCAGCAGCAGCAGCACCCACGAACGCGAAGATCAGAACGTCACACCTACTCAACAGCAAGGTTCTGCTCGCGCGCAGCAAGAGCTTCCGTCACTTTCTCCGATGAAGCCACTCTCGCCAATTGGTTCCATTTAACAACGGAGAGACTAGGTTGTCTGCTCCGCCCGCACGTCTAGATTCGCATGCGATCATCTTTCTTGAACCCAGGACGATCCGCGCTCCGGTCTAAGCCCACCAAAGTTCGACCTTTCCCTGCTCAATCACACGCAAGTATCTTGCGCGCATTCCGGCTTTCTCATAGATGGAGTCTTCGTCACCGCTAGACTCGCATCCAAGTCTTTCGATTTCTACATTTCGCTCCTCAACGGCGGCTTTTCTTCCATACAAAAAGTTTTTCCGTCAACTTTTTGAGCGTGCTAGCATCGGTGGCTCCATGCAAGTTTGTTTGAGCCATTGCGTTTCCAATACCCACTTCCTGGTTTGTCTAGGTTCACTTTCTGGTTTCTGGTTTCTGGCTTTTGGCGTTTTCTCTAACTGAGCGGCTTCTCTTCTGCGGCTTCCCTTTCTCTCTCCCCCCCCCGTCTTTGCTCCCCATCCTGGATTGATGCAGGCCGACTGCATGCAGCGGCGTTCTCGGCATGCTTCTCTCATGCTGGCATTGGGGAAGCGACTGCTATCGAGGGTTTCAAGGTGCGACCGGTGGTCCGTTCAAACAAGGTGTACGATATGAGGAAAAGGGTCAACTGCGATGATCCATTTTTGCATTGGCGGATGCGGAGCACAGATGCGGACAGAAGCTGTGAGAACCCGACTTCATCTACATAGATGGATGGAGCTGGGAGAGAATCGCTGTAGTCTGAACTTGCCCTATTCCGTTCTCGCTGGCAGCACGTTATGCTTTGGATCAAGCAGTTAGAAATACTACCGATGATGAATTGAGGTTTTTGCAGGGGGTGTTTGGGCCGGGTGATGCACGCATATCCAATGACGATGATGACGGTGGCCGCACAGCGTCCATCCGGTGCCAAGCGAACGGTGGCTTGTGCTCCCCGAGGCCTGACGTCGAAATATCGCGAAGCTCTGCTTTCGTCTACAACACATCACACACGCAATGCTCGCGACATCGACCCGACCCGTACGCACCGCTGCCACGACCGTGGCAACGGTGGCCTTCCGCCCGCACCACCTGGCCTCCTCGGGCACGACGACTGGCCTCCGCTCGAGCGTCGCGTCGTCGGCGTCCTACAAGACGGCGGCGGCCTCTGCACCGCGGTGCTCGCAGCAGCTCGCAGCAGTCCGCTTCGCGCAGCGCTCCAGCAACGGCAGCGCGTGGGCGGCGTCCTCCTCTCCAATCGCGGCCAGGATACCGCGCGCCGCGGCGCAGACACAGCTGCGCACCGCGGCGAACGAAGCCCGCGTCGGAGCTACCACGTCGTCGAACGCGCAGTCCGGGGCCAACCTGGCGCAGACGACCAAGACGAGCAAGGGCAGCAGCGCTCCCAGCAGCGCCACCGCGACGGGCAGCATCAACAGCCACCTTGGCGGCAGCACCAGCAACAGCAGCAGTGGCCGCCAGGCCCTCGCGCCCAACGAGACACTGACGTGGAACCGGTTCCTGGGGCTGCGCAAGACGCGGCGTCGGATCGGGCTGGTGGCGTCTGTGGCGAGCGCGGTGGCGGCGACGGCCGCGGGCGCAAACATCATGATGGCATATGATCTGGACACGGTGGGCGCGGCGACGCTGGGCATGGACTCGATATTCGTGATGGGGCTGGGGGTTGTGGCGAGTGGGGGCGTGGGCTGGCTTGCTGGGCCTGCGGTTGGGGATGCCGTGTTCAAGGTTTTGTATCGTAGGCTTGGGCCGCAGATTGCGCAGGTATGTTTGTTTGCTTTGAAATCACCGCTACCATCACCTCCTTTTCCTCTCCTCTTCCTTCTCTTCCCTCCTCATCCTCCTTCCACGCTTTCTTCTCCTTATCCTTCTCCCCGCGAGCGACTTGCTCGATAAGAGGCTAACCCAGCCCGCGCACCATATAGAAAGAAGCCGAGTTCTTCCGGCGCATCAAGAAGTTCCGCGTGGACCCGACGTCGTCGTCGCTGAACAACCCGGTGCCGGACTACTACGGCGAGAAGATCGGCTCCGTGGGCGACTACCGCCGCTGGCTCAAGGACCAGCGCGCCTTCAACCTCAAGACGTCCGGGCGCGCGCGCGGCGCCGCTGCCGGTCGCGTTGCGCTGCGCAAGAAGGGCGAGTAGAGGGTGTGTGTATGTGTGGGGGAGAAGGGCAGGCCCGCGTGCTGCGGTGTAGAGAGTGCTGAGGATGTGGGTGGGTTGTGCTGGGATATGACGGCTGCAGACGGTGCCAAGGGATGCGCGTGCGTCTTCTTCTCTTATTCCTGTCTTTCTTCTGCAGTACAGCAGCATCTTACGCCCGGTGGCGAGACTGGACTGGATGGTACCAGGTGGCTTCTATCCAGTCCGGTTCTTCGACACAAGGGGGCACATAAGAAGCAAACAAACAAACAAGCACGCAAGCAAGCAAGCAAGCAAGCAAGCAACATGGCAGGCAGCGGTGGCCGCTCTCCCTTCTCTTTGTATTGTACAGAAAACCGCAGGGAAAAAAGCAATTGATTGACCTCCCTTTTCTCCTGCTGGATCGATTGATTGCCGTCTATATGTCTTCTCCCAAGAGCTCAAAGTGGCGAACGGCTTTTCGTGCTTGCAAGCGCAGGAGCCACTTTTCATCGTTCATTCTAACTTCGATATCCGCTTTCATGATCAAAGAAGGATCCGGGCACAGTAATTGTCCATCCCACCACCACCACGCCGCCTACAACGAGACATCAGCCTCCAAAACCAGGGAAATCAAGCGCGGCCGGCCCATCTCAAAGACCTTCGAGCCCAACACGTCGCCTAAGCGGTCAACAAGGCGGTCGCGCGTAGCCTCGTCACCAGCAACACCATTAGGCAAGGTTGGGGCCAGGGCGCCAGCGGCGCCGCGCTCCAGCGCCTGCAGGCCCTGCAGCAGGACCATGACGACCATTTCGGCCTCGGGGCGGGCCGCGTCGTCGGCGAGGCGTTCGCGCAAGACGGCATCGAAGAGCTTGAGGTTGGGCAGGACGAGGAAGCGCACGCCGTCCGGGCCCATGATGCCTTGTAGGCCGAGCAGCGCGCCGTAGTGCGTGCCGCAGGGCTTCTTGTCGTCGAGGAAGTTCTTGCACAGCGTGCCCGCGAGCCGCTTCTTGAGCGTTTGCGACGAGTGCCCGTACCGCTTGGCGATTTCGATGATGATGCTGCCGGCGAGGTCGCGCAGCGCGAAATGCGCGAGCGGGTTGTTGCCGCCTGCGGCGGTGTTGCTGCTGCTGCCTTCCGAGGAGGGGTTGCCCAGGCGCTTGCCCATGAGGCAGGTTAGCACGGGCGCGACGAGGCTGGTGATGTACGCGTCCATGAAGAGGCTGGGGTTTTGGAGCAGCGCCGATGTCATGTGCATCATTTGCGTGAGGATGAATAGGTCTTTCATGTTGTGCGTGACCTTTTCGGCTATGTACTGCACAAAGTACGGGATCAGCTGGTGCAGGCCCGGGTCTGTCCGTAGGCTGCCCAGCGCCTGGGCGCGCCACTCCTCGTTGGTCTCGTCGGCCAGGGCGCTGACGATGCGGTCGAAGTAGAGCTGCAGCTCCTTGGAGATGACGTGCTTGACGAGGGGCTTGACGGCGACATTGTCGTAGCCATTGACGGCGGCGAGGTAGGGATTCGCGCCGGGGCCCTTGGGCAGGAGGTCCTGGTGGCGCGAGTCGGCCGAGGTGGGGTTCTGGGGGATGGCGGGCTGGACGCCCTCGAGGGCGAGCCAGTGGGCCGTAAAGGAGATTTCGCGCGGGACCTTTGGCAGCGGCGCGTTGATGAGCTTCTCAAAGTCGACCTCCTCGTCCTCGACGTAGAACAGCGGCTGCCCGGGGCCCATGGACGCCTCGCCGAAGCGCAGCGGCCGCGTCGACTCGTACCCGTACAGCGGCTCCACGTCCAGCACCCGCAGCGCCTGCGATATGTCCTGCGTGCCCAGCGTCGTCCGCTTCGAGTGCCGCATGAACTTGAGCGCTTCCTCTAGCACCTGGCCGATGCGGAACTCGACGTCCCGCGCCAGGTCTTCGGCCACATCGTCGCTGAGCGACGCTATCCCCACCGACTCGGCGACATCCTTGATGTTGTCGGGATTCCAGACCGACATGGTGGCGGTGACGCGTCCCGGATCGATGAGCTACTTTTGGCAGTGCGGCACCCGTGATGGTAGGTTGTCGGCGGCGGCGCGCGGCGCAACAGCTATCCGGAGTCAAGGTTTCTGGGGCGCGTCGCGCGATAGACCAGAGCGTGTCTTCTGCTCAGGCGAGGCGCGGGGGGCAGTGCCAATGCGACGGGCGGCGAGCGCAAGGTGGATGTCTAAAGGCGATGGCTGTCGGATGAATCGCAGTTAGCTGCACTCCGACAACCGTCCACGGCGTTAGTCATCCAAAACGGCGGGCTACAAAGTTGTAGTAGGAGTAGCAAGGCGGTGCTGTGGCTACTACGAACCAAGCTGTGTCATTGTCTATGATGTTGAGCAGAAGGGCTGAGTCGTTGTTGGTGCTGCAGCCTCTCTGCTCCTGCAGCTCGTAACGAACCGACGGCGCTTTTGAAAGCCTGCGCACGAGCCACCGGCGAAGGCCATTAGATAGATAAAATGTTAAGATGGTTAACTTAGGTCCTAGCTACTTCTCCCAAAAGCATGAGTAAAAGACCAGAAAATTCCATCCGCCATGGACGTAAGCAGTCAACCAAGCATATTAAAGGCCGCTTCCTCCTATGCCATCCCATGTATCCCACCCACCAAAACGCCATGAATAAGAATAAGGAAAGAAGCCTCACTCCAGCAGCACTCGCTTTTCAAGGCCCCAAGCCCCTGCACGAGCGGGAGAGGCCAGAAGTGCCCCGAAACACCCTCCCTCTCTCACTGACTGCACGGCGCAGACTTCGCCGGGTAGCTCGCCTGCAAGTGTTTGGTCGACCCCACAGGAACCAAACGCACGCTCTAGAAGCACGCACGTAGAATACCATCATCTTGGACTCTGGCGCTTAGTAGCTCTGACCCGCGGTCCTGGAGCAGGGCAAACTTTCTCTCGCCTTCGCATGTGTCCGTGGGTCTTTGTGTATCTCCGCGCCTGCATCCGCACATATCCGCAATGGGCGCACCACCAGCGGCTAATAGTCCAGCGCCCAGCGGCTCCTTCCCAGCCCCTGCGCAGCAGCCAAGCGCTGGCGGTCGCGTTCGTCGCGCGCAAGCGGCCGCCGCGGAGACGAGGCGTACGAGACGACGTCGGAGTCTTCGTCGGAGTCGCTAGCGTCGTCGTCTGCGACGGTGGGTGTGCGGTAGTGCGTGGTAGTGGTGCCCTGTTGAGGGCGCGCAGACGGAGATTGCATGGCCGTGGGGGGACTGCTGGTCGTGGTTGCTGCTGTGGTGGTAGGGCGTGCGGGTGGTGTGGGGGAGGAGGGGAGGCTGATGAGATGGGGTGACTCTGGGATTTCTTTGATTTCTCCGTCTTCCGGTTCTTTCTCTTCGTCGTTGGCTTTCTTGCCATCGCCATCGGTGCTGCTCTTGGCAATGATACGGTCATCTGTATCGTCTGCAGCAGAGGTAGCAGCAGCATTTACAGCAGCTGGCGGTGGCGGAACAACAGTCCTACCACCCTCAACATCCGCGTTCTCCAACGCAGCCCTCGCATCCTTGACATCTTGCACCGCAACCTCGATTTCTTCTCCCACAAACATGGCCTCCGAGCTCTTAACTGCATGGTTCTTGATCAGTGCCTCACGCGCCGCACGCGCAGCGGCCACGCTCTCGAACATGACCGTTGTGTCTCCGCTGGCAGCAGACTCTCCTTGCTCAGTACCCTTCCCAATCGTAGCCAGTACGCCGTGCAAAGCCTGCGTCTTCGCGACGGCCTCAGCCGGCACACTCAGCGCGCGGGTCGCGCCCTCACGGACGATCGCTCTCAACAGCGCAGCGCCAAGCGGATGCGTCGGCGTCGTGAGAAGCGTAGCGGCAGGCCCGGCGGCAGCAGCAGCCTTGCTGTCACCGAACCTGGAAACGAAGCTAGCAGCAGACTCTGCGCTCAAGAACTCGACAACGGCAGAGAGCGAGCCAGAGACAGGTCCGGTGGCGAGCACACGCGCCGCGACGACGAAGCCCGTCGTCTCGGCGTTGGCGCCGCTCGTGGCAGCCGCGAGGAAGTCCTTGGCAGTGGTGGGCGCGTGGGGGAGGTTCGTGAGCACGGCGGTACGTAGCGTCTTGTCGCGCGCATCCGGAGCAGGCGTGAACGCCACGCTGTCCCGGTTCTTCCTGCGGACGCCCTCACCCGCAGCACTGCCCTCTTCCTCACCGCTGCTGCTACCGTCATCATCGCCATCGCCTTCGTCAGTCTCATCTTCCTTTCCCTTGCCAGAATCCACAGGCGACAAGCGGCTCCTCTCTCTTGCCCGCCCCCTCGGCACCGTCGCCTCGTCGTACCACGCCTCCGAGAAGCCCGGCACGAACGTGCCCGCGCCCGAGTTGAACGACGGCACATCAGCCGGAGCCTCGACATCCGCATACGAAGGGTGTGCGCGGCCGGGCGGCGGGGGCGGAAGGCCACGGCGCGGCGGGCCGTAGAACGAGGCTCTGTCGCGGGGGAAGTGGTGGCGGGGATAAGGGTAGACGTCGCTGGTACGACGGAAGGGCGCAGTGCGTGTCTCGGTGACGTTAGCGGGTGCGGTAGGCGGCGCAGAGGAAGTCGGGGGCGGCGGTGGTGGCGGGTTAGGGCGGGGTGCGCTCGGTGTAGTATCCGCAGCTGGAGTAGAGCCGGAGGCGCGGACGGGTTCGTCATCTTGGAAGTACCGCTTGAAGGCCGGTCTCTCAGCTGGTGCGCCCGTAGCAGCAGTCGCAGACGTGGACGCCTGCTGCTGACCACTTGGCCGGGGCTGCTGTGTCTGCCACTCGGCTTCAGGGTAGCCATCGCGATCGTTCCCAGCCTCGGGGATGGACACCGGAACCGCCTCCTCAAAGTCGCAGAGGAGGTCCTCGTGCTGTGGTTGGCCTGGTGTGGCCGCCCCAGGGTGACCAAGACCAACAGCGGGTCTACCCGGAGGTGAGGCGCCGTAGCTCTGTCCGTATGATTGGGTTGGCTGATGACTGCGTGGAAGGGGCTGGTGGCCCTGAGCCGCGCCCAGCTGTGCGAGCTGCTTGAACTGATCTCTCTGTTCCATGGTGGCACTGAGTTCCTTCTCGAGCTTGAGGATGCGGACATGGTCGGCAGCTACCTGCTCCGTCAGCGCGGTAGTTGTAGCTACATTGCTTGTGGTGGCGCGGGCCTGTTGGTGCTGCTGTGGCGCTTGCTGCTGCTGAGATGGTTGAAACTGTTGTTGCTGGGACTGCTGCCCAGCCTGCCCTTGCTGCGTCGAGAGAAGCAACTCCAGAAGACGGTCATTCGTAGCCCTCAGCTTAGTACTCTCGTGTTGTTCGTACTCACACTGGGCTTCCGAGCGCCCAAGTGCTTTGTAGACGGCACCAATCTCGGCGATGGACATGGAGGCCATGGACAGGGAAGCCATGGTGGAAGGTAGTGGTCTCTTTTGTGTCGATCTCCGGCCTTTCAGAGTGAGCTGGGCTGCACGTTCTTGCTATTATGAATGCAGACATTGTTAGTACTGTTTGAGCAAGAGACACGACAGTCTTGTGTTGAAGTGAAGTTGGGGTGTGGTGTCTGAGGTAAGAGAATGATTGAGGACAGCGAGGATGAGAAAGATCTAGGGTCGAGAAGAGAGTTGGGTTTTGTCTTACCTCGAAGTGAACTCCAAGCAAGCCTGTCGGGTTCGTAGGAGAGTGTATTGTAGTTTGACAATCGGGTCCGTGGGAGAATTTTTTGTAAGCTGACAATCAGGGAGTGTTTGTCAATTGACAGATCGGACCTCTACTAAAGGTTGTAAGGGGCACTGTTGTTCGGTGATGACTGAGATACGGTATTTGTAGTCGGCAAACCCGAAGACGATCCACCAAAGAGGGAACTACTATATGGGTGCGCCTACTCCAGCCCTACTTAGACTCCTTTCACCGATACCTCAATGACTCATAGCAGGCAGAAGCCTAAAGTACCTACCACCATGCTGTGAAAGTGTGTTGTGGAGGAGAGTGAGAACCGCTTTACCGTCGACTGACCGTTGAGTTGAGAATCCGCCTGCCGTGAAAGGAAATGGAAAGGGCCATCCGTCCATCGACCAATCGTGTGATTGACTAGATCATGAAAAGAAATAGAAAGATAAATCGAAAGAAGTAGCGGTAAACGGTCCACTGACCCATGATCAATGTGCCGTAAAGTAAATTTACAATAGCTCTGACCAACACTGGCCATGGAGAGTAGGATAACGCGTTAAATGTGCTTCCATTTCAACTAAAGTTTCCAAATCAGCAAAAAAATCTCAAATTTGCCATCCAGGGCCGTATTCTGATACTCATCAAACCTGCGCCAACCTACCTGGCCTAACACCCAAGGCTTGATTCCCAAACCCAAACACATAAATCTCCTACCACACATCAGAAAGCCCGACCACAGCTACCCCTCCAACATACTAACCTACCCACCTTTCCTCTCTCTCTCTCTCTCTCTCTCTTTCCCCAAATGTAGCCCATCACACCCATCACACACCAGCGACCCGGAACCAACCACCCCTCTCAACCAAAAGACACAGCACAGCCATGTACCGGCCAGCCAGCCAAGCAGCAGCAAGCCCAGCGCAAGATCAAAAGCAGGACAAGAATCAAACCGCCCCGCCCACCTACCCACGCCACCTACCCAACAAAAACCCCGCCGCCCTCACCCAACCAGCCCATCACCCCCCCAACCCAGCCCCCACCATCCCGCCAAACGCGTTCCAACCCGACCCTCGCGCCCCTCACCTGCGCAAACCCCACCGCCTCAAGGTCCCTCAACCGGCGTAGCACCTCCTCCCGCTGCCCAGGCTCCAGCGCCTCGCACCCGGCGCTAAAAATCGGAAACAAGAGGCAGGCGTCGGCGCTGCCACCGGGGCGCACGCGCGCCAACGCAGCCAGGATAGCCGACACGCACGCCTGCGCTTCGCTGTCGTGTGGAGGCCGGTTCAGGACGCGCCGGAGCAGGTGCAGCTGCGCGGCGGCGTGGAAGGCTGCGTTCGTGGCGTGCGCTTCGGATGCGTCGGTGGGGGAGGCAGACGTGCATCCTATTGCTGTGGGCGTAGATGCTGATGGAGACGGAGTCGTCGTGCTGGAGGGCGAGCTGCGCAGCTCATGCGCGCACCCCTCGCCTGATGCGCTCTCGCAGCTCAGGCGCAGCTCCTCGCGCAGCTGCTCTGCGGCGCTCGCGACATCGGCCGGAGGGACCCAGTCTGCGCCGCCGTCGCTGCCGCCACCTCCCTCGGCAGCGGTGGCCGCGGCCTCGCGGCGTAAGGTATCGCAGTGCTGGGCGAGCTCAGCGAGGCGGGCTAGCGAGACAATGAAGCGCCATGTGAAGCCTAGCAGGCAATCAATGACATCGTCGTCGTCGCGGTCGAATGCAAGGTACGCAGCCGCGAGGGGCTTGTCATCCTTACTGCCACTCAGACTGCCTAGCACGTCCAGATACGCGAACCAGCGGGACAGGAAGTGTGCGACATTGTCGTCAGGCTCGCCACGGGGTCGCAGGCCCCCACGAGCTACGATCATCTCGCGCGCGACGCTGAGGTGGTTCTGCCAGGAGACGGGGACTTCGAACGTGTTCGGGGAGATGATTTCCAGCGACGCGAGCATGATGGCCGTAGTCAGGTTTGCGGTCGAGATGGTCTGCTCGGTGAGTGCGCGGCGCAGCTTCGGAAACACGTCTTGTACCCAGACGGCGATGCGGTTGGCAGGCTCCTTGTGGCAGAGGAGGCGCGCGCGGTGGCTGGCCGAAAAGGCGAGCAGCAGGCCCAGCAGGTCATCGTCTCGCACCGCGAGCTGTGGTAGCACGCTCCGGAACGGGTTTTGCTCGCAGTCGTGCGGCACCAGGATCCGTGCTGTGTGGTTCAGGAAGTGGTGGAAGTAGAGCAGGTTCATGGGGTTTTCTAGCAGCCGAGCAGGCAGCGGCTCAAACGCTCTGGGGATCTTGATTGGCACGGGCTTTGCGTAATAGCCATCTGCTTCGAAGGCTCTGCTCCTGTGTTGATCTTGCTGTTCCTCGTCCAATTCAGGCTCATTGGCGACGTCACCGCTGCCGCCATAAGATGTCTCGGGGTTGAACATGGCTATTGCGCCGCCATCGTCATTCTTGGGAGTATCAAGATCCGGCTGCCCAATATCATAGCCATATACCACGTCCACCGACGAGCGACCAAGGGGCCGAACATAGGAGTTGTTGTTTGCCGTCTGACCGCCGTCGATCAGCAGGTCGTTGACAGACAACCGCTTCGACTCCGCAGGTAGCTGGTACCTCAAGCTGCCTTCCTCCGAGGCAATAGACGAACCAGGAGTCAACGGCGTCCCCGCAAACGAGCTGTATGGCGTCATAGGAGGCAGCGAGTAGGGTGACGGCGCATCCGTCCCGGGCATACCGGCGCCGGGCGTCTCGACGGGGAAGTTCTGGCGCGCGGTAGAAGGAGGAAGAGGGGGGTCATCCTGAGGGCTCAGGCGCAAGCGCTTCGTCCTGTGCTGCTGCTGCGACGGCGGCGGAGGTGATGCGGGAGGAGCAGCGGGGGGAGCAGCGGCCAGTAGCGGAGTGGCATCGAAGCTCCGTTTGGAGCGGCCGTTCCAGTTCAAACGGATGGAATAGTCGCACGCCTCGCCGGCGCGCTGGCAATTGAGGCAGCGAGGCTTCTCCTCGCCGCTAGCAGCACCCTAGCGCGTCACTACAACAAGGTCGTCGTCGTCGAGCGGGAGAGTGGCATACCATTTGACCTTGCGGGCCTTGCAGGGCCTATAGCTGTCAGTCGCGATCCACGGCTCGTGCAGTGTGGGGGATCACCAGCAGCCGTTCCGGCTTCGCCGCTTGGGCTCGGGCGCGCCCGCTTTCTTGGGGCGTGGCATTCTTGCATGAGGAGGAGAGAAGAGGTTCCTAGGTAGTGAGGCTCTGCTGCTGCTGTGGGGAAGGCCTGGCGTAGATTGGCGCTGGCTCCCGTCACGATAAGCCCTAGCCGAGGGCCCGGAGGCCTGTCCGCGTCTTGACGTGTGTCCGGCGGCTGTCGTCATATGCTGCTGTATCTGCGCGTGTCTGTCACCTTTTCTTTTTCTTGATTCTTTTTTTTATGCCTCCCCCTCTCCCTCTTCCGCTCTTCTCTCTTCCTTCCGTCTCTCCTCCTTCTCCTTCTCCATCTTCCTCCTCTCCTTCATCCCTCCCACCATGTCCACCCAACAGGGCCAGTGGCTCGCAGCCAAACACCCGCTCCAACGCCTACCCAGTCCGTCCCGCGGCGTCTCAGCCCTAGTCCATGTGAGCAGCAGCAGCAGAAACAACACCAACAAACACGCTCCTAACGCGCAACCAGACCCTCGGCATAATCAGCGCTGCCTACTCCTTCCATTTGTACAGTTCCGCGCTACCCGGCGGGCGCCTCCGCCCTCTCCGCCGCACGACCGCTAACTGAGCACGCGCCGCGTCTTAGCCTGATATACCAAGAAAACACCATCAACGAAGCGTGGGGCTGGCACATGCAGTTCCTGACCGTGTGCGGGCTGCTCCTAGCAAGCGTGACGTACGTACTCGCGCTCGCGGCCGACACGACGCTGTCGCGGCACCTCTTCTACGCCAAGAACATCGTCTCGCTCGCCAGCGCCCCGCTCGCCTTCTGCATCAGCGTGCTGTACTGGGGCATCCGCGCCGTGGACCCGAGTCTGCTCATGCACCCGGACCTGCCGCCGCTGGGCCTGCTGGAGGACCTGTCGCTGCACGCTGCGCCCGCGCTGCTGCTCGGTATCGACGTCTTGGCTCTTTCGCCGCCTTGGGCCCTTAAGCCCCTGCCTGCGCTCGGTTTGAGCTCCGCTGTCGCTGTCGCCTACTGGTTCTGGGTCGAGCAGTGCTTCTTGCATAATGGTTACTACCCTTACCCCCTCTTTGCGGTGCTGGATACCCGGGATCGCGTGCTGTTGTTCGCGGCTGCGGCTGTTGTTATGGCTGCTAGCATGATGGCTCTTACCTATGCGTATGCTCTTGTTAATGGGAAAGAGGAAGAGAGCTTGCGTGCTGATGAGCGCCCGGGTCATGTCAAGAAGACTTCGTGAGATGGAAATGCCCCCGTGTAAATAGGGTGTGTGCCTTCAATTTCGTAAACAGATAGACAGATGAAAAGATGGACACATGTAGAAAGAGAGATGTACAAAGAACCAAGCAGAGGCTTTCAGAAACACCAATGCCTTTTGCCATAATATCGTAGATATTTGTAGGCTCTCTACGTGCTGATGAGACGTTGGATGAGCGAACAGGGAGAACGAAGGTGAGAGCGCCCTTGCGTCCGTAGCCAAGGGTCGCATATTTCAGCCATCCTTCGGCTGTGGTCAGGTAGAAACCTAACATGCAAGGATCCGTGCCCTGGCAGCTGGCCAAGTACAAGCAAGACAGTTGGAACAGTGCAATCAAGTAGGCATCCATGTTCATTAGTTTTCATAGCATAACTGGTAAGCAATTCCAGCCTTGTCCTCCCGATACCTGTCCTTGCTGTCCATACGTGATGCATTACTATTTTTGTCGCTGTTCCAGAACCTCGGTCCCGGATCTGCTGAGCAACCGCCATGCTTCGTGAAACAGCTGTACCTTTTTCCTGGTGTAACTTTTGTCGAGAACTGATGCCTTTGAAAGAGACTTGCTTTTTGTTGTCCCCGATAGCCCCTGCATGACCCTAGACGCCGAAACCATGTACTAATGCTGAAAAATCACGAGCCATACGCACCCAGTCCCTGCCGCTTGAATGAGAGTCAAAAGAAAGCGAGTATGCCAATAATGTCGTATGCCATAAGCCGTGAAGCTGTAAATGGTCATTGCAATGTTGAGACGGTAGGCCGCTTTGCCATCCTACACGACGACCACGGATTATTTGCTGTGCAGGTGCCGGAGACGTTACAATGCTTGACGTGAGTGTGTTTCTGGTCGGCTAAAGCGACTACTGCAGATCGCCATCGGATGGCGGCGCCGCAATGGTAGCTTCATCGTCGACATCATGCTGATACTGTGGCTTCTCGTCTGGTTCGGCTTCGACATTCGGTTGCGCATCAGGCAGCTGGAAGCTCGTGCCGGTCCAACTCTGTCCAGTTAAGCTGAATTGACTGTTGAAGAAGGCCGACATGTCATTATGTAAGTTTTGTTGAAGGTAGTTCGGGGCCGGTAGGTTACTGGAAAAGTATGTAGGTGTAGCAACGTTGAAGTCGAGTCCAGCGGTGTCGTAGGACATCTGGAAGGCGTCCGCATAGGTCTTGCCAAAGTCGAACTGCATCGTGGGATCCGGTTGTGGATGGAATGGGGCCGTCAACATGCTGAAGCTGGCAGGCCGTCCAAAGGTGACTTCGTCTGCTTGTTCGTCATCTCTGAAAGGAACGAGACCCCTCTTTTTCTTCTGTGTCCTTACCGTGCCAAGCGTAAGCTCAAGTTCAAGGTCCTCGTCTCCGTATGTCTCTTGCACACGGCGCTTTCGTGGAGACTTGCGGCGACGAGAGCGAGGTTGGTTCAAGTCCAAGTCGAGCAAGGCAGCGCGGTTGAGACGCGGGCATTTTGGGGAGGCATCGAGCTTGATGGGTGAGCTGCTGGTGTCGGAACCGGAAATGGTCTTGGATTTGTACAATGAGCCGAATGGGGTGAAGACCATCTCGTTGGGTTCTACCTCGCGCGAGTTCTCCTCGAGCTGTTCAAGGACGGATGTATCCTTCTTTTGATTTCTCTTTCGCTTCATCTCAGGTGTAGCAGAGTCGAAGATGTCCATACCTGGCCAGTAAACTCCTTTCAGCTTGGATGCTTCGCTGACCGCCATCGGATCTCTCATGTCAACGTCGGCTTCGGCCAAGGTGGATTCACCCAAGGTGGAGAATGGAGAAGGACTGGTAAGCTTCCGCTCAAAGGTGTCCGTGCTCTCCGTGAAGACATCAGAGCCATCCATGCCAGGTGTAGTAAGGGTAGTGTCAGTACTGGCAGTGTGTGGGCTTGGCCAAGAAGACGTCATGCGGGGGTAGGTATGGTAGCTGAAGGTGTCACCCAACATTGGCGGAGGAGTGGGACTAGGCTCGTCTTTGACAGGGGGTGCAGAGAGCCGAGGGTCCAAGCTGTTGATGGCGCGCCGTCTCAGGTCGTCCGCTTGAGTTGGTCGGGCGGAAGACGGCTTGGACCTAGTGGCGTCTGGTTCCACGTTAACTTTCCGGTCAGCCAGTCCGGCACGGGACAAGACAACTTACTGCTCGACTTGGTACGTGACCGCTTCTTGTCTTTGGCGCTCATCCTTTCAGACATGAGTTTCTCAACCTTCCAATCGGCGTACCATCTGTCATAGTTCTCTAGACATTCGCGTGCGTCAGTCTCGGAGGCGGCGCGGACTTTGCACCTGTAGTAGTGGGATAGATGGCCTTTTGAGGCAATGTGTGTGAGCAAGTGCGACACATCGCTGAATGAGGGTTTCTTTGGGCAGATGTTGCAGTTCAGTGGGATGGTTGTAGTGTCGACGCTGGCCATAGTGAAAGCTGAGCCAGGGGGCGGAGCGACGATAGAGCCCAATGGAAGCAACGGAGGAGCAAGAAGAGCAGGATGCAACCAAGACGCGTCAATAGACGAAGGGAGACAATTGGAGAAAGGAGCGTGCTGAGACGCAGAGAAGGAAGAAGGCTTTCCGCGCTCAAAGGGTGAGAGCCCTAGAGGGGACACTAAGAAAAGGGAGGCAGGCTGGCGGCCGACATTGGAGTGAAGTGTTCCTTCTCCGCAGCTCTTGCTCGTGAGGCTTTTATGGACAGCGCGATGCAGCAGCCGGACGCCAAGACCCCTCAACGCGTCTAAGTCACGAGGACAGGCGGCCATAAGAGATTATTCCGTGAATTCTGTACTGTCTGCAATGTAGCTGAGCATCGCTGAACCCGCCCTCGACTCTTTTGCGAGAGGATGAGCTAATGAAGCGGCCCGCTCGTCCTTCTACTCTTGCCTTGTATCCCATGGCTCATTGTGCAAGGTGCACATGGGTTATTAGATCGCAAGAGCATCGCATAAGCTAACGCCCAGCACCTGGGTGCCCGCCTCATGCTATGCCATCACCCCCTGAGGACCCGCTCTGTCACAACCTTCGGCATGCAGCTGCACGCACCGTCAGCCAGCTCAATCGCAACAGGAGAGCCCATCACTTACTATACGGGATCGACCTCTTGCAGTCCCGGGTACTTCACCAAGCTGAGCCCGGCAACGCCAAAAACCGTGTGGAAAACGTCGACCATGTTGCCAGGCCGGTCGGCAAAGCCGCCTAGCTCTGGGTCCTGGCACTTGAGGATAAAGCTTGAGAGCTTCTCGCCGTCGATCCAGTGCAATCGCCCAATGTTGGCCAGAGCACTCATGACCCACCAGCTATAGCATACATCCTCAAGCTTCTCCGGCCGCCCATTCAGCCCGCCATTCGGCAACTGTCGCTCACTCAACCAGCCTCCCAGCCTGTCGCGGTCCACCAAATCCAAGCGTCCTGCGATGGCTAACGCACCAACGCAGGTGAAAACCTGGCCGGAATGCGACTCGGCGCCAGGATGGGTGCCAAAGCCGCCGTCGAAGTTACAGCAAGCCATGACATGCTCAACGGCCTTCTCAACATCGACGAGATGCATCATATGAAGGAGGGAGAGCGCGTTGAAGGCTCCATATAGGAAGCGCGTATCCGTCTCGCCCCATTGGTCGCCAGCGAAGGTGCCCGTTGTGCGGTCTTGGAGTCCAGCAATGACTGCCCACCATCAGTAAGATGCCATCTCTTTCTGCAAAGTACGAACGGGATAACCGATAACGTACAGCGACCGATCTTCTCCTTTCCTCCAGGCACACGCTGCTCGAGTTCCTCAAACCCATCCAGAGTCGCCAGTATCTGTACCGCACTGACTGTGTAAAGCATGTGTGCATCATGCCCAGGGGCTGCGCCAAAACCTCCGTCCTCATGCAAGCACTTAAGGACAAAGTCCAGGACGTCGTTCTTCGGGAGGGCGTCCGGGTGGCCCAGCAGGTGTAGCGCGGTGAGGCCCCAGTAGAGGCCGTTAAGGCGAAGGTGTTCAGTTAGCCAATATTCCAGTTGATCTTTACGCTGCGCAAAGCTTCAAGTTAGTGAGACGCCTGCGTCAGCCATGTGGCAGCCGTAGACACGCACAGTGTCGAGGCTTTGGATGTATTTGACGTGCTTGTCAATGAAGAGCTGCATCTCTTCTGAGGACTGCGAGTCCTTTACGCCCGCTCGCCCAGGCCCAGATGCAAGAGACATGGTCCGGCAAGAGGTGCTAGCGACAGATGTCGTGTGGTGCTGTTGCCTAGGGAAGGAACGCAAGAGGTTTTGCAGGGAGAGTAGAGTGCGATGAGGTGGAGGTAGTGCCCCATCAGGGTGGGGCCATACCGACGTTTCTCCGCGTAACACCTGGCAAGCTGGCACTTGAATGCGTACCTATAAGGCAGGTGCTACTATTTAACACCACCGAAAAGTGCTTAAATGCTTTCACTAAATGCTTTCACTAAATGCTTTCACTAAATGCTTTCACTAAATGCTTTCACTAAATGCTTTCACTAATTAAGACACCCTAAACTCACAGCATTCGTCTCGTTTGAAAGGACTACAATCAGAACTATACATAGATTCACAAATCAGAAAGCGAATCAAGCAAATACAGCAATGCATATACGTAGTAAACTCGATAATGCTACACTCATCGCCTGCTTGAGAACCCTTTAAGTCCGCTGAACTATCAAATGTAAGAGCAAATGTGTTTGCAGAGAAACAGGCTCCCTATAATAAAGCATAAAAACCATTCAAACCATAACTAACCATAAACTACCCATTTCTCTCCCTTGTCGAGGTGTCCAGTGTAAGCTGGTCCTGACTTTCTGCACATGTCTTCCTGCACTGAGTACTTCGCAAAGGATCCCAGTCGAGGCTGGTGGGATGTGCTTTGCGAAAAAACATACCGCTCAATCGCGCCGATGCCGATTGAAGGCTTTGAAATAGATTCAGGGTCGCAAAGATGCCGAACCAAGGTAAGACTCTTGGAACTGCTGATGCTTCCGGCTGAAGCGAAGTAAAGAGAACGGAAGAGCTGTAAAGCTAACCGTACCAAGATGGCTAGGCCTTATTGCGACCGAAAAATCTGCCTCCGGGATCAGAATTGAAGAAAGGGAAACCGCCGTCGAGTGTATGGGGAATCAAAAGCCGCAATGAAACATCTTCCGTAAAAGGCCTAAGAGTATAGCCATCTAAAAGCCATGACAGCAGAAAAAACTGCATTAAAGCAAAAGGCAAGCTTTTTTTCTTTACAAATGGCAATGGTGTAGGGTAAGTTCCGTTACGCCAGATTGGTCGATCTTGATGGCAAATCGACGATATGGATTGAATTTCAAGACCCCGTGGTTCCTCTTGAACTCCGTGCTAGTGGACAAGCGTGGACATCGTCAAGTGTTGCTGTTGTGATTGATAAAAAATAAAGGAAATTCGTTCCGAAGCGTCTCGTGCATGTATGTTGCTGTGGCACTACTGCCGTGTGTCTGTGCCTGTATTTATTCTTGGAGAATCCGGGCAAAGTGTTTCTCCCAGATCCATCCGACGGTGCGCGAAGGATCATCTTGGTTGCGCGCAAGCCAGAGTTCGCCCTTCTGGCCGATGACATCGAATATCTGTTCTTAAATCAGCCTCGAGTTTTTTAACAAAAGGAATTGAACACTCTGACCTCTCCTGGTACATAAACCAAATATGGGAATCCAGCCTCTCGGCGGTCATGGGCAATGTTGAACTCAAAAAGGCTAGCTGCCAGGAACAGCACCTCGCTCTCTTTTTCGTCAGTCTCAGAAGAGGTATCATCGCGCTGATCGCGAGTGTCCGTAGGTGACTCAGCCATATTCATCGGCATAGCGGAATTGAATATTGATGATGTCCGCGTTTGGTTCGATTGTGCAGTGAACGATGACTGTCCTGATTGGCGACCGTGCTCATTGTAGTTGTCGAGGCTCAGACGTGTCATGGAAGCAGCCGCCGACTCGATACCCCGGCCGGCAGAAGTGGATGGTCGCTGAGGGAAATAACTCGCACCAGGACCTTGATTAGCAACCGACTGAGGAGTGGTAGGACCGCGGCTTGACAGATTTGAACCTGCACGCATGCGTCCCATGCCATTAGGAGACGGGTGGCCCGGTGAAAGCGGCGGCACCGTGTCCATTATCAGCGGCGTGCTGGCAAGCTCAGGCAGATGAGTGTAATTGCCGCTGGTGCGTTGACTCTGGCTCATCTCGGGCGAGCTGATTACCGCGGACTGGTCGCTGTGGATAGACTGAGACCGTTTGGAGCTCGCAAAAGTTCCCGGTCGCTTCATAGAACTGTCGTCCATGATGAAAGTCGTGGCTGGAGAGAAAGCGGCCATGTCCTTGACATTGCGCAGAGCGGATCCGATCCTATCCATTTCCATGAGAACGTGCCTGAAGTCGCTGTTGAACATGTCCACAATGTCCGAATGACCGTCACGCAGTCGTCTGTCCTTTTGGACCTCCTCAATAGTATGCTGGAATTTCTTGTGCCAGCTCTCATACCAGACACGCTGCGAGTGGATAAGATTTTTCTGGCATGCTTCGATCAGAATTTTTGTTTTGCCATATAGTTTCGGCAGTTCATCCTTCAGGACCTCATTGATGGCAATGAATTCTTGGCCAGTTTCTTCGAGTTTCTTGTCTGGCTTGGTACCGTTCTCCTTTGCGAGCTTGTAGCGAGCATATTCAGGAAGACGCTTCTTCCGCTTCTGCATGAGCTTCTGTGGCTTGCCGTGTAACTCCCAAAGGGCCATGATTGGCTGAATGACAGTTTTACGAACTTGTGTCTTATGTTCTGTCAGACAGGTCGCCGTCATCTCCTTCAACGTCAGGCTATACCTGAGCCACTTGCTAGTGATCTCTGGCGGAGAATCTGGGTCGACGTTGGAAGCCCATTCGACAAATTCACGTGCGAGGTTAGAGTTCTGTTCCACCATTTTGTGGACGTCATCTAGATACTTCTCCACATCGCGCATGACGATCTGCAGCTGGAAGAAGTGACCGCCGAATTTTTGAGAGATTGCGTCGTACTCAGAGTCTTCGACCTGTTCAGACAGTCCGGCAACTTGCTTCAGTTTCTCGCCACGACGCGCGAAGGCCTTGCTAAGTCCGGAAGGAAGAAGACCGTCAGATTCTTTCCGCTTACGCGTAACGATCTTCTCAACTAGCTCTTTCCGGCCCTTGGCCTCGTCAATGCGGGCGGCAAGAGCCTTGATACCCTCGGAAGCTGCGCTGAGGTTGCTGCGATCAGGGTGGTCGTCCGGAGTGCAGCCAATCATCTGATCCAAAAGCATGCTATACTTGAGAAAGCGTTGAGTTGGCTTAACGATCAGTGCATCAAGGTTCCAGGCGGTCGTGATGTCGCCGGCGTAGTTGTGGCACTCCTTGAGCCACACCTGAACTTGCTTGTTCTGCTGGATCTCCACCAAGCGTTTGTTAGCCGCCTCGTGGTTCTGGACGTAAACGCTATATACCCGTTCCATGTTAGGAAGTTGCTCGAGAAAAGCTGCACCAATTTTGGTAGTTCTGTCAGATCGATCGCTAGGTGGTTCCTGCATGCTGTCACCAGGCGCAGCGCTGTGAGTTGTGGATATACTATTCCGATGGGTCCGGGAACTCCAACGACCAGTGTCCTTGAGGCGGAATATACCCTCAGCGGCAGGCTTGAGGGAGTCAATGAAGCTCAACGAGAATGCAACAATGTCGCCGCTGTTGCCAAAAAGCAACTTTCGGTCCTCATCGGTAACCGCCTCAATGGAAACGGAGGTGGCCTTATAGATATCCTCGACGACCTTCATGTCTTGGAAATATGAAAGTTCGGTTTCGAGTAATTCTTTGACGATATGTCTCCGCTTGGTGAGGCGCTTCAGTGTCTGCTCATCAAGTTCTTCCGTCTCCTGAGGTAGCCCCTCTTGTGACTTGGAACCGATCGATTGAGATGCTGAATGATGGGGAGTGGCGCTTCGACTAGCGCTGCGGCTCATGCTATGGCTCATTCCTGCACCTTCTCTAGAAGATCTCGAACGAATGGTACCGGCACGTGAAGGTGCAGAGGGGAATGCGCTGGAAGCAGGGTTGCGGCTGTAGACACTCGGCGAGGGCGGAGAATTCATTAAACCGGATGTTGCATCCGGTTCGTTGACGAGTTGTGCCAAAGGCGGAATTTCTGGGGCGTCATCTTGTGTACGAGTGGAAGGGTCGCTGCGGGGGACGTCAGATTGCACGGACAATCCAAGACCTTCGCCGGTGGCTGCCAGCTCCGGCAAATGGGGTTGGAAAGGACTTGTCAGTCGTGAAATAGGCTCCAAAGGTGTTGCCGGCGCTGTGTTGTTCTGTGAGTTTAGTGACGTAGGGGCCCTGGATGAGTAATCCCAATCTTTGGGTGGAGGCAGTGGTCGGTCATCACTCGACAAACTCGATGGCCTGGACTTTCCGTATATCTCAGGCTGACCATATATGATTGCCATCCCGCTGTACTCTCCTTCTGGGGCGAGGTCCTGCTCGTAATCGTCAAGACAACCCGTCCAGCTTTTCTTCTGCTGCTTCGGAGTTTCTTCTGGAGACACAGAAGCGCCATTTTGCCCGCCCTTGAGAAGGTTTTCCAGATACTGTTCAGTCTTGGCCTTTGAGCTCCAAACATCATCATACCGCGCCAAGTTGGGAGAGACCGTCTGCACCTGTTGCTGAAATCCGTGGGCCATTTCGGGCGAGATTGCCTCAGAATTGTAGTAGCAGTCAAGGATTTTCTGAATGGTGCTGCACGCGTCGCTACTGAGAGTTTGGCGGGCATCGGCCGGCGTGAAATAAATTGTCGGTGTCCAATCGCCGAGGCGCGGATCGCGGTGCTGATGGCCAATGCCCACAGCGTCCTCTGGTGCAATAGCGGAGTGGGGATCGTAATGGTCGAATTGCCGTTGATGCTCTTCGTCGTCGACGAACTTGATGCCTTGGCTGGAAGATTCGAAAGAATGGGCGCTCCAGCGCACACCCTGGTCTTGAGGTATATGGTTTTGAGCGGTCCACTCCCGTTGCGCTTGTTCCAAAGTGGGCGTGCCCCGAAGCATGATGGGAATCGATCCTTGATCGTCCAACCCCTCCAGACATTCTGCAAGCTCGCTCCGAGAAACATTGGAGCTCCCCCTCTCCCTCAATTTCTTGACCGAGTCTAGAATGTTCTTGTCGTTGGGGGTTTGTTTATTTCGTTCGCCGACCGGGCCCGACGTTCCGGCTTCAGGGGTGGAAATATCGCCCAACTTAGAATCTCTGAACGATTCATGCTTCGGCGAGGCGTCCGCCTGGCTATCGTAGTTCCGAGAGCTTGAACCTAGGATTGGAGATTCATCCATTTCGAAATCGGTACCCGCGGTCATCGGCGTCCGGTTGTCAGCTCGAGGAAGATCCTTCACCTCCAAAGACAATTTGCGGCTGCGAGACGAATGAGTGCGACTGGGCGCACGTCTAACAGCTTCTTTGATTGGCGCGGACTCCTGCAACTGCCTCGATTGCTTTTCGCGCACAACCGAGGAAGGGCTCACACTGCGAGAATCCGCCATTGCGCTTGATCCAGAGACACTCCGTTGACTAGGGCGTTTTATTCCTTTATCACGGAGAGACCTCTCAATCTGTGCTCTTCTTGCGGCAATGCTTGTTTGCGAGAATCCCAGGTCCTTCTTAGGCCGTGACGAATAAGAAACGCTTCTGCTCGACATTCGCTCCGCAATTGATCCGCCTGATTCTGCCGCATGCGCTAAGCGCTCGTCGAGCTTTGTTTTAGTTGTAGAAGTGGAAGCGGCGGAAACGGGTTGACGCGGGCGAGAGCTGCGAAGCACTGGTGAGGTCATCGGAGGGGGAACCTTCACTTGGACTGGCAATTTTGGACTCTCGCCTTGGCGTTTATTAGGGCTGACAATGTAGCTTCTTGCCGGAAGTTGTCCTGGAGGAGTCGCGGGCCGAGATCTAGAGGCATTCTCCTTGCCTTCGCTTCGTTCAGCACCCGAAGATGTCGGCTGGAATTTCCGATCACCCATCGCTGAGCTCGCCCTCGAACGCGATGCTGGCGCGTAGTCGGATGCCGCAGATGTACGCCTTCTTGGGACTGCCCGGGGAATCCGCGACTGTTGGGGTGACCGATTAGAACCAGTTACGGAAGAAATCTGCTCATAGAAAGGGTCAATTCGGTTCATGAGATCACGCGTCAGAGGCGAAAGAGGGCCGCCCGTCATGTCGCTCCGCGACCTGCTGTGGCCTTGCGCAGAAGAAGGGCGCGCGGGCACCGTCCGGACGTTGAATGGCTCGGCATAGAGGGGCGCACTTCCCGAAGCCGTGTGGCTTCGCGAGCGCAAAAACATGGGTTTCTGCATGCCAGCATCGGTGTGCACAGTGGCCTCGATTCCAAACCCAGCCCCATATAGACCGTTGCCGTTTGGTACCTCGCCAAACAGCAGTCGCCGACGAGAGCCACCGTGATCCGAATGAAGACTGCTCACCGACTGGGATGCCTTGGGGACATCGTGCTCTGGTATCATCGAGGTCTTTTCGCGCCTCGAGGTATTTCGCGATCCCGTCGTACCGTTGGCGCCGTTGCCTGTCTTGCGTGGATCTTTGTATGTTCGGCCATCGTGTTGAGATCGCGAATGATCGTCGGTTTTCGGAATGACGGGCGAGCTCGCATGTCTCGCTCCTGATCGGGAGGCGGCTGCAGGCTTGCGCAGCTTGCCGGTGACGGGGTCGGACGGGTGTGCGGTGTTGAATTTATTCACGAGGTTTTTGACGGGCGGACGAGATGAGTTTGTGGATACTAGCCCGTTGGAGACGGGCAGCGAGGATGCCGGGCCAGAGATGGAGCGCATGTTCTGGCGAGGGTTGTTGTTGTGCATGGCGGGCGGAGGTGACTTTGCGTCACTGGCCCGATGCGGCAGCTTCGGGCGTGAGCTGACCGTCGCCATGGCGCCGTCGCCGACGGTATTATCTGGTTGACGAGTATAGGTTGTCGAGGGGAGGTAGAGACCCTGGCGGTAGAAGTCGTCCGGCTCGCCAGCATCTGGGCTTTCGGCCGGGGCTGCAGGCGACAGGGCTCCGTTAGGCAGGTAGTAGTCGCCGGGGTGGCGGTGCTCAGAGTAGCTTGAGCGAGCAGAGCTGCTCCATGGTTGGAAGTCCTCCGACTCCATTGCTTCTCATTGCCTTCTTCCTCCTGTGCCGTGCCACGCCAGACGCCGGTGGCTCCAGGGTGGCTAGGGATTCGCGCGTGCTGACGTCGCAATGGCCGGAGTGAGGTGTGTGAGTCGTCGAGCCGCGTGGGAGGCGATCGCCAATGGGCCGGCCGGACGAAACAGGAGCGCAAGGTGAAGCGAACGATGTCGTGTCGGCGCGCGAGCAAATGGAGAGAGGCGCTCGGTACAAGTCAACGGGCCGGCGACGAATCAGCAGGCGCGTCCGAGGGTAGGAGTGTGTGAGGTGTTTCACGACTGGGGGCTTGCCGGGCGCCGCAGCAGGGCGGATCGGTCAAGGCGGCGTGGTGGGGGGATGGGGGGGAAGGGGCTCAGCTCGACGGTGCGAAGAGAGAGCGAGGCCAAGGAGCGATGGTAGGTGGTAGTTTAGTTAGTGAGCGTAGGTTGTGTTGCACCGTGAAGATTGAGCGCGGCCGGGGGTGCTGAGCCTTGGGCTGGTTGCGCGGGGGACTGGCTAGGCGCACAGCCGCGGGCTATTGGAAAAGCAACAGCTAAGATTGCCAGACATGCAGCACAACAGGCAGGGTCCGCATCTAACGGAAACCGGGCTCGTATGCCCCGTCTATTGCATCTCACGGGCCCTGGTGGTACGGCCACGATCCACGCAAATCCTGTGTTGATGTCGACCCGCAGCCCCGTGCTAGGCCTCCCGGGGCAATCTTCCGCTGCTTAGCGCTGCCTTCTCTCCTCACCATCATGAAGAGGAGACGTCCGCCCAGCGCCCCAGAGGCCCGCCCGCTCAAGCGCCCGCGCCACGACGGCCTCACCCATCCCGTCCTGCAGCGCTTCTATCCCGTCTGCCTCACCCTGCGCCACTATCTGCTGGCTACCCTGTCCGGCGCCTCAACCCGCAAGCGCCGCCGCATCGCTCACCTGGGCCTGACGCGCTCTGACGCGCTGCACGTGAACCCCGACGCCGACGCGCTTCGCCGCTTGCTGGACAGGACTATAGTCGGATGCCACGACCATGTCAATCCCCAGTCGCCGGCTGACCTGGAAAGAGAGCTGCATCTTTTCTCCCAACATCAACCCGCTTCCACCATAGCCAGCTCCAGCAGCACCACCGCCAACGAAGTCCATCCGGCTCTGCAATCGGAGGTATGTCCGCTCGCCGACTGAAAAAATGTCCCCTTGCCTCCGCCACCGGTACATGCCATGCTGAACATGCTCAACTAGGTTGTCGATTTTGTCATTTGGTCCTTATTCAGGAAATACCCCAATCAGCATCGGCCCCCGCATGTCCTCTGCCATGGATTTCAGCGAGCGTCGTATTCAGATCAAAACGTGGGCCCCCGCCTCAATGGCAGTCCGGGCATTCCAGGAGTCACGCCTCTCTTCCCCAACAGCCATGTCGAAACCGCCAAAGGCCCGCCGTGGTCAACGCTTCTGGTGGCATTGGGCAGAGGAGGTGACCGCGTCATCATCGACCTGCTGATGCGTTGCGCCGTCTTCGTTTTGGCAGAAGGCGCAAATGAAAACTGTTACCAACTGAGTGGTAAGTGCTGCTGATGCTTACATTGTGATCAGTTCATCTAAGACGGTCTAGGTAAACCGTTGACAGAAATTGAACCCATTCCTCCCCAGCGGTGCCCAACAAATAAGCATTCGGCGGAGACACTATCGACTCTTGCGCCGGAACGCGCTAAGCCAAACGTTGAACCCAAAAGCGATAGCGTTGCTGGACTCACAGCGATCACATTCGTGAGGAGCCGCATGCTTTATGCCAGAGCAGCGCTGAATGCGAAAGGAACAGTTCGTTTTGGGCTTCGACATATCCGTATGCTTCTCCGCCCCACTTTTGTAACCTTTGACGCTAATTGGCGTAGATGTCCTGAATCGTTTCTCGGATTGTACATCTCTCAGACAGACAATTCACATCATGAAGCACATCTTTCCTCGGCAGTTTGGCTTACACAATGTGTTCACATCAAAAACTGATTATAAGGATACCTCGCAACCTTTCAAGGATTACACAGTTCGTGAAGAAGAGATCGCGCGCGATCGTCTTCGCAAGGTCTCCAAAAAGGGGCAAACAACTAGCAAGGCTGCCGACTACATTGAGCCAATACCAAAACGATTGAGAGGTCAGGCTATAGACCTTGTTCGCCACTTTAGGGTCCTTCACCATAGATGTTCTTACACTGAATTGTTGCGACATTATTGTCCCTCCAAAAAAGATGGCACGCCCAAGAACAGCGGCCTTGCGAGCAGTCAAAACAGCCTCCCCAAAGCAATGCTCCATGTGGAAGCTGTTGAGAACGGGTCATCACAAAAACATGACCAGGGCTTGCCTACTAATGATGATACGGAACTCTCAGCTTCCCAATCGCCGCCATCATTGGAGAATTCAACGACCGAACAACCGTTTACGGACCTTGCAACACCAGCTCATCAGGTTTCAGCGTTTTGCCGTGCAATTGTGTCAAGTGTTATCCCGAACAACTTCTGGGGCGAAGGCGCAACGGGAGAGCACAACAAGCATCTTGTTATGCGACAAATTGATCGATTCGTTTGTCTCCGTCGATATGAAAGTTTAACTCTGCATGAAGTGCTGCAGGATATAAAGGTACGACTGTTTGTCCTTGCCTTAGCGACAGCTCGTTGACAAGCCATCCACAGATCGCCGAAATTGCTTGGCTTCGACCCTCTGGCGTCCGTTCTGGGACAAAGATGTCTAGAACAGACTTCACGAAGCGCCAGGAAATAATTCAGGAGCTGGTTTATTACATCTTTGACTCTTTTATCATTCTTCTTATCCGTTCCAATTTTCATGTAACCGAATCGAATGTTGACAAAAATAGAATCTTCTATTTTCGTCACGACGTCTGGAAGATGTTATCGGAACCCACTTTAGCCGACATAAAGGCCACCATGCTCGAGGAGATGAGCCAAGCAAACGCCATGAAAATATTGGCAAGTCGATCACTCGGATACAGCCAGGTCCGGTTGTTGCCGAAACGGGTCGGGGCTCGTCCGATTACAAACCTGAGAAGGCGTTTGCCGGTTCAGGTTAATGGAAAGACGGTACTTGGTAGGAGCATTAACTCTGTGATGAGGCCGGTCTTCACTGTGCTCAATTACGAGAAGGTAGGCTTCCTTCGGGGTAACGAGACGATCCGCTGACGCGTTCCGCACAGTCCACTCAGCCACGGAGTCTCGGTTCGTCATTGTTCTCTGTCGGTGACATGTACCCGCGCCTTAAAGCATTCCGATCTAAACTGGAGCAGCGCGATCTCACTGGCAAGCCACTTTACTTTGTGAAGGTGGACGTGAAGTCGTGTTTCGATACCATACCCCAGAAACGTCTTGTTCAACTAATCAGGCGCCTCCTTTCGCTAGACGAGTATCGCGTAGCACGTCACGCCGAAGTGCAGGCGGCAGGCCCGCACCAATACTCGACAACTGTGGCGTCGTCGATTAAACCAATTAAGAAATTCATCTCTCGGGGCCGAAGTACTAGCGACACATCCGACTTCGCCGATTTGCTTCGCGCCAAAGCTTATCTCGGCGGTGCTAATAGGGTCTTTGTGGACTCGGTGGTTGAACAGACGCAGACGAGGCGCAAAGTGCTAGAACTGCTCACCGAGCACGTAGAGCGCAACATGATCAAGATTGGAAAGAAGTATTATAGGCAGAAAAACGGCATCCCGCAGGGCTCAGTGTTGTCCAGTCTGCTGTGCAATTTCTTCTACGCAGAACTGGAGGCTAAACTATTAGACTTCCTCTCCGCCGAAAACAGTGTTTTGCTGCGGCTGATTGATGACTCGCTACTGATCACGACTGAACGCGCGCATGCCGACAGATTCCTGCAGGTTATGCACGATGGAAACGAGAACTATGGGATCAGCATCAAAAAAGCAAAGACGTTGGTAAACTTTGACACCAAGGTGCAGGGGTCGGAGGTGTCCAGACTACCTTCTGGGACGAGCTTTCCGTACTGCGGCGCTCTCATTGATACAGGGACTCTCGACATTAGCAAAGAAGTGCAGCAAAGGGACAGCAACAGTAAGCTGGTCGATGACGCGGCGCAAGTTGGTCTGTCCACTGACACAGACGGCAGGATGGCGCGATAGCCTCACGGTCGAATTCTCGAAGCTACCAGGGCAGACGTTCCACCGGAAGACGCTCAAGTAGGTCAAGGTTGGTTGGTACTGAGGGGATGAATTGAGGGGCTGACCGCTTGCGACACAGTGCACTCAAGATACAGCTCCACGGGATGTTCCTCGACACGGCGTTCAACAGCGTGGCGACAGTGCTCGGCAATCTGTTCCGCAGCTTTCTGGACGCAGCGCAAAAGTGTTTTCAGTACATCAAGAGCCTGCCGGCGCAGAAGCGGAGCTGCGACCGACTCCTTATCAGTAAGTGCAAACCATGGGATCAGGGCGATCAAGTGGAGCGATCGTCTGCTCGTGTCCGGCCCCCGGGAGCGACACGGGCGATCAACGGGAGCAGGACAAGGGCATGGACATGGTCTCGCTGACCTGGCGGTATAGAGACGGTGAATGATGTGGCCGGATTGGCGGCCGGCCTGATGCGGAAGGAGAGGGCGCGCAGTCGGGCAGAGGCGTGGGCCGACTTCGACTGCCAGGTCAAGCGACGTCATGGCAAATGGTGAGTTTCGGCGGGCGGCGATCCGAGCGCAAGGCCAAAATTGGCTGGCTGTGGCTTGCTGGTGTGGCTTGCCAGGTGGTGCCAAGGTTCCCCGTTCCAACGGCCCAGGAGACAGACGGCTGACTCGCGACAGGCTGGCTTGCCGGGCCTTCAAGTCGGTGTTTCAGCGCAGGCAGACGAAATATCCAACGCTCCTGCGCTGGCTGGACGCCAACCTGCTGGCGCTGAGGCCCCGGTACCGCGTCGACGGAGACGCGCTCGAGCGTGCGGCGGCAGGGGCTGGGACGTGAGGATGAGGGGAGGGGGGGCTGGGTGTGGGAGGGTGGAGGGTGGTGGATCATCGCGCGCGCTACCACCAGCGTGACAGCAAGCAGCGGGCGATGATGATGATGATGCAGCGTGATGCATGCGGACAGGACAGGCCATTGTTCGCTGGCCCTCTCAGGTACTCTAGGCAGCGCCAACCCCCGGGAGCGGGAGTGGCAGGCAGTCATCTGTAGTAGATAAAATCCTCCAATTTCGCCCGCCCCAGCGGCCGTGCAACGCGAGAGATTAAGGATCCCCCCACCCCAGAAGCGGCGTAGTGGCACTGGTCACCACGCACTCCCCTGCCACCAATGCCCATGCCCGCAGCTTCCTGCTGTTCACGCCTGAATGCCCCCCGTTTCCACCACGACTCGCCTGCCGACTCCTGGCCGGGCCTTCATAGCATTCTAGAGCACCAGCCGTATGATTCTGCTGACCATGTTTATTTCCACTCCTTGACCCACGGCCCGCCTGTCAAAGCTCCCCGGGGAGCCCGCTTCTTTGCCGCATCGCCTGCTGCGTCCACTCGCTCTTCTGCCTGCATCAAAAACCCCATCTCTCCCCGGCCACCACGCCCTCTCCTGAAACCAATGACGACCACACGCATCCAGACTATGAACCATCAATCCCTCGGCCCGGTGCCGGCCCCAGACTCGCCGCCTGACCTGACCGACTCCAAGTCGTCAAAGTCCTCTTCGCTCCACTCCACCAGCCTGTCCGAAATCACCGGCTCGCACGACATCACCCACTATGAAGACATAAGCCTCGACGACCCCAAGGCGCGCTTCGCACACGACTCGGCCGCTTCCGGCAAGAGAGACTCGGCCAAAGCCTTTGTTCCGCGCGTCCCGGTGACCATGACCTCTGGCGACAAGCCTTCGCGCGCTGTCCCGCAAGCCGGGACGGCTCCCGCCTTCAGGGACCTGACCACGTCCAACAAGCCCAAGTATCCAGGTCTCCAGGCGCACACTCGGGATCAACAGTCCAGCAGTACTCTCAGCATCCCAGGCCGGAGAAGCATGCGGAGAGGCTTCACCAGCCCTTCGACGCCATCCTTAACCCCGAGCAGCAGCCGCCATTCCCGCTCGCCCTCCTCCTCTCCCCGCCCGTCTCGCTCTCCGCGAAACCGGTACACCGCGCCGGCCTCTCCGTCTCGCACCTCTTCCATGGAATACAGGCCTGGCTTCATGCCCACCACCGTTCGCAGGCAGTCGTGGCAGCCCGGTCGCAAGACGGTGGAGGAATTGGAAGCCGAGTACCATGATTCCGATGAGGACATTCCCGACGATGCCGTCATCTTCAACATTCCGATGTCTCCTCGGCCGCCCCACGACCGCTTGTCTCGCTCCATGTCTCGTTCGACATCGTTTTCCTCCTCGATTGCCGAGAGCATCCCCGAGACCAAGCACCACACTTCAGCCCCCGCCGCCCTCGGAGACAACGCATTACCCAAGTCGCCCCGTTCATCGGCTGGCTCGTTATATTCTCCCAGCGTTACCGATAGCATACCAGAAGAAAGCGCACTCGAGATCAGTCGCACTAAGTCATGGACTGCGGCGCTGTCAGACTTGTCGCGAGAGGCCAGGGAGTTGACAGAGAAGTTGGAAGAGCATGCCGGAGAAACTGAGCGCGAGCGTGAGAAGAGGATTCAGAGCGGGGCAGCGTCAGCGCGGCCGTCGGTAGAGAAGAGCAAGACAACCTCGTCCGTTATACAACTACCGCCGGTTCAGAAGGGCAACATCATGATAGACCCGCTGCCAATCAGCAAAGAGAAAGAGAAGGTGTTGAGTCGCACGCGGCCAAGCTGGTTACCACCAAAGGATCCCCAGGAAGAGAAGAAGCACCTCAAGGAATACCAGAGGATGATGGCTCATGCACAAGAAGCTGGCAAGTACAAGCGCTAGATCTCCCATTCCTCTGCTAACAGGAGCAGAGCGTCGCATGTCCGCGAAGAAGCAAGAAGAGCAACAACGGCGCGACAACCAGCAAAATTCAATCTCGCGCATTTGGGACCAGCACGTCTTGCCCAATTGGGATCAGGTCATCAACGAGCCCAGAACCCGCGAACTCTGGTGGCGTGGCGTGACGCCCCGCAGCCGTGGCATGGTGTGGCAGCGAGCAATCGGCAACGAGCTGGAGCTGTCCGAGACCAGTTACAACGCAGCTCTCGAGCGTGCCAAGACGCTGGACAAGAAGCTGAAGAAGCTTGGCGGCGAAAAGCCGCGCGAGGCCTTGTGGTTCGAAAGCATCCTCCGCGACACCAACGACGCTTTTCCCGAACTCAAAATTTTCCAGCTCGGCGGCCCCCTGCACGACACCCTTGTTGATGTTCTCATGGCCTATGCGATGTACCGCTCGGACGTGGGCTATGTTTATGGCACTCATGTAAGTCTAGAACGCTCATTTCATGCCTGCCTTACCCACCCCTGAACCCCTGGCCCCCACGGACCTGTTTTAGCCAATAAAGGCACGGACTTGAAGCTGACATGCATACCAGCTCATTGCCGGACTTCTGGTCCTGAATTTGCCCCCGGCCGCGGCTTTCATTGCCCTCGCCAATATCCTCAACCGACCCCTTCCTATGGCCTTCCTCGTCAACGATTCGAATGCCATGCGTCGCGCAAATGACCTCGTCCTCCGCACCCTGCAATACAAGTTGCCGAACCTGCACAAGCACCTTGCCGTCACCCTCAAGCTAGAGCCGGAAGAGTATCTCGAGCCGATGTTCCGCACGCTGTTCTCTCGGGGTGCCGATCTCGACATCGTGTCAAGAATCTGGGATGTCTACGTCTTCGAGGGCGACAAGGCGCTTGTGAGGGCTGCGGTGGGTGTGTTGGATGCACTCGAGGGAAGGCTGTACGGAACTCACGACGAGGTGTTGGCGCTGCTGGGTTGGAACGGCAAGGCCGACTGGGCCATCAAGGACGTCGATTCTTTCATGAAGGGCGTGCGGAGCGCCGGCAAGGTTGACGCGCAGGCCAATGGCGCCAAGCCTTGATGGCAATGTAAAAGTACACGGGGAAAAGGAGAAGGAGAGGGAGATTTTTTTGTATAAAAGAGCGCGGGGGTTTCTATTGTTGGCGGCACCTTGCGTAACGCGTCACCCGGCACGCGTACGGACATACACGCACAACGTAATTTTAATGGCGGAGCAGGAACTACGACCAGAGAGCACCAAACGGTACAAACGGAAGAGAAGGATAAGCAAGATCGATTACCGCATGGCATCGGCAAAAAAGGAACGATGTCGACAAGCCTCAGCAGCCACGAGAGGGCGTTTCATCTTACATTTACACGACCAACCAAGCAAACAGACGAGTACGGAAGCATTGTTCAGCGAAACTCCGTAGCTCGCCTTCCACTCATTGGGATCCCGCAGTATCACGGGTACACGGTTCTCTTTTATCTCACAGTCTCATCGCCTACACAGGACTTGGCTCCTTTCCTGAGAGATTACTTTTTTCTTCTATTTTTCGTTCCTTGGAGTTTTCTTTGGAGTCACCTAGAAACTCCGGTTATCCAGCCAGGATGGCGGACACTTTCTGTTTTGTGTCTATTCTATATTGTCTTGTTGTTGTCAGCGACTGGCTCCTCACAGCAGTCGCGAGTACAGTACAGCGTTGTTTTTTTGCGGAGGACGGGCCCGTGGCCGCTCAAAATATTGCGGCTGAAGGGGTTTTTCCAGCAGGGTTCACATTGTCATTCATCGTCATTCTTGTCATCATTGATACAACAAACCACACAACACGCATGTGCGCATGGCGTTTTCTTGCCATTCTCTTTTTGTCGATTTTTCTCGTTCTTCTCTTCTCGAGCCCTATTATCATCTTCTCTTCCGCTTGTTGACGCGTTCGTCTTTGCGGCTTGTTTTTGGGTACATTGGCGTTTTCCTATTGCTTGTATATTTTCTTGTTGGTCTGTTTTGCAGCATGCGTGGGAAGACGGATGGGATAGAAGCTTGTTTGCTTGTACAGATTGTAGCAAGAAAAGCGCGAGACGCGGCGGCCGCGCCGCTCAGCGCTGACGCGGACCGATGGACGGCTTGACGACGGATTGTGAAGAATGGATCCATTCTTAGAGGTAGGGGGAGTATTGTCGAATTCGAATCAGAGCTCAGATGTTCTTCTTCATCTCTATCTACTTGAATGCTTGTGTACGCTTCCATGGGTGTTAGTAGGTACCTGGTCTTGCGTGTAGTGCGCATGGACGTCAGACTGACTGACTGACTAGGCTTGGCGAAGGGCAGGCAGATTGTGAGTGCAACCTCTCTTTCTACAGCATCTTCCTTCTCTCCGCATGTTACGCATATACTGACAACAAACCGCATGCTGCGCATACATTGGAAAGTCTTCGGTGCCTTCTGTGCGGAAGACATGACGTTACGTTCAAGGTCACACAATGCAACCCACCAGCACCCACCACGCCATTCCCTCCCTCCCTAGCACAGCAGAATCGACGACAAGACACAACCCGACGCGACACGAACAAACGGCCAGCGAACAAAATTCCCCACCTGCCTACAGCCCCGAGCGCGCTCCCGGCCCCCCGCGCCTCCAGTCGCCGAAACCTGTGTCTCAAATACTGCATGCATGCAAGCACGACCACCAACGCACCCCGTACATACATGTGAACAGAGGCTATGTTCGAGCATCCTCATACGTGTGTATATGGACAGCCAGTCTTCGTATCCGGCCAACAGCCAGTGGAGCCCCGGTCCGCTTGTCGTGCAGCCGTAGCAGTGCGAGTAGGACCGACCTGATTGAACGACGGCTTCCGCGATGCTGACCGCCATGGCGGCGATATTGAGGAAGGCCGACGCAGGCGCCGGGAGCGCGCAAGAGGAGGGAGGCACGGCGGATACAGGTGGTCAAACCGTCACCAGCATCACCGTTGCGAGGTATCACTGCTGCCGTTACAGCTGCTACCATCGCCACGGCATGCCTGTTTACCCACCCGACGGCTTCTCCTCTCTTACTCTACCCTACCAGCCCGGCACACAAGCCCAGCAGGTCAGCGGCGCGGGACCGAGCTCCGATCCGCCTCCGACGCTATGATTATTAGGTAGGCGATACCGGATGCCCAAGTGCCCAAGCACGGCCAGGCCGGTGGCGCAGCACTGCCGCCGGCGGCACTACTTCTCGCTCACCTCACACTAGTGTCTTTTTGTCTTTATCCTAGTCAGCCTTTGATACTGTACGTACGAGTACTACGTACGCCCTCCGGCACACATACACAGGCGCGCGCAAGCGGACGAGCCCGGTCGTGGTCGGGCCCGAGGAGGCGAGACGTGGTGGCTAAATCGCGGCGGATGCGTGGATGGGCTGCCTCGGTCTTGTAGTAATGTAGCGCAGACAGGCAGTAAGTCAGTTGCGCTCGTAAAAGCGGGAGGCCTTGTCTGCTATCTACCGCAACAGTGGGAGGACTCGAGTAAGTACACAATAAGCAAGCAAGCAAAGCCAATCGCTTCGCCCGCAATGTCCGCCGTAGCGGTAGTAACCACCTCGGACCTACCTATCGCCTATATACCCAGTGCCACAAGAGACAACAAATAAAATAAAATCACGAAACACACAGTGCCCAGGGCAGCAAACTAGAGCAGGAGATCAGTAAACTGACAAGCAAAAAAGTCTAAGCGTTGCGTTGGCGTTTCGTTGCGCTGTCGCGGCTGGGAGGGGGGCGCGACACAGGGATCAAGAGAGCCGGGCCAGCCCAGACCGGACCAGGCGTTCCATGGGCGGGGACCGCGGGCGTGGCTGTGCAGGCAGATTGGGGCGCGTCCGGGCGGGTTCATGCCCGTGGGTCTCGGTGGCACGGGTGGGTGGGGCGATGGCGGAGGAGGGGAGGAGGGGTCGAGGGAGGGACAGAGGGGGGGGAAGAAAGCAGCACGAGAGCTTGGGACGAGCGGTGGGGGTGGGTGATTTAGGTGAGGGAAGGGGTTTTGGTGATGGTGATGAGAGGGGGTTTGGCGATGGGGTTTGGGTAGGGGGAAGGGGCAGGGGGGGCTTGGGCGATACAAGGGGTGCTGAAGGTTGTCGTCGTGGTGTGGGTGCCGCGCTCCCTGCTGGTGCTGGTGCGGATTGCGAATGGGCTTTGGCTGGAGGGATGGAACGTGGGAGGCGCTGGTGGCTGGTGCTGGTGCGCGGGAGGGCGTGTCTAGCTCTTGGTGATCCCACTCAGCCGTTGTCGTTGTAGACCGGACGAATATGCTTTTCCTGTTTGGATGTTTCCCTTTTTAGCCAGGAGTTCGACTTGCCGTATTGGGGGTGGTGGTCGATGCCCGCTAGCTAGTTAAGCTTTTAGAAGAAGTTTGATTTGCCTTCCCATTTCAGGGGGGCATCGGCGGCCTTGTCTAGTGAGTAAGCATACGGGATGAGCTAAAGATATGTTAGCGTGCTGTCTGTTGAGCTATAGTGAGATGACTGACGTAGTTGACTAGATGTGGTGACTATAATAGGTTCATTCACCTCTATTCTTTAACAAGGCCTCCCTCATTTTGTGAAAACCAAATAAAGCAAAACAAAACGCCAAAAAAGAGAGTTGAACAATCAGCCAAGGTATGTACGCACAGTGTCTCCTCGGGCAGCGTCATCCGGACCTCCTCCATCAGATTACCTGTCTAACCAGTAGACCAGTAATCCGACAGAGAAGAGTATCATTCTTGGCGGCTGTCCATGAAATGTTTTCGCAATTTGTAAAACTTATACTGGATAATTGTCCTTTCGGAACTGATCTGTTAAATGCTTTGCAGTGTCTACCATGCTAGTTACCTACAGATTTACCTTTCCTTTACTTTTTGTGCTTCCTTACGAGAGAGCTCGAAGTTAACAGGCCAAGATTCTTTCTCATTCCTTTATTGCTTTCGCACGAGTCTTCTCGTGATTATCAGTGAGATACATGATGTAGTTCAGCAATGATATCTACTGCCAAGGAGCATCAGCCTCGCCATGCTATTCTGGGTGGCAACAGTGAGAAACAATGATCTTCATCGGGGCAGGCTCATACGGGCCCGAGCTAGCTTGCCAATATATGCTCTGTGGTCTGAAAACAACGACGACCGCCCAGTCCCAACATGTCGATAGCTGTTTGTTTGGACTGGTGGAGCAGTAGCGGTCGAGTCTGGTGAGCTTTATACCGGGCCACGAACATTGATATAGATTTTATAAGCCACCGGTCTCCTGCGTTCTACAAGCATAAAACCTCTACAACCTCGCCACTACCCCCCTCAAAACCCTCCCCACCCCCTCCCTCACCTTGCGCACCACCTCTCCCGCCGGCCTCACATCTCTCACCAACCCCACCCCCGCTCCCGCATAAGTCGTCGCGCGGCCCTCGACGCCAAACCCGCCGCCCGGCCCTTCCACCGCAGCTTTATACAGCCGCTTATTCTCCTCCAGGCTCACAACCCCCGCCTCCGCATCCACAAAACTCCGATTCACGACCCCTCGCCCATTATACCCCGGCGGCCACCCCGTCGTCCCTCGCAGCTCATCGTACACACCCGTACGCACCGTGCTCTGTCCCCCGTCCACAGCGCGGACAACCGCGTCTCTGTAGCCCTCCGGCAGCGTTGCTTCCGGGCACGCCAGGAACCGCGTCCCGAGCACCACGCCCTGGGCGCCGCACGCGAACGCCGCGGCCGCGCCGCGTGCCTCTGTGATCCCGCCCGCGGCCACAATCACCGGCTTCATGCCCGCTCCGCCACTCCTGTCGTTTTCTTTGCTTGCTAGTGCGTCGACCGCGTCTACGGTTTCGGGCACCAGCGCCCCGATCCCTGCGCCTCGTGCTCGGCCGTGCCCGCCTGCGTCGGTGCCTTGCACGACTAGCACGTTTGGCGCGCAGGCTTTCACTGCTTCTACTGCTTCCGCAACGCTCCCTACTTGCACCCACACTTTTGTCCGGCCGGCTGTGGCGTCCCGCGCGGCGGTCGCCCACTCGGTTAGCTCGGCTGGGCTGCGCGGCGCGAAGAGCCAGACGGCGGATGGGGGGTGCTTGCGGAGGATGTCGAATGCGGCTGGGAGCGAGGCGCCCCAGGTTATGAAGCCGACGCCTATGGGGAGGAGGTCTGGGTGGGCGGTTTGGAGGGGGGGATGATGCTTGGATAGAAGAGAGCGGGCAGAGTTGAGGTTGTCGGAGAGTGTGGTGGTGTCAGTGCCGGCGGCTAGGAAGCCTATGCCACCTTTGTGGGAGGGGAGGAATTAGTGGGTGTGTTTGTATGATTGAGGGTAGAATGGAAGGAAAGTGCGGGTATTGCGGATGTGAGTGCCGAAGAGGAGGGACGTACCGGCGAGGGAGACTGAGACGGCGAGGGGCGCGAGGGCGATGAGTCGCATGGGGGCACTTGCGACCAGAGGTTCTTGGATCCAAGGGTAAGCTTGTTTGAGGCTCATGATGATAGTAGTTTTGTTACGTTTATTGCAGCGGGGTGTGCTGAAAGGTAGATGAGAATTTGGAGTGTATAGACTTGATGAGCGGATATGACTTCGCTGTAATGGAAAAGAAGATATTGGCGTGATTCAACGAAACGTGACTAGGTACATAAGTTTAATTACTGCAAGTCTGCGATGCTGTCCCTCGGGCGGGTAGGTGGAAGTGGAAGTGTGGAGTGTGTTTCGCGGGGTAGGTAGCTCGCATTGGCCAAATGACGTCGCCTAAGTTGCTTAAACGAGAGCATGCATCTCTGCAGGTAGCGCAATTGACACTCGGATGGCGTGCTGAATGTCAGCGTACATATATGCAGCGAGAAGCTGCCCGCGTTCAATCATGCTCTCGCTTTTTCGCCGTCTTCTGAGCCACGCCACCAGCGAACCAAACCGCACTTTTGCTCTTCGTCGGCCTCAAGTGTGCGCTCTCCGTCGCCAAACACCTTCTTGAAGAACCCGTCGTATGAAAGCCACACCGACCTGGAGATGAAGTCCGAAAGCAGACTGAGCCATTTCGGACTCCTTCCTTTGTCGTTCGCGAAGCCCCCCTGCAAAGACAGGAGCATTATAAACAGAGGCAGCCACAACGCCGTAAACACAATCTTTCCAAAGCCCTGTCGCCGAGTTGTGATCGTGTACGGTCTAATGTCGTACAGATAGTTCTTGTAGTCTTGCGGCAGCCCATGTTCTTCCGCTCCGTCTGTGAGTAACTTCATGTAGCGTGCCGAAGCTTGCGCGTACGAAGTATCCGGACGCTGAAAGCGGCCACCATCCTTTCGCGGAGGATCACCTGGCTTGGAAGGTGCGACCGCCGGTGCGAACAGCGTGTGCGCCTTGAACGGTGGGGTATTGGGATGCTCCGGCACAGTATCCGTTTCCGTGAGTGGGTAGCAGGTCACCAGCACGTCCTGATATGCCGTTCCGCCGCCCTCGGTCGCAATAATATGCGCGTAGTCGGGCAACGTAACCTCATAGACGACACCAACCATGCCCTTCTTCCACCGATCTTTATGATAGTCAGGAGCGTCGCGAATGAGTGGAGATGTCTCAGAAAGAGCAGGTGCGGGGTCGGTTTGCGACGGGTTGGAGGGGTCTCTCGGACCAGAATTGGCGAAGCAAGGTTCGAGGTATGGCACGCCGGGTAGATCGAAGGTGAGGCGCAATTCCGGCACGAGCACATTTACTTGGGCCACAGGTCTGATGCCACGTTTCCCTTGGAATGTCTCGTAGCACAGGTTCGAGCCGTAAGCCAAGTACAGCACCGTCTGGCCGGGATCCTTTGATTGCGATAAGCCGGACAACGTCGCAGCATTGAGTTCGAGGGGCCGATCGGCGAGAGTATGATCCAAGCGATCCTGGGGAATGATTGGCACCTCGCGGCGTTCCTCCTTCACTTCGGTGGGGCGACGGGGGAAGATGCGAAAGGCGGATGCGAACTTGCTCTCTGCCGCCAAAGGACGGTCGGGTTGGGCGGTTGACTTCTCCATTTCTTTGGTCGTTGGCTGGCGGCGAGTGTTGGCAAAAGCGGAAGTCTTCGACAATGTTAGCGGATTGAATGGAGCTGACTATTGCAAGGGAACTGGGCTTAAAAGCATCCAAGATGCAAACAGGATGATGGAGAATTACAGATTACGGCTTACGGGTGATGGAGGAATCCTACGGATTGGTACGTGGGCGGTAGCGACTGGGACATTCCCGACCCGCTAAATGCCGATGGATCGACGCCACCGCTAGGCATCACGCTAAAAGTGACAATGGATGCTACCAATCTTGTGACGCGTCAAAACGCGTCGACGCGCCCTCGATGTAGAGAAAGCAGCGCCGAGATTCCATGGAATGAATGGATGGTTTCGACGCCTCTCATAGTGCGAGGCCGCGTGCTATCGACGGAAGGAGCAACCGCTACCTTCCCGGACGCTCTTGCCTACCTTTAACCACCTCACTAATGCAAGGAGACCGACCTCAAACAGCAGCCAATTTTCATCTTCACCCCTCTTGCTTCCCCACACTCACCTCCCACAGCAATGCCACACCAGGAAAGTGAGCAGATATGCGCCGAAATTCTCAAAAGCTTGAGACCCGCGCAGGGTATCGAAGCGAGCGCGTCGCTTGCAGGCATCCTCGTAAGAAGCATCGTTCACGTCTGCTGAGAATTCTAACTCATGCTGTTCAGAAACTTCTTCATAACCACGAGACGTCCGAGTTGCATGACTCCATTGGGCAGTCAGTAGCAGGCTCCCTGCTACAGTTCTTCATCAATCCCGACGAAGCTTCCGGTAATGACAGCTCCGTGCGCCGCTGGGTATGTAGGAAGCTCACAGTGACAGTTATGGCTCACTGATCAGCGTTCAGGCGGGTCTGGTCCTTTCTCAGCTTTGTCTCAAATCAACGAGCACTGCGACTTCTCTTGGCGCCGAACATAATGCTTCTGCCGATCTGCAAGGGCTTGGACGCGTCATACTCTCTCAAACTGAGGGTGAAGATCTGAAGATAGTATCGGGGATGATCATCAAGAGCCTGGTGAAGCAATGCGTCGATATTGGCCTTTGCTTGCCTTGTGATACGCCGTACGATCAATTTCCAGCAAAAGACAGTGATGAGTGGATGCTTCAATTCCAGGACTTCCTGGACGCAGTTTTGAAAGGGAATCTGGACTTACTAAGGTATGCACCATAATGATCTGGGCTTCCCGTGCTCAAGACGTTCCGTTCCGTTCAAAGGATGCTTCTAACTGCCGCCTCAACAGCACGGCAGATATCTTCTTTCCTGCCGAAATCGCTGATGATGAAGATATGAGTTTTGACGACTCCCATGCAAGGATAATTATGCTCGCTCAAAATTGGTTGACGATAATTATATCGCCTACTGCCAGCTATCGTACTCGATGCATCGACATACCTTTTTCTCACATTTTACCGCCCCAACCGACAGAACCTAGCGGTGAATACACCAAGTTAATACTCAAGCTGAAGGACGCCGGCACATCGTCATCGTCTACTATATCATCGCCATACTTCTTGGATGCGCGTGGCCGCCATAGCAAGGAAGTATACTTGGGTTTTAACGACTCAGAGGAGGCAACATATGCTTTAAATGCGATTTTGCGACGTAGCCGAGAGGCGATAAAGAATTCTGTTCACACTACAAGGTTTTCGACTAGCCAGGAAGACCTAGACGTAAGCAAAACACCATCAACAAGCCAACCCGTTGAGAGTGAAGCATTGCCGTTGCCGGGATCAGCTTCAGCAGCACTCCAAGCGCGACGTAGTGCTAGAGCTGCAGGACAACATAATATCTCAAGACAGAAGGAAACAAATATAACGCCGATGAAGTCTTCTGAGGAAAATGCTAGACTGGGTAATAGGAAGGGACCTGCCCCTGCATCCTTGCCAGGAATGAAAAGCATGGCCAAAGTATCCAATCAAGATTCCAAATCTACTCACCAGCCTGCAACGAAAAATGATGGAGAGGATCTCCTCTACAGCATAAGCCCACCAATAGCCACTTCGCGGACAAAGCTACCACAGCAACAGTCGACGGACACCAGGGAGGATGGTCCGGGACCAGCTGTTCACCCTAAAGATGGAATATTCCTTGATATCGAAATGGAAGCTGGGGCAACACCCAGACAGCCTACAGAGGGCAAAACCAATGATTCCAAGCCAGAGACGACAGAAACAATGCCAAAGTTGGCATCATCATCATCATTATCATCATCTCGCCGTTCTCTGCCAAAGAATGCTGTCAACAACATGAAGAATTCAACCACAGAGCTTGAGCATGACGACTCAAGTGTTTTTGATATACCAGAAGACAATGAAGGTGGTGCACGAAGCAGCCGACAGATCCCTCAGAAAGAATCCAAAAAGAAAAATACCACACGCTCTCAGGGAAAGAGTAAATCCACATCGAGACGGTTTAGCAAGAAAATATTGACATCATCTGATGCTACCCACGAAGATCTTGAAGATGAAGATTATCAGTTGTCTCAAAACACCAAGTCTGCTCCACCAAGAACAACTAGAACAACAAGATCTACAGCCAAAAGACAAAGCGTTTCTGTCTCAGACGAAGAAAGAGCGAAGCATCAGCCAGAGCAACAGCAAGAAAACGGTGAAGACTTCGAGGATTCGATCGCGGATCCACAAAATCACGGATCAGAGAAGGAACCACTGGTTGCTACAGAGCAATCTATAGCACACATCAACGGAAATGGTCCTGCACAACAAAAGCCGGGCAACAGTCAAGATGACCCCATTTCTCTTAATTCTGATGTCGAACCCGAATCGGAATTAAGCCCTTCTCCCAGGCCTGAGCTGCCGCCAGTAAACTCGGCCCAAGCCAAATCTATCGTTGGTACACCAGTCACCAAAGAGCGGCACCGGATGCTCCCTTCGGACAAAGAACTTGTGCTTCCACCGACCCCCATACAACGATCTCAAAAGAAGGTTAGAGAGCCCGTTGAGGTACCTATGGCTCGGAAGCCGCCGCGGCCCACAACACCGGCGGCGCCAGCATCGCTGTCCCATGCGGCTGGAATTCAACGAATTCCCATTCCGAAACTCGGAAAATATGTGGAAGAAAGTGTGGAGACGCCAATGCATTCAGACCGTCCGATCGTCAATAACTATTTGACCCGAAAGTCTACTATCATCAATTTCGGCCCACGTGGCCCCGTCAACCAAGGAAGATTACCAAGAAAAGGATCAGTTGCACCTACGCCACATGCACCACCATCACGAGTGGCATATGGCTCGACAAGATCACAAAAACAGAAGAGCAAATTCAGTGAACTGATTGATTATCTGATTGATGATACCACGGGTCCCGTGGAACAAGCTCCGCCGGCGAAGTCTCCTTCACCAAAAAGAGAGCCGACGAGTGAGATTGCGCATCAGGATCTCACCAAACTTGTTACCGACAAGACAAGGGGCAAGATGCCGATTGCAAATTTCAACGATGCGCCTCCGTTTAATGAGAAGCCGCGACCAACCGAGACCGTCACCAAGCCATCGGTGTTAGAGCAGCGCAAACGTGTCAATAGAGAGGCTACACCACAACTAGCTGCAAACTATCCGAATATCATTCGCACAACAGGAACGAAATCTTTGCAGGCGCTTAGTGAATACCTGGACGGGATTGAGAAAGAAAATTCGAGCAACAAGAAGACTCAGCCAAAGACAACAAATCATAAGAAGAGGGCGGCATCACTTGCATCAAACTCACCACTTGCAAAGCGTCGTTCCCAGGGCCCTGGTCTACCTGTTCGGGAACCGAAACACGGCCTCAGTGCCCTCATCAGTCAAGTCAACCCTTTGGAAGAAGACACTACGTCCGCTCCAATCACACATACTCACCTGGCCCTCTTGGCGAAGGATACGCAAGAAAATCCAGTCCCGAAGCCGAAGCGACCAGAGCGTAGATTCATTGACCCCGGATTGTTCACTTCACCAAAAAGAGGGATTTCGAGGAGACATTCTCTAACCAAAGTTGACTGGCACGGTAGCCCCATACAGACTGGCCCACAAGCGCCTCAGGAATCTCAAATCTTGCAGAGGTATGAGGAACAGGCCGCAGCAGACAACGGGCAATTCGGTGATCGGATTGAGACTGGTGACGACGCAAGCGATTCATCTCCACCTCCCTTCCAACATCTCAAGTACGCAGGTTCCGGCACTTTGATTACCCCCAAAATCATGTCAAGCAACAGGAAAAGGCTTCCCGGGTCTCCTTTGGCAGAATCCACTGCCATATCAGGCCATATGCCACAGCAATTGCTCAACAAAGCAAGTATGCTTGCTCCAACAGATGAATCCAGTAACCCTTTCACCCAACAAGCGCATAAAGCTGGAGAGATTACACCGGATACAGACTTCATGAAGTCGATCTGCAGGCCGGCCGGAGTTCGTCGGGTAAAATTCGTTGAGCCAATACCTAAAGAAGACAGGATCAGCCCTCCGGTCAGAGGGATTCTTTGGCCCAAAACTTTAAAGGCTCTACCGGCAGAGCCAGACGAAGGCCCTGACAAGACCCTGGTCGGTGAAGAAGACGAAGACCTCGAAAAAACTCTGGTTGATGAAGAAAACGAAGCCAGCCCGTGCACCTTGATGATATCAGATGACTCCTCTCCCGAGCTAACATCAGACCCCACCACCGCCTCCAGCGAGCAGGAAGATGACCCCCTCGCTGCCGAAATGGAATGGGAGGCATCCCTCCCGCCGCACCAACAAGACATGGTGACGATCTTAACGCGTCTCTCCCGCCACCTTGTACGGAACCTCATCGACAAAGAAACAGCAATCCACGACATCGTGGCCGAGTACGAGAGGGTTGCGACGGCGATAGTTGATAATATGGAACAGAAGCATAAGAGAGAATATACGGAGAAGAGGGCTCTGGTGCATGAGGCGAGCGCGAAGGTGGGGCGGAGGTTTGGGGAGATTGAGCAAAGGATGGGACGGGAATTGAAGGAGGCGGAGAGGGCTTGTAGAGGCGTGGAGAGGGGGTGGGAAGAAAGGTTGAAGGAGGGGGAAGAGCTGGTGAAGGGGCTGAGGGGGATGTGGGAGAGGTTCGAGGAGTAGGTTTAGTTGTGGATGTGAAAGGTTGGTTGGTTTTCCCCGTCTCTCTTTATTTCTCTACCTCTCTGTTTTGTGGGCGATATGGGAAGGTACAGTTGCTGTTAGTTAGCTTGTTGCCCTGAAAAGCCAGTTAGACAGTATGTTCTGCAGCGACAATCAGGTAAACACATTTTCCAAGATTATTCTCCTTTCAAGGTAACTTGCAATGTGAATCGGGACACACCTAAGGGACATTGGAGAGATGACTGCTGCTAGATCTATGTCGCTTACGCACTGTATCGATCCACACTCACAGAAAAGCCATGGCGAGGCCTTACTAAAACGGCCTCCTTGTTATCAGTCTTCAACTCTTCAGCCATTCTAACCCACTAACTAGCGCATGTGCCAAAAGCCTTGTTTATTCTTCGGAATAAGGACACAACACTCTGCTATGCTTACAGTTTTATACAAGTGTGTAACAGTGGGATTAAGGCACTTGCCGGGATCACATTAGGTATTCCGTAATCTTGACAGTTGATTAACACCCGCCTCAACGCCCCTCTCTACACTCATCTGCCAACGAATGCCCTTTAGACTTTAGCTACTAGGTCTAACAGCCGTCACACCTAGTGCGACTAAACCGAACGACGGGCGAACATATTAAAATGCTCAGTGAAACTGAAGGGAAGAAGAACGCGGATGGAGCTACGGCTGCTAGCATGCTCACAAGTCAACAATTTAATGATTTCTCGTAAGTGTTTGATTCCAATTTCATGGTTTAGTATACTTATACCACGTGATAGTGTGCGTTATGGATGCGTTGTGGTGGTGAGTAGGAGTGATGGAGTATAAGGGATGCTATCACTAAGTCTTGGTGGTGATGGTGGTTGTGGTGCGTAAGTTGGAGTAGCAAAAGGCACCTTGCTGAAGATAGCAAAGGTGCTATTCAACGACAATCTCTCAGTCCGCCCTGGACCGAGTGTCCTTCGTCTGGTACGTTGATGTGTTACTCGCTTTTGGGGGATGACTGAATAATAAGTAAACAAGAAAGCTAATATAATCCACGTAGATATAAATGGATTTGACTTCTAGCATATTTACAAGCCAGAACGACCCAGGCTGGACATATGGGTAGGCGTATGCTTCGTTTGGCTCCACAGTAGAAGTTAAAGTTTGTTATAGGCGTGAGAGGTAAGAGGTAGACTATGTAGCTTTAGTTCTAGGAGCCCCGAGTTGAATATGTGAGATTAATGGTCTGGTATTGCCACCGATTTTGCTCTAGTCTATCCCCAACGTATCCTGTTTTGCTTTTGCGTTGAGGGACCAAAATTCCAACTGTGTAGTTCGAAGCAAGCAATCGTGCCTGACAAACTTTTTTCGTTGTCTTAGACAAGCCGAGCCCAACAAAGAAAAAGCGCAAAGGTCGCCGTGGCATTAGCGTAAGACAGCACCTGTATCTTTCTCACAGTCTCAGACAAGCCGAGCACAACAATGAAAAAGCAAAGCCAGTAGCAAAAAGACGTTGGTTCGCGTCAGCCTGAGACAATACAATTCGAGCAACACTGTGGCAGCGACATACCGAGCAAAAGCCACAGCGGCCACCACGCAAGGTCCAAAAACTAGTTAATCACGAATCCCTCCGTGCCTATCGCTTTTAGGTATATATCCTGTATAGAAGAAGTGAGAGCCTACCGCAGCCCCACGACCGCCTAGCAAAGCTGATTTTTAATAATTATTTTAGAAGTTTAGTCCTAATGGATGGATGACGTGAGTGCGCGATGAGATCACCGTAGAAGGTGGCGGAAGGGTTTTGTAGAAGGGTGTGGAAGAGAGGATGGTGATAAAGGGCATTGCGTCAGGTGTTACAGGTGTGGACGCAGACGGGATAATGACGGCTTCAAACAGTGACAGTGGAATAGAATAAAAAGTTGCAAAGAGGGGGAAAATCTAAATCAAATGCATACATAGTCCCCGCCCCAGCAAAAAGCAAAAAAGCCAGGATCTCCGTCCAGCACTTACAGGTAAACCTTTCTAGTGTTAACAAGGGACTAGAGTTATATCAAATACCAAGGCCTAACACGGGAATCGAACGCTGCAAAGAACGTTCAGTAATGATACTAGTGGTTTAACCACTAGACCAGAACACCGACTTTTGATTTCAGTTTGGCGGAAATGATATTTATGTACTTCACTATGGCGCTTGCACCTCTACTCCACTCATCCTGTCTTGTAAAATCTTTCTGCTGCGTCTTTTCACGCTTCATCTTTTCTTCACTTTCTCTTTGATTCTACTCTTTATCTTCAGTAAAGACATTCACCATGCTTCACACACACACACTGCTGTTGGCAAACACTAAACACTATTACAAGTCAGCTGCGGGAACCGGCCGAGCGTCACGCAACAGGCTCTTAGTTTTAAGGTCATATTATAAGAAATTCTAGCAATGAAATTAGTGCAGTGGGATGACGCTTCCACCACCTCTTGTCCAGATACCTAAGGTTCTTCTGTGCCTTGTCGAGGTGAGTCGGCATGAAGAGCCGTTGGGCGCGAAAACAGGGCATGTCGAGCACGAACATCGAAACCAAATGGAACACATATAGTTTTTCGCAGTCAATTTTAGCTAAACTGAGGGTTTTGAGAATAGGATGGGTTCTGAAATTTTTGGGATGGGACTTACTCCATATCGACAGAAGAGTTTTGGACGGAGTCTTCAAAGAAATCTAGAATGAAGTATTCACGAAAGCACCCCGACGTCAAATGCGTTGCCCAACGCTATAAATAAACCCATGTTTCCGCGGCTCTGAAGTGATCAAGAGTTGGAGGATGGAAGTAGGTTGTGACGTCCGTCGGTGACAGGGCGGGCCGAACCATGGACGCTCCCGTCTGTCATCGGTCTTCCGACCCCCGACCCCCAAATCCTGGGATCGATCATCCCCCAAAAAAGCTCCAGCTCATCCTGTCAACAGTTCAACTCCGCCATTGCACGCACCATGGCGATATTCGGCGCCTTCGGCATCATCAGGGTCATGTGCCTCTTCCACCTCTCGGTGGCCTACTACCTGTTCACGGCGCCGCGCATCATCACGGACCAGAACTTCGTCCACCTGTTCGGAGAAGCAATGGAGCTCGTAAGCTTTGGCAGACAGCGCCTAACACGCAATGCATCATGCTAACCACTGTACCACAGCCCGAGCCCACCGGCTTCGCGAAACCGAGCTCCGCGACAGCTTTCGCCGCGGTCATCCTGGCCATCTTTGCCATTTCCGACCTTCTCTCCTTGTCCGCTGATGAGGAAGTTTCCTTTTCGTTCTGGTCCAACCAGCTCCCTATCCGTCTTATGATCCTCTTTGGCCTTACCGGGTATACATACGTGTACAAGCCGGGTGGAATTGGCGCTGCGGAGGGCAGCAAATATCATCATAATGCTGGCGACCTCCTCAAGAACAGGCTGATGTTTACTTGGGGCTTCTTCGAGAGCTCTATGTTTTTCTGGGTAAGTGGTGAAAACACAGCAAAGCTTGCGCGATGCTGACTTATGGCATAGGCATACCTCAACATTCGCCAGGAAAGGAGGGAGGTCGCTTTGCGCTTGGTTGAGAAGCGAAAGGCTGAGGCGGAGCAGCTGGGGCTTTAACTGAATAGATAATGTTGGCCTAGATTTTGAATCACGTTTGGCTACGTATCCAACTATTCAGAACCCGACCTCTGGTGACCCCTTGCGGCCTTTGCCTGCCCATTGACCAAATCGGCACGCAAAGTGGCAGGAGCCAGTCTGACTTTCCATCGCGGGTTGAGAAGGGGTTTCCGCGCTCGGGTTGATGTAGCAACTTGGCCAGACTCTCGTCATCTAACCGTATTCTCAGTGGCCATACAGACTGCCTATAGATACATACTATGGTCGAGTTGTACTCGTCCGGTGTGAAGAGTTGGTGATAGTACGAACATAGACACGCAACACCCATGTTAATAAATAAATGAATGTACATTTTAAAGCCATAGACCTTTGCAAAGCTACAAAGCAAGTGCTCTGTTCAATCTAGTGGCGCGAGTGTGGCGTGTGACAAGCCGCTGACTAAGAAACACTTTACGCGACTCGCGGAAGTAGCGCGCTTTGACGCGCCTTCCTTCAGCTCGTCCCTAAGCCTTCCTTCCACCACAACTGCCGCCATCTCGTGCCTTCCGTTGCTGCATCGATCGAGGCTTCCGTCTGTAAGATACCCTGGCAACAATGGTAGCAACGGTGCTCGGCAAGCGCACCCGAAGCTCTGCGCGGTCCGCGGCTGCAGGTACAAACTCTCTTGCCTCGTTTCACGCGACTTCCCTCGATGTACTGACTTGCTGCTTTCAGAGCAAAAACCCACCCAGCCGACTCGCATCACGCGGAACTCCAAGTTTGTTATTGGTCTAGACAACGACGAGAACGAAAATCCATTCATAACACCAAAGAAGCGCGACACACCTCTCAAGGTCAATGCCACAGAAATTGATGAATCGGCCGAAGAAGAATCGCCAGCGAAGCGTACGCGTACTTCTAACACCGCACCGTTGAAGCATGGCGCCATTGAAGCCAGAGTCGCTCTATCTCCAGCCAAGATCAATGCGCATTTTAAATCCTCAAAATCCAGCACCAGCACGGACTCGAAGACGGGTGCAACTCCCTCGACCCCTCGACACCGCGATGCGGCCGCAAACAAGGTCGTTGTTACTCCCAGGCACCGCGTTCTTCTCCCAGGAAAGCCGTTGACGCCGAGGACGCCGAGGACACCTACCACTCCACGGACGACCGTGCCCACTATTTACAACGATGCGCGTCAGCTTTTTATCCGTGGCGTGCAGCCGGGCCGGTTGATTGGGCGGGAAGAGGAAAGGAAGGAACTTCACCAGTTCGTCTCGTCGCGTACCACGTCTAAGAAGTCGGGATGCTTGTACATCTCTGGTCCGCCTGGCACGGGCAAAAGCGCGTTGGTCGATGAGATCTGTAACGAATTGGATAAGGACTCGTCGGTGAAACGCGCATACATTAATTGTATGAGCATCAAGAGCGCCGGGGAGATCTATGTGAAGCTTCTGGAGGAAATTGGCGAGGCCGAGGACGTGTTGGAGGGATCGGAAAAAGACACCCTACAAGAGATTTTGTTCAAGCGGGACACGTCCTATGTGATCACGCTGGACGAGGTCGACTACCTCTTGGAGCTGGACCTCGAGCTGTTGTACACTCTGTTTGAGTGGTCCATGCGGCCCAAGACGAGCCTGGTGCTGCTGGGCATCGCGAACGCGTTGGACCTGACGGACCGGTTCCTCCCTCGCCTCAAGTCGAAGGGCCTCAAGCCCCAGCTCCTTCCATTCATGCCCTACAGCGCAGAGCAGATCGCATCCGTCATCAGCTCGAAGCTGCGCTCGCTCCTCCCGGCCGACTCCACCGCAGCAGCCGACTTCATCCCCTTCCTCCATCCCATGGCCGTCCAGTTCCTCTCGAAGAAAGTCGCCGCGCAGACGGGCGACCTGCGCAAAACCTTCGACATTTGCAGACGCGCCATCGACGTGATCGAGACTGAGACCAGGGAGAAACACGCCAAAGCGATAACGCCGGAGGAGACGCCCGCCTCAAGCCCCAGCCCGTCGAAGGCGACGCCACTCCTTGAGAACATGAACCTCTCCTCGCCGGCTGTGCCACGCACCACGCAGCCCAAAGCGCAGCAGCAGCAACAGGCCTCGGCGCTGCAGACCTCCCTCGCACAACTCACTCCTGAGACGGCACCGCGCGCTAGTATCGCGCATATGGCGCGCGTAACTGCAGCCGTATTCGGCAACGGCGTCGCGCAGCGTCTCAAGACGCTGAACCTGCAGCAGAAAGCGGTGCTCTGCGCGCTCGCGGCACTGGAGCGCAAGCTCTCGTCGGCCCCATCATCAACAGTGCCCAGCACGCCCTCGAAACACGCCAAAGTCGCCGCGCCCACACTGAAACAACTCTACGACGCATACGCCTCGCTCTGCCGGCGCGAAAAGGCGCTGCACCCGCTCTCACGCACGGAATTTGCAGACGTGTGCACGAGCCTCGAGGCGGCGTCGCTGGTGAGCGCAGTGGCTGAGCGGGGCAGTGGCGGGGGCGGCAGCTTCAGCAGCAGCTTCAGCGGCAGCTTTGGCGCGAGCCAGCCCGGCACGCCGAGCCGGAGGGGGAGAAAGCCGAGTGGAGTGGGCGCTGAGGTGGTGGTGTCCGGGTTGGTTGAGTCAAGGCGCGTGGCTAGTGTTGTGGGGGTGAAGGAATTGGGGGGGGCGGTGTTGGGAGGGGTTGGGGGAGAGGTTTTGAGAGGACTGTTGTTTGGGGAGGGGGACGTGGGTGTGGATGGTTAAGTTTATGTGTGGGGTGTGGGGTTTTGTTTATTTTTCTTTTTTGGGGGACGGGCATCGTTTGGAGCGAGGCGTTGGGGGTTTCTTGGTTTTTCTGTTCTTTTTTTTTTTTCTTCTTTTTAGACTGGAGTGGGAGATGGGAGGGAGAGTTTGGACGGAGTGGTGGATGTGGATATGTGTGTATGTATATGCAACTAAAACGACAGAGAAGAGAAAGAGAAAGAGAGAGAGAGAGAGAGCAGCGAGATTGGAACCCTAGCCTTGGCACGTATGCATGCTTGTGTGGAGTGGTGATGGTGATGGCGATGCCCTGGTAGGTAGACACGCAGCAATTAATCAATCAATCATTGTAGGGATTAGCCTGCATATCGCTCAGGGCGATGGGTCAGGGCAAATGAATTCAACTCAACTCAACTCATTGTAGGGATCAAAAACCAAGGACTGAGGATCGAGATACTCTTCTCTTCTCTTCTCTTCTGATCTGATGCATTTAGTTCAGTTCAATTCAGTGCAATCCATATCTAAGAGCCACTGCTCTCACTCACTCACTCACTCACTCATTGAATCTCTTCGGACCTGATTCAGTGCTGGGTGCATACGTGCATACGATGGATGGGTAAGGTTAGGTTACAATTCTTCTTCTCCTTCTTCTTCTTCTTGTCGTTTTACGTTGCTGTTGCCTTTTTTTTTTTTTTTTTTTTTTTTTTTTTTTTTTTTTTTTTGTACATGTACAGATTGGTTTGGGTTTGGGTTACAGTGACATGGACGGGTGTGGGGGGCGGAGCTCTGCTTTGTGTGTCTCTTTTCTCTCTCCTTTTTTCTCGCTCTTTTGAGACTTGGCGCTACTGCTGTCTCGGCGTCTGTCCGTTTCCCTCTCGCTCTCGCTCGCTTTCTCATCCTCTTTCCCGTCCTAAGGCTGGCGCGCTGGGTTGCTCACTAGCTCACTCGGGCTCACTAGCTCACTCACGCTCGCTCTCCCCCCGCCCACGCAGCCGCCCTCCCACCACCACCACCACCACCTCGACTCACTCCATAGCTCGCGCCCTAGTCGCCCACTTTTACACCCCAATAGCGTTAAACACGCCGCCAGTCAAGCGGCCGCCCTTCATGGCGTCGGGGGGCGTGAGGGCGTGCACCTCGTTCCAGTTGATGCGGTCCCACCAGTTCTCGAGGAAGTCGGCCTTGCCATCGATGCCATAGTCCTGGAGCCAGACATGCTCCCACGTATTAACGCAAAGAACGGGGTGGACATCGGCGCCGCCAGGAGCGCGCCTGCGGGCCTCCTTGCCGGCAAGGCTGTGGGGCCCAAAGCCGCCAGCAGTGCCGTGCGCGTCGCCCTGCTGCTGGTGCTGCTGCTGGTGCTGCTGGGCGGCAAAATCGACGCCCGACAGGCCGCCCACGCTCATCGCGTTCTGCGTGTTCATGTCGACGGGCTGCTGGCGCCAGTGGGCCTCGCTGAGGGGCGAGCCGGCCAGGTACGTGGGCAGGATGCGGAAGGCACCGGCGCCCGTCTGCTGCGCGCGGCGCTGGTAGACGAGCCACACGAAGCCCGGGCCGAACATGGCGTTTGCGGTTGCGAGGAAGTCGGCCTTCAGCGTCTCGATGGACGAGAAGGAGCCCAGCAGCGCGTCGTTTAGCTCGGCGGGGATGGGCACCGTTTGCGGCGCCAGCGTGCGGAAGAACATGTGGTTGTTGTAGGCCATCGAGGCGTAGTTGAAGGTTGCGGCCAGCTGGGGCAGGCGCGCCACTTGCAGCAGCACCGATTGCGGCTGGTCGCGTTCGAGCGTCGTGTCTAGCGCGTCATGCAGTTCTCAGCTTGGGGTGTCTCGTGTGGTGGAGGAGAAGGAGGAGGCGCACCTGCAGTCATGGTGGACAGGCGGTCCAGCATCATCTGCTGGTAGTCGGTCCAGGCCAGCTTGAAGCCGTCGGGCGACAGCAGGTTGGGCACGCCGTGCTGGGCAAACATGTCGCCGTAGTTGGTGAGGACGGGCATTTCATGCTTGAAGCGGCGCTGCGAGGCAATGGCGGAGCGGCAGGTGGCGCGCAGCAGGGGCGAGCGTAATGAGCGCGACAGCATGATGGGCAGACGGACGGGTCGGCGGATGGGGGTTCGTCGTCGTCAACGTCGTCTTTGATGTGCCGACAATGCACGATGGAACATTTTCCACCGTGCCACCGAGACCCCGAGCTTCCCGGCCACCGCAGCCTCGGCGCCTTTTTCGCGTCGCCTCCAGCCAACCACAGCCAGTCTTGACGCCCGCGCTACCAGCTCCCCAAACACCGTTTCATCCCCACGCAGTGCCAGCTGTGCAAGCAGAGCCACCCATTCTTGCCCAACAACGCAGGACCTGATGGTCTCGCCGTCATGGACAGCGTGCACCCGTGCGCCTTCCCATATATCCCCCCCGCCCCGCCCGGCCTCGCTGTTGGGTCTCTTTTTCCATTCCCTCCCCGTCGTTAAGCGCCGCGCGCGTTTCTTTCTCTCTATTGTTTCCTTTCTCGGATAGCCGCTGGTCGACTATCTCCACTGCCTTTCTTTTCTAATCCTCGAAAATGGGGCCCTCAACCTTCCAGAAGCTGTCGGTCGTGTGCCTGCTGTCGACCACCGTGCCCACCACCTCGGCCCTCGCCATAGCACTGGATGCTGCGCAGGCCATCGGGCTGCTTCCGCGGGCGGAAACTTGTGGTGGTGACAGCTCGCTCTCGCACTGTGGTGCCGGCTTCCCCAGTTCCTTCTGCTGTCCCTCCGACACGACGTGCACCTCGATCGGCAACAACTCAACCAACACGGTCGCCGAGACGGTCATTTGCTGCCCTACCGGCCAGAACTGCCAGTACATCCGGCCCATCACCTGCGACCTCACCCAGCAGGACGCCACTGCTCACCCGTCCAACGCCATCCACACGACCAACCTCACCGCTACCCTCACTACTTGCGGTACCCAGTGCTGCCCGCTGGGTTACGAGTGTGAGAATGGCCTCTGCAGCATGACCATCAGCTCCACCGTGGGCTCGCCTGACCCGTCCAGCAGCAGCAGCAGCAGCAGCAGCAGTGCCAGCTCGTCCGTTCCTTCTTCCACTTCCATCGCGGCACTGCCCACTGCCGCGTCCAGCACGGCGGCCGCCAGCGCGTCCTCTAGCTCGACGGCGACCCCCGCGACTACTGACGACAACGACAAGGACGACGACGGTGACAGTCACACTGGCGCCACTAACAAGGGCGCCATCGCAGGCGGTGTCATTGGCGGTCTCGCCGCCGGCGCGCTTCTCATCGGCCTGGTGCTGTGGTTCATGAAGCGTCGCCGCGGCGGCACCGTCGGCAGCCGTAGCAGCTTCGGCGGTGCGCTCAGCGAGAAGAAGAAGTTCAGCGGGGACTTTGGGCCCGTGAGCCGCACGGTCAGCGACCCCATCTACAACCCGTCGCTAAGCGGGCGGAGCGAGTTCCTGCGGCGCGACGCGGCGAGCCCGCACGCAGCGCCCAGCATCGGCACGACCATGGGCTTGTCCTCGCCCTTTAGCCTCAAGGAGGGCAACATCTACCGCAAGAATACCGTCGCGGCCAACAGCGTGCAGCAGACGCCCCACGACCACTACGGCTTCGGGTACAGCGCCAACGTGCGCGCAGGGCCCTCGCCCCGCCCGGAGATGGAGAAGTCGCCCCTCGCGCCCCTGCCCCGCATCAAGAGCCTGTTCTCGCGCTCCTCGCTGCACCTGCCCCGGCCGCGCTCGAGCGTCTACTCGCGCGCCACAGCCGCGCCGTACACGCCCACGCCGGGCGGCGGAAACGCCACGCCCGGCACGGGCTTCGTGCCGCCCGTCCCCACGATCCCGGAAATGCCGCCCCAGCCCATCCCCCCGATCCGCCGCTTCAGCGCCCAGCGCCCCTCGCCGTCCGGGTCCCAGCCCCAGCGCGGCGCCTCGCAGCGCTCGGACAGCTCGCGCGCGCGCCTCAACGGCCCCAGCACCAGCAGCCGGCACAGCAACGGGCACGCGCGCAGCGCCAGCGCCGCGACAGCAACACCCAGCCGGCGCGCCTCTGGCAGCGTTGGGGGGCGCAGCGCGGGGGGCCGCAGTGCGGGCGGGAGCAGGCACAGCCGCAGCGCCAGCGCCAGCGCCACTACCCCAAACCCTAACTACACGACGTACGGCAGCGACAGCCGGCCCGGCACCGCGCGCACGGGCAGCACCGAGACGATCGACGTGCTCATGCCCGCGCCCGCGGCTACGTACTACGTCTCTACGCCGCCGTCGGTCGCCGAGCTGAACCGTCCGCACGGCCAGGACCGCGACAGCTTGCTGGCTCCTCCTCGCGCACCCTTTGCGCGCGCCATGCCCACTGCCAATAACGGCGGCAATGCCGGCGAGTCCTCTGCGGCAGGCGGCGCGTACCTCGGCGTGCCGGAGCGGCGCAGGCCCCTGACGACGCAGACGACGTTCTCGCAGCTGATGGAGAATGCGGGGATCCCTCGTAACGAGACCGGCGGTGGCTATGGTGGATACAACGCCGGCTACGAAGCCTCGAACCTGCACCCCGGCGTCGTGAACGGCGTGGGTGGCGTTGGCGCCAGCGGACTGCATGGCCCGCGTAGCCCGCCTAGGCCCGCGCCTGCGGCTTATGGGGTCGATTTTAAGGGGAAGGGCCGCGCTGCTGGTGAGGGACGGAGGCGGTTTTTGTGAGGGGTGAGATTGGAGTGAGATTGTTCAGATGAGTGGGGTGGGGGTAATGGCTGAGGAGGGAAGGGAAGGGACGGCCCTGGTGGCTTTTTTTTTTTTTTTGCGTTTGCATTTGCGTTTGCGTGTGTGGTGGTTGGGGTGGGTTATGTATGGCGGCGCGACGCGCTTGCTTGCTTGCTTTTGCTTCATTGCGGTCGGTTTGGGGGATTAACGAACGAGGTGATGGCTGGTCGGGATGGATAGCATGGTGATGGAATAGCACGGCGTGGTGATGGGATGGGATGGGATGGGATGGGATGGGATAGGATGATGAGGTTATGGTTATGGTTATGGTTATGGCTTGCATGATATGATTAGATTAGTATACACACATATATATACAGATATATATATATATATATATCCGAAGAGAGATATTTGTTCTCGTGTTTGTTTGGTTTAGTTTGTTTGTTGGTTGTGTGGTTGGTTGGTTGGTTGGTTGGTTGGTTGGTTGGTTGGTTGGTTGGTTGAGTGGGTGAGTGGGTGCGTAGGTTGGTGTATAATATATGTCTGTATGATGTATGTCTATTCCTAATTATCTGTCTGTTTCTGTGTCTATATCTGTATCTGTACCTACCTATCTATAGATATAGGATACCTTTTATATTTTGTATTACGTATTACCTAACTAGCTAGTACTTTTCTATTATCTCTTCCTGCTGCGGAAGTAATAGTACGGATAGACGGCTCGTAAAGCCTTATAACTTAAGAAGGGAATCTAACTATAGGGACCGGCTAAGGCGTATACACGGATACGGGATTAGTGTGCTCCTAGAAAGGAAGGTAGGTAACGTACTAGGTACCCACACTTCGGACTCCAGCCCCGAGGCCTCCGACCTGGCGCCTCGGTCTTCGGGCCCGGACGCGAAAACATACCCAGTCTGGCGTGCTTGTCACCAGAGATATAAACGAGCCAAGTTAGTCCATCGCAGCTGGGAAAAGCAAGCTAGCTGGTCAAGATGGATTCCTTGGGCGTGTCGTGGGAGCGAATTGTGCTTGGCAGCTTGGTTGTCGCGAATGTGCTTGCCACAGCCAATCATTCATTCTTGGACGGCCATCCGAGTTCGGCAAACATCGCTCGACAGCTGGGGCCGCAGCTCTCTTCACGAGCATCGGTCTTCGGCAAGGACGATCCCAAGTTTGCAAATGCCACTGCGCGGTGGCAGTCTTACCAGCCTCCGGACATCGGTGTCGTGGTGCAAGTAGGCACCGAGGAAGATGTCGCTACGACGGTAAGTTATAACCAAGCAGTGAATGGGGCAGCTGTCGAAGCTTCGTCGTCGTAAATGGCAGCGCGCGGCTTATACTAATCAGTTTCATGATAGGTCAAGTTTGCGAACCAAGTTGGCGTTCCCTTCCTCGCGGTCAACAGGGGCCATGGCATTGCTGCATCGCAAAGCAAACTCCGCCGCGGCATCGAGATATGGCTGGAACAGCTCGACGACTTCGAAATATTCCCCAACACGTCGTCGGCCTTTCTCCAAGGCGGCGTTTGGGCCGAGCAGATCCAGCAACCCCTGTGGGATGCCGGCTACGTTATAAGTCAGTAAAAGCCTAATACCTATGTATAGGTGAAAACCCCGCCATATTAATATTGCTAATATGATATTAGGTACGGGATCATGCGCTTGTGTTAGCTTGTTAGGCCCCGCCCTTGGAGGCGGACTCGGTCTTTACCAAGGGCACTACGGCTTGATTGCCGATGGAATAATCTCGATGAACGTGGTCTTGGCGAACGGGAGCGCCGTTACAGTGTCTGAAAACTCGCATCCAGATCTATGGTGGGGTATGCGAGGAGCCGGCCACAACTTTGGAATAGTAACCAGCTTCCACGCACAGATTCACCGCCGGACGGTGGACGAATGGTACTTTGCGCAGTATATTTTCACCGAAGAAAAGGTAGAAGTTGTGAGCGAAGCTTTGAATTCGCTAATGGAAAACAACCAGCCCAAAGAGCTTTCGTATTTCGCGACTTTTCTTTGGAACACCTCTATAAGCACAACGGCAGTAAGTATCAAGCATGACATGGCCTGGAAGAATCATCGCTCACATTTTTCAAAGCCAGTGGTGCAGCTGACGTTCTACTATGCCGGGGCGCCGGAGAGCGCAGCGCCGTACCTCGAGCCATTCCAAGATCTCGGTCCCGCCTTCGTTGCCGACAACAGCGTGCCGTACCCACAGATCCCAAACGAAACGGGCAACGGCGCAACGAGTCCGGATTGCCAGAAGGGGCTCACACGCATGCACTTCGCCACCGGCCTGGAAGCGTACAACGGCACCGCCACCCGCCAAGTCTTTGCCCTGTTCAAAGCGGAATCGAAACGCAGCCCCGCGATCCAGGAAAACAGCGTCGTCGTGTTCGAAGGCTATTCGGTGCAGGGCGTAAAGGCTGTTGATCCCGACTCAACCGCTTACGCTCATCGCGGTGATAACATCCTCGCGTACGTTCGTTTCTGGTTGTTGGTAGTCCGGACGTCCCTCTTTGCAATGCTGACCTGCAACGCGTATATATATAGCGCCGTCATCATCGGCTATCCCCCGAACTCTGCCCTGGATTCTGACATCATCGCCTGGGGCAACCGCGCGGTCCACGTGCTCGTCCAGGGAAGACAAAGCCGCCGAAGGACTACCTATGTGAACTACGCTCTTGGCACCGGCGACGAGTCGCTTGAATCCATTTACGGCTACGAGCCGTGGCGCTTGCAGAAGCTGGTGCATTTGAAGAGGCGCTATGACCCGGACCAGAGGTTCGCTTTCTACATCCCCATTCCCGTCTAGGTGGCTTTCTGCATCGCGCCATTGCTGGGGCGTCGCTGAGCGCCAAGTCGGAAGATGAGTCCTGCATTACTGTACCTTTGTCCACTTGTGAAACGGCGTCAGATCATGCCGCTGCAGCTTTAAGCTCGCTACTTGCAAACACCAATTCCTTGCGAGCGAAAGCAGTGCATCCTATACGTCCTTGTAATACTCCCCAAGCCACTTCCTGATCGTCGCAGAAATATTAAACTTCTGCCGCTTCGTCAAGCAGACTGAGACGTTCTACAAGCAAGGAATGAAAGCTATGTAACTGCGCTTGCTTGCTTGCTTGCTCTTTCTTTCGTGCGTGGCTGGTACTGCTGCTTGTGTGGGGTGGAGAGAGAGAGAGAGAGAGAGAGAAGATGTTGCTCCTTCTGCCGTTCCGTGCGCCGCAGACTGTGCCCGGGCGTGTCTGCCTGTCCTTCCATGATGTTCATGTGGGGACCACATCTCGAGCTGCCTCCTCCCACTCCCTCAGCCTCTAACACAAACTATGCAAAAGCCCATCATCACTCCCCCTCTCTCCACCCTCTCCTCACGGCACACCCGCCCCGCCCCCCAAAACCTCCTCCACGCGCCGCTCAAACGCCTCGATCATCTTGCCCGCCACGTGCGGCGTCGCTGCCGCGCTCATGGCCTGGTACAGCGGGTTCGCAAACGCAAACTCGATGTCGAGCGAGACTTGGGAGTGCTGGGCTGCTGTGCTGCTGCTGCTAGTAGTGGAGGTAGTCGGGACGGGCTTGACGGACCACCGCGTCAGCAGGTGCGTCAGCAGCGTGCCTGGCGCGCCCGTCTCGCGCTCGTGCTGCAGGTCGTGGTGGGGGACGTGGGCGGGAGAGAAGCGGGAGCGGCTGGCGCCCGCGACGGCCTCGACGACACCTTCACCAGTCTCGCCTTCGCCAGCCCTGCCAGTGCCTTCGCTTTGCTCAGGCCGCGGCGGCGCGCAGTAGATGCGGCTGGCAAAGTCCTCGCGCAGGGCGTTCCAGCCGACAGAGAGGGTGGCTTCGGCGGGCCAGCGCGCGCCCGTCACCCCGTCCGGGCGCGACCACCGCGTCACGACCGAGTCCTGGCAGTACGGCACAAAGGCCGCGTAGCGCGGCACGTCGGCTATGATGGCGTAGATGGCGGGCGTGGCGTAGGGCAGCGTGCGCGTTGCGTGCAGCGTCTGCGGCGTGCTGGTGCTGCTGCTGTTGTCGCCGAAGGGGTTGGGGAACGCGGGCAGGAAGTATCGCTTCTGTGGTTGTTGTGGTGGGAGGAGGAGGGGTCGGCGGAGGGCCGGGGCGCGCTGGGGGAGCGTGCGGAGCGTTGCCATGGTGTTGTTGTTGTGGTGGTGGTGGTGGGGGTTGTTGGAGGAGGAATTGGTGGATGGTGTAGGTAATTGGTGTCAGCTCGGCCTCTTCATGGTCCGCTGTTCGTTGTGGTGGTACTGGAAACTATAAATGATGATGCAAAGACATGGGCTTCTGGTCCCTGGCAGAGCTAGCCCGCTTACGGCAACTGCCCGTCGATTAGGGCTTCGTTTTTCTTCTGGCGCTGATTATTGACTGGAAACTTTCTCCTCCAACAACCCATCGCCTATACCAGCCATGACGGACCAAGCCCCCGCTGACGTCCCTGTCGAGTCCCCCGCCGACTCCCCCGCCGACTCCCCCGCCCCCGATGCCTCGGGCAAGACGCCCCGCAGCCAGCTCTCCAAGGGCATGGAGCACATGCGCTTCGCCGTGACCGTCGACCCCGCCACCCAGCAACCCTCGACGTACGGCGTGCCCGGCAGCATCCAGCCGGTGCGCAAGCCCGCGTCGGCGCGCTCGCACGACCCGACCAACAACCAGAAGCGCAGCGACCCCTTCCAGTTCGGCAGCCGCTACCTCGAGGAAGGCGACAACATCTTCGAGTTCAACGCGTGGGACCACGTCGAGACGGACGACACGTACAAGGAGTTTGCCGAGGAGCAGTACGCGCGGCAGCGCGAGAGCCCCGTCTCCGACTTCGACAAGGGCCGCTTCAACAAGGACCCCGCCAAGTGGTGGAACCTCTTCTACAAGAACAACACCAACAACTTCTTCAAGAACCGCAAGTGGCTGTTCCAAGAATTCCCCATCCTGGCCGAGCACACCAAGGCCGACAGCGCGCCGGCCGTCATGCTCGAGGTCGGCGCCGGCGCCGGCAACACGGCCTACCCGATCCTGGCCCTCAACGAGAACCCTAGCTTCAAGATCCACGCGTGCGACTTCTCCAAGACGGCCGTCGACGTCATCCGCACCAACGAGGCCTACGACCACGGCGCAAAGATCCAGGCTGACGTGTGGGACGTGGCGGGCGAGGGCGAGCAGAGCCTCCCTCCCCACGTGGCCGAGAACAGCGTCGACGTCGTCCTCATGATCTTCATCTTCTCCGCCCTGTCGCCCACTCAGTGGGCCCAGGCCGTGCGCAACATCTACCGCGTGCTCAAGCCCGGTGGATACGTCTTGTTCCGCGACTACGGGCGGGGCGACCTCGCCCAGGTCCGCTTCAAGAAGGGGCGTTACATGGACGAGAACTTTTACGTGCGCGGCGACGGCACGCGGGTCTACTTTTTCGAGAAGGAGGAGCTGGAGCGCATATGGGGCGGGGAGAGCGAGGAGAAGAAAGAGACGGACGAGCCGTCTGCCAGCGAGCAGCAGTCCGTCTCTGCCGAGGCGAAGGAGGCAGAGCTGGCGTCGACGCAGACGGACGAGAAGGCGCACGACGACGTCGCCGCGCAGGTCGAGAAGCTGGACATCAACCCGTCGCCGCCGGCCGCGACGGACGAGCCCAGCAGCAGCACCGTCTCGGCCGCGTCAGAGCAGACCCCCGCGTTCGATATCGTGTCCATCGGCGTCGACCGTCGCATGCTGGTCAACCGCCAGCGCAAGCTCAAAATGTACCGCTGCTGGATGCAGGCCGTGTTCCGCAAGCCGGGCGGCGCGCCGCGCGAGCCTACTGCTGCCGCTGCCGTTGAAGCGGAGCCTAAGGCCGAGGCGACTTGAAGAAGAGAGGTATGACGCACCGGCTTCAACGAGGTGCGCGTCTTTCACGGGAACGAGGAACGAACACGTCACGATGCAATGCGAAGTGAAGCGAAGTGAAGCGAAACATAGAAAAAAGCGTGCACACGAGAAAGCGAGAATAGCCGTGGCGAGCATGTATGGCGTTATCTGCGAGCATATACCCCATTCGTGGATGGATATGAATGGATGAACAAACGGAAGAAGGGAGGAAATGTATTGATTTGGCATATTCGAGACTACAATAGATGGCCCGAGAGCGCGGCGCAAGAGCATCGTTTAGACGCAAGGCGGGGAGACGCGTTTCAGGGCGTTGGTTTTTTGTTCTTGTTCGCGCGGGATTGGGGGAGCTGCAGGGCTGTCTGGTCTGTCAATAGACGATGGCGATGGCGATCGCCCGAGCCAACAACAAATCAACAAGCAACAACCCACGCGACTTTCTGTTCCTGGCGCCACTGCCAACAGTACCCTGTGTTCTGGATGCACGCCGGCCTGGAAATCTTGCTGCTCATTCAAAGCGAAGCGGCTCTCTCAAGGGCGATCGAGGCTGGGGTGCTTAAGCGAGCCTGACGCGCGCGCTAGCCGCTTCGGGCAATATGGGACGTCTTATTGAGCACTGCTTCCGGACGGGTATGTCTTCATGATGGCGATCTCACTTTGGAATGGGTATTGGTGAAGAGGAGGATGTTGGAAGTTGTGGTGCTGGTGGTGGTGAGGGTGGGAGAGATTGAAGAGGTGGATGCTCGTGTGGGCGTTGGGGAGGGAAAAGGTAAGGTTGACTTGGTGTTTCGTTCTACCAGCCTGCTACTACCCGCAGGCCTCGTTGCTGGCTCGGTTCTATGAGGACTTTCCATCCTCTGGACCCGCGTCCACGAGCGCTCTCTCTCTTTCCCCGCCTCTGGACCGGCGTCCACGCTGCTTGTCCAACTCCCCGCCCCGCTTCTCGAAACAAACCTTCACTACACGCCCCGCGCTCTCTTTATCATACTCAATAAGCCTTATACTGAACAGCGCCTTATTGAGCCTCTTTATTGAGCGCCCCCGCGCCCACGCGCCTATAAGTCCGCGCCCACGCACCCTCTCCCCCACACCAACAAACCGACCCGGTCACTCATTACAAACAAACGAATCCACTTCTGACACACACACACACACACACACAAACCTACAAGAACGAAAAAAAGAAAACCCACCACGATGCATCTCACGAGCATTACCCTCGGCGCCATCCTGGCTGCCAGCGCGGCCGCTTCCCCCGCCGCGGAGGTCACGGACCTCGGCCACTTGAAGCGCGCGGCTGATGCTGCGGCTGCGGCGCTTGCTCAGCCTGCCCCTGAGGCCCAGCCGGGTTGGAAGGCTCCTTGGCCCCGCTTCTGCTTCCGTCCTGGCCAGCCGTGTACGAAGGCTAAGAGGTCGGCAGATGCGATTGCTGATGCTGTTGGGCGCGCTTATAAAGTGCTTGGGGAGGAGAGCGAGGGTGAGTGACTGTGTTTTTTTGTCTATCTACATTGTTTCGTACCTCTACACTGCACCCTGCCCTACACGCACGCCATCCTCATACTGCCCTTTCCTCCAGCGGCTCCACACACGCACACGCACGTACTAATGCTTCTCCCACACAGACCTCGCCCTCTACCGCCGCACCGCCATGCCCTCGCCCGAAGCCCTCGCCGCCGCCGACGCCGCAGCCGAGGCCGACCCCAAGGCCCCCAAGGGCTGGAAGGCCCCCTGGCCGCGCTTCTGCTTCCGCCCCGGCCAGCCCTGCACCAAGGCCAAGCGGGCCGCCGAGGCCATCGCCGACCCCGAAGCCGACCCCGAGGCTAACCCCGGCTGGAAGGCCCCCTGGCCCCGCTTCTGCTTCCGCCCCGGCCAGCCCTGCACCAAAGTCAAGCGGGCCGCGAGCGCGGTCGCCGAGGCCCTGGCTGAGGCCGCGCCGGCGCCCGAGGCCAACCCGGGATGGAAGGCCCCTTGGCCCAGATTCTGCTTCCGTCCGGGCCAGCCTTGCACCAAGGTCCGTAGGGCCCTGGATGATTTGCAGGCGGCCGCTGTGGGCGCTGAGAGCCATATTGACTCCGAATTTGGCGTTGAGGGCATCGATTTCGAGGCTGAGGAGTAGATGCTCGCTTGCTTGCTCGCTTACTTACTTGCTTCTGGTATAAAGAAGGCGGCGCGTTCGCCTTTTGAGATGGCGGTGGATGGCTGATTTTTGGCCTGACTTTTTCTTTTTTCTTTTTTTCTTTCTTTCTTGGAGTCTACCTTTTTTGCTTCCTCCGTTCCTTTCCCTTTCCAGATTGTCGAAATTCCTGCTTTCCCTCTTCCCCCCTTCTTTCCTTTCTTACACATGTGTTTTGCGTTTCGGCCCTCCAGTACAGTACAGTTCATCTCGTTCCAGTTCGCTTCGCTTCGCGCAACGGCACGCTTCTACCTAGCCTGCCCGTCGTTGTCTCCCCCCGTTGTTGGAAGAAAGCTCGGCTGCTCGGCGCTAGTAAGGCGTGCGTATATGGGTAGATAGTTACGGTACGGCGCGTATGCTACGCTGCGTAGGGTATGCGAGCGAGGCCGGCGCCAAGTGGCTATGTCTCCTGTCTTTGAGGGCGTGGCGCTGGTGCTGTGCCTTTTTTTGAGGGTTGTGCGTGTGCGCGTGTGTGAGTGTGCGTGAGTGTGTGTCTGTGTCTGTGTGTGTGTGCGTGTGTGGATGAGCAAGGGGGGGTTCATCGTTTTCTCGCTCTCATTGCTGTGCTCGGCATTTTTGGGACAGTGAGGAAGAAGGTCTTGGGGCTTGGGCTGGGTTTAAGCTTCTTGTAACGAGCGGGTCGAGGAGGGGAATACACATAGTGGGCGTGTATATCCGGGTGTTTGGTAGAGTTTGTTCTACAACTAGCCCTTTTAAGTAATACACTTATTCGCTCGATGGTATGAGAGGAATGAAGGGCTGGGGATGATGAGTCGAGGTCGGAAGGACGGTACTAGAAGCTCCGGCTCTGAAGAGATAAGAAGTCCAGAATGGAAGTGAGCCCGAAGAGACACTGAATATATTAACTCTCGCCACGACCGTCGTTGGTTTGTTAGTAGAAGGCGAGATCGATCGGGCGTGTCGAGTTCTTGCAGAAGAAGGGTCACTTCAATCCTGTTGATGGAATTGACATATTTGAGGACTCGCGTCCTGATAAGAGTGATGGGTCTTGCATGTTCTTGGAGTGATATTGATTATCAAATATGTCCGGTAGATCTTACGGCACATGAGGAAGGACTTATGCTGGTGCTCCGTCAATATGGGCGGTAGATCTTGCAACGCATGAGGCCTCCAAAATCTTGAGGAGGAGAACTACTTGTGCCCTGCTGCCTCAGAGTCTCATGGAATCCCTGAATAACGCAGTTGGGTTTGAACTCATTGAACTGCGTGATGGCTCTTAGGATCTTGGGATAAGAATTTCTACCCATCTATAAAGACAAACGATATATCTAGCCAGCTATGTTTTCATATCTCCTATCCACATCCACCCTCCCCACAACGAACGAGCGAGCCGAAAATAAGAAATAAATTTAAGCGTGAACAGAACACCCGAATCTAACGACGTAAAGAACCACGACAAAAACCAAGACCAAGCAAGGCCGCGCAAGGCCGGCTTCAGCCCAGACGCAGCCACTATCAGGTCCCCCACACTCCACACTCCGGTATTAGAAATAAAGTCGTTTCTCTCTCTCGCACTTTGCGAAAACGACAGACAGGACAATGCTGCAGCGGCGGCAGCAGCTCACCGCAGCCCCGAGTCAATCTGGTCCGGCACGTTGCGCTTCGTGTACGCGTCCCAGAGCTCGCACATCCGCAGGTTCTCCTCCGGAATTTGCATTTTGGCCACGTCGTCCGGCCGCTCCAGCATCGTGAGGTACAGTCCCGCGCTCACATGCCACGCTACACACACAAAATCATATCAGCTCTATCCACTTA